TAGGTGGGTTTTTGTCTGAATAAATAAGCCTGTGACCTGAGGACTTCAGTGCACGCACGGCCACAGCACCAAGATCAGAGACCATGACCGTGACCATGAGTGTGCTCCTGGTGTTCCAAGTAAAAATGTATCCTTGTCTGTTGTGTTGTCTTTGTCCAGGCACTGTAGTTTATTACCAGCTTTAACAGTTAGCATTGTCCATCTGCATACAAAGAGACCAGAGATATACCAGAAAGAGAACAGAGAGAGAGTGTAGCTACGTCTAAAATTACATAATTACTGAATATTTGCGTGATTTGAGCCCATTTAGTCAGAAGCACTTGTCTCATTCCAAGTGAGTTATCACCTGTATTTCCCATTAGGATGAATTATCAAGATAAATATCCCCCAGTCTCTGTCGTACGGCCGTCTTTCTTTAGTCCTGGTCGAGGGTTGAGTTCAGTCCCAGTTTGTGTAAAAGTTGGAGCATCGCAGAGGAATGTAAAATGAAAGTGTTTGTGTTTATTATCTGAGGACATCCTGCTCTGCTCTGCAGACTTCTCACTGTGTGGAGACTTGTGACTGAGCTGTCGACATGTTTTCAAGTTCTGGTGTGAGGAAAACTGTGAGGCAATCTGATTATGTGACGTGTGATATCACAAAGGCCCGAGAGGCTGGGGAGAGAAGAGCTGGCCTAGGATCACCCCAACAATTCATCTTACTCACAGAGAGGGGACCGGGATCGTGGAGCAGAACGATACAGTGCATTAGGAACTCAGCTAGTGCCTCGTTGTGTTGTATAAGATGACGGTTTAAGTGTCTCTGGTCTCTCTCTCAGGTCTCTTTCTGGTTTCTTTCTACACTCTCTGTTCTCTGCGTCTGGTCTCTCTCTCTCGGGTATCTTCGTCTGGTCTCTCTCTGTTCTCTTTCTGGTACAGTATATTTCTGGTCTCTCTCTACACTCTCTCTCTGTTCTCTTTCTGGTACAGTATATTTCTGGTCTCGCTCTCTCTGGTTTCTCTCTCTCTGGTCTCTCTATGTAGTCTATCTCTGGTCTCTTTCTGGTCTCTCTCTAGACTCTCTCAGGTCTCTTTCTGGTCTCACTCTGTTCTCTTTCTGGTATCTCTCTCTGGTTTCTCTCTCTCTGGTCTCTCTATCTAGTCTATCTCTGGTCTCTTTCTGGTCACTCTCTACACTCTCTCTTTTGTGTCTCTGGTCTCTTTCTGGTCTCTCCCTAATCTCTCCCTGGTCCCTCTCCCTGCTCTCTCCCTGCTCTCTCCCTGGTCTCTCTCTGGTCTCTCCCTGGTCTCTCTCTGGTCTCTCTCTGGTCTCTCACTGGTCTCTCCCTGGTCTCTCCCTGGTCTCTCCCTCTAGTCTCTCCCTCTAGTCTCTCCCTCTAGTCTCTCCCTGGTCTCTCCCTCTAGTCTCTCCCTGGTCTCTCCCTCTAGTCTCTCTCTGGCCTCTCTCTGGTCCCTCTCCCTGCTCTCTCCCTGGTCTCTCTCTGGTCTCTCCCTGGTCTCTCTCTGGTCTCTCTCTGGTCTCTCACTGGTCTCTCCCTCTAGTCTCTCCCTGGTCTCTCCCTCTAGTCTCTCCCTGGTCTCTCCCTCTAGTCTCTCTCTGGCCTCTCTCTGGTCTCTCCCTGGTCTCTCCTTCTAGTCTCTCTCTGGTCTCTCCCTGGTCTCTCCCTGGTCTCTCCCTCTAGTCTCTCTCTGGCCTCTTTCTGGTCTCTCTCTGGTCTCTCTCAGGTCTCATAGTTCTCTCATAACTGACTTCTATGTCAAAGTAAACTCCTCGAGCTCCGTAACCGTTTGTGTCACACTCACAGTCTTTGTAATTCCAGATACAAAGGATTCATAAATGAGACGTGTCCCCACATTCCCCACAGAAACTCCAGAGTGCCTTAGCCAACCATGCCAGCAACAAGCCTTCCCATGCTAAGGCTCAAGCTAAAATTATTGGTGCAAATGTCTCTGTATTGTAACTGTATTTTTTCATATTTGATCGTTCAAACTAAGTGAAAGTGAGTGTCTTGTTCTGCCGTTCAGTGATTCATTTCCTACGTTGCTGACTGATTGTACCGGCAGCGTGACGGACAGATGGTATAAAGACACATGACCCCGACGTGAAAAAGCAGAACAATAGAGTCTTAGGAAACGAAAACAGGACGTGAGTCAGAGTGACATTTAGAAGGAGCTCGGTTCGAAGACCTGGAGCGACTGCAAATCAATCACATACAGAGCCGCACACACAGCCTCAGATCCCATTGTTCTGGACATATTTCAGAGGTTTCAAAAGACAACACAACACATTTTTAACACTGATTGTTAGTGGTTGTGTGAAGCAGTATATAGTGGTTGCTTGTTTATGGCAGGGGATAGAGAGAGACCAGAGAGAGAGACACTCCAGAGAGAGAGACCAGCGAGAGAGAGACCAAAGAGAGACTTCAGAGAGAGACTCCAGAGAGACCAGAGAGAGACTTCAGAGAGAAACTTCAGAGAGAAACTTCAGAGAGAGACACCAGAGAGAGAGAGAAGGAGAGGCCAGAGAGAGTGACTACAGGAAGAGAGACCAGAGAGAAGAGAGACTGCAGAGAGAGACCAGAGAGACACTACATGAAGAGAGACCAGAGAGAAGAGAGACTGCAGGGAGAGAGACCAGAGAGACACTACATGAAGAGACACCAGAGAGAGAGAGGAGAGGCCAGAGAGAGAGACTACAGGAAGAGAGACCAGAGAGAAGAGAGACTGCAGAGAGAGACCAGAGAGACACTACATGAAGAGAGACCAGAGAGAAGAGAGACTGCAGAGAGAGAGACCAGAGAGACACTACATGAAGAGAGACCAGAGAGAAGAGAGACTGCAGAGAGAGAGACCAGAGAGAGACACTACATGAAGAGAGACCAGAGAGAAGAGAGACTGCGCAGAGAGAGACCAGAGAGACACTACATGAAGAGAGACCAGAGAGAAGAGAGACTGCAGAGAGAGAGACCAGAGAGACACTACATGAAGAGAGAGAAGAGAGAGAGAGAGAGAGACTGCAGAGAGAGAGACCAGAGAGACACTACATGAAGAGAGACCAGAGAGAAGAGAGACTGCAGAGAGAGACCAGAGAGACACTACATGAAGAGAGACCAGAGAGACGAGAGAGACTGCAGAGAGAGACCAGAGAGACTCCAGAGAGAGACCAGATAAAGACTTCAGAGAGAGACTACAGAGAGACAGACCAGAGAGAGAGAGAGACTGCAGAGAGTGACAACAGAGAGAGACTTCAGAGAGAGACATGAGAGAGCAACCAGAGAGAGAGAGACTGCAGAGAGAGAGACCAGAGAGACACTACATGAAGAGAGACCAGAGAGAAGAGAGACTGCAGAGAGAGACCAGAGAGACACTACATGAAGAGAGACCAGAGAGAAGAGAGACTGCAGAGAGAGACCAGAGAGACTCCAGAGAGAGACCAGATAAAGACTTCAGAGAGAGACTACAGAGAGACAGACCAGAGAGAGAGAGAGACTGCAGAGAGTGACAACAGAGAGAGACTTCAGAGAGAGACATGAGAGAGCAACCAGAGAGAGAGAGACCATTGAGAGAGACTACACAAAGAGAGACCAGAGATGGACTCCAGGAACAAAGACTGGAAAGAGAGAGACCAGAGAGACTCCAGAGAGACAGACCAGAGAGAGAGAGACCAGAGAGACAGACCAGAGAGAGAGAGACCAGAGAGACAGACCAGAGAGAGAGAGACCAGAGAGACGGACCAGAGAGAGAGAGACCAGAGAGACTCCAGAGAAAGACCAGAGAGATCTCTAAACTATGTTTCGAATCTGGATTTACAAATACAACATTAAATTAAAGCTGCAAGCGGCGATGAACAGAGAGAGAGACCATAGTTGATATTAGCTAACCAAGTTGTGGGACTTTGTGAAATCCTCTCTAGACAAAGACTAGTATCTGGATTAGCACAGACTAGCATGTTAGCATGGTCCATCTACACCCAGTCTATGCTTCAGAACAATGGTACAAAGTGGATATTTCTTCTCGTTATGATTTTTCAGTCCGGTTTCTTCAGACACAAATATTAGCACATTTTAACATAGATTGATAAATATGCAGAGTTACTGGTCCGTCTGGTTGTAACTCTGCATATTTATCACCTCTCACACACACATATATATTCCTCTGCAGTTTAATCTTTGGCCCAGGGTTCACATTCTCTCTCTACAATAAAAACTTTTCTCAAAATACAGTCTCTCTCTTTCTCGCATAAAAGCTGGATTTATGTGTTGCAGAGTTCGGTGAGGATCTGTGGAGAATGTTCCCTCAGCTGAAGAGTCTTTGTGAGTATCCCATATACTGTGTACTATACAGCCAGATCCCCTCAGACCTCTGCAGCTTAGCAGAGCAGGGTCTGGTTAGTGCTGTGATGGGAGACCTCTGGGAACACCTGGTGCCACTGTGTATTTGATTGTATTGTATTTTAGTTTTATTGGAATCTGGTCTCTCTCTTTGGTCTCTCTCTTTGGTCTCTCTCTCTGGTCTCTCTCTCTGATCTCTCTCTCTGATCTCTCTCTCTGGTCTATCTCTTTGGTCTTTCTCTCTGGTCTCTCTCTTTGGTCTCTTACTCTGGTCTCTCTCTGGTCTTTCTCTATGTTCTCTCTCTCTTTAGTTTCTCTCTAATCTCTTTCTGGTTTCTCTCTGGTCTCTCTCTCTGTTTTCTCTCTGGCCTCTCTCTCTCTGGTCTCTCTCTGGTCTCTCTCTGGTCTCTCTCTGGTCTCTCTCTGGTCTCTCTCTGGTCTCTCTCTGGTCTCTTTCTGGTCTCAGTTTTCTTCTATCTCTAGTTTTCACATGTACTTTGGACCTCCCTCTGCTCCTTCCCTCCTTGCTCTCTCTCCACTCCTCTCTGGTCTCTCCTCACTCTTCTCTCTCTCACCTCCATCTCTCCCCCCTCCCTCCTCCCTCCTCTCTCACCTGCTCCGGTCTGGACTCATGAGTAATTGTGCATTCAGTGCTCGTTCGTTCCCTTACCTGTCAGACGTGCTCTTCACCGGCACATAATAATTTTCTCCGGAGAGGTACGCCGCCGCCGTGCCGCCCCCAAAATAACTCTTCCTCAACACTGCCGCGGCGCCTCTGCGAACCAGCAGTGCCCCCAGACCCGTGGGGAACCCCAAAATCTTGTAGAAGGATATGGGGATGAAATCGGCCTGGCATTGCTTTAAATTCAGAGGCGAGGAGCAAGCATGGGAGGCTGCGTCTAGGAGCACAAACCACCTTCCTTTATACGCGCTAGCTGGGTACATAGCTCGTGTTTGGATGTCGCTAACGTAGCTTAGGGGGTACTTCTTCCCGCTGAAGTTGCTCTGAGCCGGATAGCAGAACAGATGTGGGGTCTGGCATGAGAGATCTCCCGTGTCATTGCTTGTGTCGCTTGTATTGTCTTTGTTTTGGAGGTTTTCAGGAGATACGGGGAGAGTCGTGACCCCCAGGCCGGCGGTGAGGCCACGGATGCCCACGACGGAGGTGTGGCTGTCGGTGAGATGGCTGAAGACGCTGCCTCGAGTCCAGGGGAAAGACTCGGCCACGAGTTTGAGAGCGGCGGTGCATCCTGACGTGAAGATGACGGAGTATTCGTCAGGGTCGGCGTCGAAATGCTGCAGGATCCTGGAGGAGGAAGAAAGTTGTAACACGGTCAAGATTCAGGCGTGTGTAATCCTAACTACTACATTCAGTCCTTGTTTATATACAGACATTTTTGTTGAGAGACTGATTTTTTATTTGATTTGAATAGACTTTAAAGCAGCTGTCCATGGCCTCAAAGTACATCTACAACATGTTAGTGCCATATGAACCAAGGAGGACTCTGAGGAGCACCGGGACTGGCTTCCTGCTGGTCCCAGATTCAGGACTAAATTGCTCTCTTTCTTTGTTCTCTCTCTGCTCTCTCTAGTCTTTGATCCTATTGTCTCTGCTCTTGACTCTGGTCTGTAGTCTCTCACTGTTCTCTCTCTGGTCTCTCTCTAGTCTCTTTCTGGTCTCTCTCTGGTCTCTCTCTGGTCTCTCTCTGGTCTCTCTCTAGTCTCTCTCAGGTCTCTCTCATGTCTCTTTATAGCCTCTCTCTGGTCGCTAGACTCTGATCTGTCTCTGGTCCCTCTCTAGTCCCTGGTCTCTCTCTGGTCTCTCTCTAGTGCCTGGTCTCTGGTCTCTCTCTACTCTCTCTCTCTGGTCTCTCTCTGGTGTCTCTCTAGTCTCTCTCTAGTCTCTCTCTGGTCACTAGTCTCCGGTCTATCCCTGGTCTCTCTAATCTCTCTCTGGTCTCTCTCTGGTCTCTCTCTGGTCTCTCCCTGGTCTCTCCCTGGTCTCTCCTTGGTCTCTAGTCTCTCTCTAGTCTCTCTCTGGTCTCTTGTCTCTCTCTGGTCACTAGTCTCTGGTCTCTCTCTGGTCTCTCTCTTGTCTCTAGTCTCTCTCTGGTCACTTGTCTCTCTCTGGTCACTAGTCTCTTGTCTCTCTCTGGTCTCTTGTCTCTCTCTGGTCTCTTGTCTCTCTCTGGTCACTAGTCTCTCTCTGGTCTCTTGTCTCTCTCTGGTCTCTTGTCTCTCTCTGGTCACTAGTCTCTCTCTGGTCACTAGTCTCTGGTCTCTCTCTGGTCTCTCTCTGGTCTCTCTCTGGTCACTAGTCTCTGGTCTCTCTCTGGTCTCTCTGGTCTCTCTCTTGTCTCTAGTCTCTCTCTGGTCTCTTGTCTCTCTCTGGTCTCTTGTCTCTCTCTGGTCTCTTGTCTCTCTCTGGTCTCTTGTCTCTCTCTGGTCACTAGTCTCTCTCTGGTCTCTTGTCTCTCTCTGGTCTCTAGTCTCTCTCTGGTCACTAGTCTCTGGTCTCTCTCTGGTCTCTAGTCTCTCTCTGGTCTCTTGTCTCTCTCTGGTCACTAGTCTCTCTCTGGTCACTAGTCTCTCTCTGGTCACTAGTCTCTCTCTGGTCTCTTGTCTCTCTCTGGTCTCTAGTCTCTCTCTGGTCACTAGTCTCTGGTCTCTCTCTGGTCTCTTGTCTCTCTCTGGTCTCTTGTCTCTCTCTGGTCACTGGTCTCTCTCTGGTCTCTCTGGTCTCTCTGGTCTCTCTCTTGTCTCTTGTCTCTCTCTGATGTCCATAAATCATGACGAGGGTGTGTTAAAGCTCAGAGCTGTGTGTTACCTGCCTCTGACCCTCTCCACGGTGTCATGTGCCAGTCTGCTGCTGAGACTGCGGCTGTGAGGATTACCTAAAGGACAAAGACACCGTTTGAAACCCTCCTGAAGTCTGAGTTATGTCTGTTTTTATGCCGCGCCCTGAACTGTGAAAAGATCATTTAGTTCCAATTATAGATTAAATGCCAGAAAGGCTCTAGAAGAGGCAGCACAATCAAAGGGCAAGTGGTCCTGCGAGAGAAAAGGGACGAAGACACAGCCACAGCCACCGCTAACGGTCAAACTCCAGCTCGCGTTTGCTAAGTTCACTTATTTAGATCTCAAGCTTTAAAGTTTACACACACAGGCAGAAAGGTTGGAGTCGGAGGTCATTCTCCACACATTGGGCCTCATTCACGAACGGTTCTTAGGAACAGATTTGTACGTAAATCCTACTTACGCGGTTTTTACGAAGAAAGTGGCATTCACGAATATTTCTCGTAACCAGAATTTCTCTTGGGCAAGTACAAATCCTACGAGTCCTCAGGAGCACTCGTACGCATTCAGTGCCGACATGTTCACACACCGGGGTTGTCCTCTTTGGTGAAGTTGAATAAAAATACAACATTCCAGTGATATGTCCGTCATATCGATGTATGTATTTATTTATTTGTAGTAATCTTTATTAGTAATCTTTATTTATATACCGCCTTTTTCACTGCAGATCTGGCCTACTTTTTAATTCATTTTGAAATGAAATGTGCCAACGCTTTATCCAAATACATTGGAAATCTTGCCGTGTATTAGTGACCCCTTCCTATTTATAGGGGGCATTTCTTTATCCACGGGCCACAGAACAACGGCATATATACTGCTGCTGCAGGAGGTTACTGGGTCCGCGCTGAGTCTCTGCGCTGGTCTCTCCTATGGATCTATACGGGTCTGCACTGGTCTCTCCCATATACGGGTCTGCACTGGTCTCTCCCATATACGGGTCTGCACTGGTCTCTCCCATATACGGGTCTGCACTGGTCTCTTCCATGGATCTATACGGGTCTGCACTGGTCTCTTCCATGGATCTATACGGGTCTGCACTGGTCTCTCCCATGGATCTATACGGGTCTGCACTGGTCTCTCTCCATACGGGTCCGTGCTGCATGCTCCTGGATCCATACGGGACGGGTCCGCGCTGGTCTCTCAAGTCTGGTCTATGCGGTCTATCTTCGGTCCGCGCTGGTCTCTGCGCACCGGTCTCTCCAGTCAGGTCACTCCAGTCTATGCGGTCTCTCCTATAGGTCCGCGCTGGTTTCTGTGTGCTGGTCACTCCAGTCTCTCCTCGGGTCTGCATTGGTCTCAGCGCTGGTCCGCGTTGGATCTCCTCCCAGGGTCCAAAATATTTTGAGATTAATCTTTAAAATAATACATAATATATTTTTAAATTAAGCTCATAACATTTTGAGATTAATCTCATCATATTCTTAGATTAATCTCATAATCTTGCTAGTTCGACTTTATTATCATAATATTTCGACTTTTAAGTCAACATTTTATAACTTTATTCTCAGTCTGGCAAAAGCCTGCTTTAGGCCTGTTGCTGTTTCCTCTGCCGTCTGCACACGGCCCTGCAGTCCCTTATATGGGCATTAATGGGCGGTTACTTATGCTAAGTACCTATGCTAATGAAGCACCTGGCACGCGCGCTGTACTTACGAAGAAATGGGATTCATCAATCTGAGAGAACAGCTGCGAACAATTCAGCGCCTTACGAGTGCGTTGATGAATCCCACGTGGGGACTTCTTAGAAATCTACTTAAGGACAACTTGAGAAGAAAGTTGAGTAGTTTCTTACGAAGTTATTCGTGAATGAGGCCCATTGTCAGTAGTTGTGTGAAGCCATGTATTAGGTAGAAAGATACAATAGATAGATGGATAAATAGAGAGAGACCAGAGAGAAAGCAGGGAGAGACTAGAGAGAGAGACCAGGGAGAGACTAGAGAGAGAGACTTGAGAGAGAATAGAGAGAGACCAGAAAGAGAACAGGGAGAGACCAGGGAGAGACCAGGGAGAGACAATGGAGGGACTATAGAGAGAGACCAGGGAGAGATTAAAGAGAGAGAACAGGGAGAGACTAGAGAAAGAGAGAGCAGAGAGAGAGTAGGGAGAGACCAGGGAGAGAGAGAGCAGGGAGAGACTAGAGAGAGAGACCAGAGAGATAATAGAGAGACTAGCAAGAGAGCAGGGAGAGAACATGGACAGACTAGAGATAGAGACCAGAGTGAATAGAGATAGAGACCAGAGAGAGACTAGAGAGAGAAGAGAGACCCTAGAGAGAGACCAACATAGTGTGGATAAAGTCTGTGTAAAGCCTTCTCACCGTACAGACTGGAGCTGATGTCTCTGCAGTAGTTTGTCAGTGCAGACTCTGGGAACAGTGTGGCCGCGGCGTGATCCAGGTACGTGACTCCTGTTTACAACAAACACAGGAGGATGAGGGGGCGAAGGACACGGAGAGAGCAGACACCAGATACAACACGGCCCAGACCAGCACCCAAGGGACCTCTCCAAGACCGGAGCGGGACCAATGGGACCTCTCCTCTCACGCTTCAATAGAGGCGGTCAGTAGCTGTACGTGTTTATGCTCAGGAGGATGAGAAAGTGGTTTAGGTATCTGTGTTGGAGCCATAAGAAACAACTAGGACTCTGAGGAGCACAGGGACTGGCCTCCTGCTGGGACTCTGAGGAGCACAGGGACTGGCCTCCTGCTGGGACTCTGAGGAGCACAGGGACTGGCCTCCTGCTGGGACTCTGAGGAGCACAGGGACTGGCCTCCTGCTAGGACTCTGAGGAGCACAGGGACTGGCCTCCTGCTAGGACTCTGAGGAGCACAGGGACTGGCCTCCTGCTGGTGCCCAGAGTCATGAGTAAACATAGGGAGGCAGCGTTTTAGATTTATGCAGGTAAAATCTGGAATCGTCTTCATAAAAATGTGAGACAGGCCTACTCTTAGAAAAATCCAGGTTAGTTGCGCATACACCTGAGGAATTGTATTACCACTATTTTTGATCATTTGGGTTAGTATGATTTTAAGACCAGGGTGAGACCAGAGACAGACTAGAGTGAGAGCGAGACCAAAGACTAAATACAAATTAAGAGCTAATGAACCATAAATTATACACACGTTAGCACTTAATTAGCTGTTAATGAGTTAGCGCTAAACTAAAGTGTGGCCAAATCTGCTTTTGATACAATAAAGAACACAGAACACTGCTCTGGATTTGACGCCGCACTCTGGAAATACTGTAACAAGTTTAAAAAGGGGAGTTCAGACAAAGCAACAAAAGAACATGACTTTAAAGATTCTCACACAAAAGACACATATTTCTCTAAAGATTGAGACAGTTTTAGGTCTGCTTCGTTCACGTGTTACGTTAATGACACTTTTCTGTTGGAACAAACATTATGGAAAAGTGCATTTGTCCTGCAGCGGGGAAATGTCAGTGTTGCATCACCAGTTACACAACAGTAGAAATGAGAAGCACACAGAACATGATAAATGAAGCATAATTCTATACTTTAAAACATACAATAACACCTCTGACTAACTTTAAAGAAGCAAGTATAAAATCTCTAACGTTAGCATAATAAAGAAGTACGCTATAAAAACACTGTATATTCTAGTGCAAGAAAGTAATGTTTATTCATATAGCACATTTTACAGACCAAGGTCACCCAAAGCACTTTACAATGTTCAGAGTTCGTTCTAATCATTCCACACACGGTGATGACGGAAGCGAGTCCAGAACACACTGGACCATCAGCTCCAATCAACACCATCCATTCACTCTCTCATTTACATTGCACATATTTATAGTGGTAGGGGAAACCGGAGCACCAGGAGGAAACCTACGGGGAGACACGGGGAGAACATGCAAAGGCCCTGTTCAGACCGGGATTCGAACCCAGGACCTTCTTGCAGAGAGGCGAGAGTGCTATCCACTCAGTAAGTAAGTAAGTAAGTAAGTTTTTATTTATATACCGCCTTTTCACTGCAGATCTGAGTCTCAAAGCGGTTTACAATTGTTAATTATGGGCATTTGTCTCTCACTCCACACAGAGATGGGAGCGGGGTCGCCAGTACAGGAGGCGCATGCCAGAACTATTGGACATATTTTTAGTGGTAGGGGAAACCGGAGTACCCGGAGGAAACCTACGCAGACACGGGGAGAACATGCAAACTCCACTCAGAAAGGACCTGGCCCGACCCGGGGAATGCAAGACATGTATAGTTACATCTGTACAGAGCAGCATGACGGTCTGGGACAAAGAGACAGTGATGGACACAGATGGTTTCAACATGTGTTTTCTATATTACTCAAAAAGTTACGTCCCCCGGCTTTAAAAACCCAGCACTTTCACCCCAGATTACCTTTGCTCCTGCTGAACTCCTTCTGCACCATCTCCTCAAAGTCCGCTCCGTATCCATACTGCGGAGAGACTTTCGCAAAAAACTCAAAAGTGCAAAGTTTGTGGAAATCCATGGAGAGACCCGCGCGCGTAATGGCACTGGCACAGTCTGGTTTGGGCACTTTTACGCACGCACTGTCGCCGTCTCTCGCGTTGTCCCGAGTGGAAGTCTTGTAACAATTGACATTCCCCGGGTCTAAGTCCGATGACAGGCGGCTGAGTGTGGAGTGTGTGTCCGTGATAGGTCCGTCACACACTGGGTTTAATCAGTAACAACTCCCGGAGGCACCAACTTTACGCAACACAACATCGCCGTGTGTGGATTCGATGCAAAACTATAGAAAATATACACAGAGTTGAGTCAAATAACAACTGCAGCGTAATAACCGACTTATAACCGGTGTATTCACGTATTCTAAAGCATAAGACACGCACAGTTTTGAGAGATATGTCAAGAGCTTTCCAAACTTTTAGAGCTAGCATACAAGGCTACATGCTAAGTGCTAACAACAAAAACAGAAGTGAAAGGGGCGTGGATTAACAAACACAGTTCATTGATAATATTAAAGTATTATTGACAATAAAGCAGATTGTGTTATTGTGATTATTATGATTCTTTTTTTAATTTTAATTATTATTTTTCCTTTTTTTAGTATTATGATTTTTTTTTTCATTTAAGGACAATGACAAACAATATGAAAACAAAAACACAAAGCAAGGACAAACATAAGATATGACAAAGAAACAAGATTCTCTAATCATCATGAACATTTCTTTCCATTGATAAGACATCAAGAACTGTTTCTTCTAAATTGTGATAGTGCTCAACAGGATAAAGAAAGCTTTTATTAAAGGGTTACTCGACAGAACCTTGAACATGAAAAGTTTCCCTATGACAAAAACAATTATTCTCAATCTCGTTTTGTTTTATGTCTCCACAGAATCCTCATTGATTTGATGCAGGACACAGCAGACATTTGATATTTACAATTGCAACACTTTAATCCAAAATACTGACACCACTGGACGTCTTTTCAGAATTAGTCAGACTCAAAAAATCTTTAGCATTTTTGTTTTTTTGTATTGTATCACAGTAGACAGTAGTGCAGCAGATGGGGTCCTGGACAAACTAACATCTACGCTGGACCATGACTGGCGCCCCCTGCAGGACACTCTGTCTGCTCTGGAGCTTCAGTGACATACTCGCTGTGTGAAGGAGAAGTTCTGCAGCTCTTTCCTTTCGGCTGCTGTCAGACTGTACAACGAACAATGAGGATTAAGAAACACTTCCGACTCTAACCTCACATGTTGCAAACCTGCGCAATAAACTAAATTAATGTCAGAATGCGCGATGTAGAACCACACGTGTCACTGTCACTTTGTCCCAGAGCCTCCTTCTGCTACGTACAGGTGTAAACATTAAACTATATGTTACGGCACTAGAATATAGAATATACTAGAATATTACTGTAGAATACAGTAATTTAGACTTCCTTCTTTATTATGGTAAAGTCAGAGATTTTGTGCTTAAGTTTTGCTTCTTCATCATGTGCTAAAGTTGGAAATTTTAGACGTTTTTCCTTATTATGCAAAAGCCAAAGATTTTATACTTGCTTCTTTTTATGCTAGAATTAGAGATTGTATTTTATTTAATTATAGAGTCATTTTTTATGTATCTTGTGCTGTGTGTTCCTACTGTTCTGTAACTGGTGACACTGCAACACTGTGGGACCAATTAAGAATCTCCTATTCTTAACCTGATTTAAAGTGACAGTGACACATATGCTTCTATATTGCACATTCTGACATTATTTCAAATTAATGCACAGTACATGACATGTGAGGTCAGGTCGGAAGCGTTCGTTGGTCCCCGATGTTCGCTGTACAGTCTGACAGCACATACTTTATGCAGTATGAACAAACAAGACCAGAGTCAAAATGCTTTTTTGCTTGGTCCTGGTCAAATCTCAGGACTGGGAGCAGTAAAAGCAATCCATAGCCCTGCAGGTCTAATGAACGTCTCTGGTGAGGCCGGGTGAGACTGTAAATCTCACTGGTATTGACTGAAGATCGATAGTCCTGTCTGTGAAATGAACGTGACGGCTGGAGATGGTAAAGAACTGTGATCACACATGTAAGACCATGAATCATACCAGGTATCAGCATCAGAATCTCTCCTAGATGCACTTATGTGTGTTCATGACACTGTGTTATATGTCCTTCATATAACATATTTATAACATGTTTAGAAGCAGGGGACCAGGTGAGACCAGGGGAGACCAGGGGAGAGCAGGAGACCAGGGGAGAAGAGGAGAGAGTAGAAGGACCAGGGAAGAGCAAGAGAGAACAGAAGGACCAGAGGAGAGCAAGAGAGCGCAGGACCAGGGGAGACGAGGACAGAGCTGCAGGACCAGGGGAGAGAGAGGGACCAGGGGAGACGAGGAGAGGGCAGAAGGACCAGCGGAGAGAAGGAGACCAGGCGCTCTGATAGCAGCTCCACATGAGATCGGCATGGATCCTCCCAATACTATCAAACTTGCTTCGTTCTCATGCTAAAGTTAGAGGTTGTATTTCATCACAGAATAAAGTTATCATTAATTTATCTTTTGCTGTGTGCTCCTCATTCTACTGTTCCGTAACCGGGAATGCAACACTGACATTTCTCTGCTGTGGGACCAATAAAAGATCTCTTAATGACTGAAGTAACATTTTCCTTGTTCTTTCTGTGTACATTCAGACCTGTGGATAATCCCTTTATACAGCTGTAATCTGCTCCTCACGGGGAGTCCAGAGAAGGCTTCTGATTGGCTGAAGAACTCTCAGGTCACATGATCACTCACGTCCCGCCCTCCAATGCTCCCAGACACAAACTACTTTTGTGTTGGTCATAGATATTTTTATTGGTCATAATAATGTATGAATACAGATTGCGAATGGAATACCATGGGTTTAAGGCGGCAGTGATGTGTTCTAAAAATAACCCACAATAAGTTACATCTGTGAAGTAGCAGCTGTTTGTGTTAAGGCTTTAAAACCGCTCACACTATATCTGACCATCTGAAGTGAGAGAGACCAGGGAGAGCAGAGAAAGAGACCAGAAAGGGACCAGATAGAGACCAGAGAGAGACCAGAGAAAGACCAGAGAGAGACCAAATAGAGACCATAGAGAGAGAAGAGAGAGACCAAATAGAGACAATAGAGAGAGAAGAGAGAGACCAGAGAGAGAGCAGAGAGAGACCAGCGAGAGAAGAGAGAGACCTGAGAGAGACCAGAGAGAGACCAGAGAGAGAGGGACCAGGGATTCAAGATTCAATATTTTATGTGCCATTTGCAGTAAAACCACACTGGAAAAACGTTGCAAGACTGTCCCAGCGTGCAAAATAAGAAAATCAGGAGAGAAATGTTGTGGTTTGAGTTTCTTGCTGTGAGTAGTTCAGAGTACTCTCTCTCTGCTCTTTCCCTCTCTCTCCTCACCCAGGCTCCTGGAGTCTGCATGTGGACTCTCTCACTGGTCTCTCTCTGGTTTCTTGCTCTGGTCCGTCTCTGGTCTCTCGCTCTCTCTCTCTCTCTCTCTCTCTGCTGTCTCTCAGGTCTCTTGCTCTGCTCTTTCTCTGCTCTCTCTCTTTGCTGGTCTCTCTCTGCTGTCTCTCTGCTCTCTCTCTTTGCTCTCTCTCTGCTCTCTCTCAGGTCTCTTGCTCTGCTCTTTCTCTGCTCTTTCTCTGCTCTCTCTCTTTGCTCTCTCTCTTTGCTCTCTCTCTTTGCTCTCTCTCTGCTCTCTCCCTCTCGCTCTCTGCTCTCTATCAGGTCTCTTGCTCTGCTCTTTCTCTGCTCTCTCTCTTTGCTGGTCTCTCTCTGCTGTCTCTCTGCTCTCTCTCTTTGCTCTCTCTCTGCTCTCTCTCAGGTCTCTTGCTCTGCTCTTTCTCTGCTCTTTCTCTGCTCTCTCTCTTTGCTCTCTCTCTTTGCTCTCTCTCTTTGCTCTCTCTCTTTGCTCTCTCTCTGCTCTCTCCCTCTCGCTCTCTGCTCTCTATCAGGTCTCTTGCTCTGCTCTTTCTCTGCTCTCTCTCTTTGCTGGTCTCTCTCTGCTGTCTGTCTGCTCTCTCTCTTTGCTCTCTCTCTGCTCTCTCTCTTTGCTCTCTCTCTGCTCTCTCTCAGGTCTCTTGCTCTGCTCTTTCACTGCTCTTTCTCTGCTCTCTCTCTTTGCTCTCTCTCTGCTCTCTCTCAGGTCTCTTGCTCTGCTCTTTCTCTGCTCTTTCTCTGCTCTCTCTCTTTGCTCTCTCTCTGCTCTCTCCCTCTCGCTCTCTGCTCTCTCTCAGGTCTCTTGCTCTGCTCTTTCTCTGCTCTCTCTCTTTGCTGGTCTCTCTCTGCTGTCTCTCTGCTCTCTCTCAGGTCTCTTGCTCTGCTCTTTCTCTGCTCTCTCTCTTTGCTCTCTCTCTGCTCTCTCTCTCTCACCCACGCTCCTGCAGCTTGCATCATTGTCCCGGTGCAACGCAGTGTAGCCTGATTGACCCTGCCACTTCTGCTCGCTCGACCCATTTCCTTCTGCAAAGAGAATGAAAAGTATTGTATCGACTCTGGCCTCATTACTCGGCCAGCGCCTGGAGGGAGGCGGGTGTGGGGGGTGTGTGTGGGGGTCTGTGTCACGCACTTTGACAAGACAATGCTCTAAGTTCAACAAACCCTCCTCACATTATCACATTAGTCTTACAACTCCTGACTCCAAACTAGAATCGTTAGCGGCGAAGCTACGTCCCGCTGGTTTGTCAGCATTAACCCCAGGCTCCTTCCACAGCTTTGCCTGGACTCCTTCGCCCTCAGTCTGCCCCGCTCAGACCTCTCCAATCAAACTAGCAACGCCTCTTTTAGCATTTTTGATTTACTTTGAGTCCAGTCAGAGGTGAGCGACGTGGAGGGCCCAGAGATGCAGCCTCGCTTGTCCCACGTCGATGAGCTTATCTGGGCTAAGCTGAAGGAGTGCAGAGCCAGGGCACCGGCGTCCGCCATCTGTCAGAAGCTTTGAGGACAGCGGGACAAAAGGCAGGAGCACGAGGAGGACTGAGATCTCTGGAGACCTTTGGCGAGACCGAACTTCCACGCAACATCCAGGTTTTGCATGATCACGGTATGTCTTTGCTGTTTGGACGTGTAAATGAATGGATGTGGATTGAGGAAAGAGCACAAGAATTGATTTGAGAAGTTCCAATCTGTTTGTCTTTGATCATCTTTGATAATTTGAAAGGAAAAAATAATCTTTGGTTCATGTATTTATGTTTTTCACTGTCTAATGAATGAAAACACAGGTGAAATCTACGCGGTGCTATAGGTTGAATAAGTCAAGAGTCTGCTCTGAGCCGGGATTAAGGCTTTGAAATCTCGAATGAATGATTGTTTTTGTTACGCATGGATTATTGCAATGGTTTTAATCAGTTATTCTCAGACTTGTTTTTGTTCGATGAAGTGGATAGATGTGTGAGTGCTGTGGAAGAAAGAAAAATGCCATAAAATAAATATAGATGGCACGATGACTTCTAACAATGTAGATATGGAATCGAAAGGTGGGATTTTTTGCAGAATTTCAAACCAAATATTGAAATAATGTCTGGCTTTTGGGCCTTGTTTCAATGTATTTCTTTCATTTTCATGTTTAATTGGGAAAGAATTTGGCAATTTGGAAGATACGTCTCACTCTTTAAAATAGTAATGTGTTTAAATACAGCTTTACATTTGAGTTTTGGAGCCAAAGCAAACTTCAGATTTTCAAAATATATCTTCTAGTCACAGGAGCAGAGAGACCATAGAGCGACTATAGTGGGACTAGGAACAGGGACCAGAGAAAGACCATAGAGAGACCATAGTGGAACTAGGGACAGGGACCAGAGAAAGACCATAGAGAGACCATAGTGGAACTAGGGACAGGGACCAGAAAAAGACCATAGAGAGACCATAGTGGGACTAGGGACAGGGACCAGAGAAAGACCATAGAGAGACCATAGTGGGACTAGGGACAGGGACCAGAGAAAGACCAGAGAGGGTCCAGAGAGAGAACATTGAGCGACCATAGAGAGATAGAGAGACCAAAGAGGGACCATAGCGAGACCAGACAGGGACCATATGGGACCAGAGAGACCAGAGAAAGACCAGAGAGGGACCATAGAGACCAGAGAGAGACCAGAAAGAGACCATAGAGGGACCATAGAGGGATCAGAGAGAGACAAAGAGAGAGACCAGAGAGAGAGATCAGAGAGGGACCATAGAGAGACCATAGGGACCATAGATAGACCATAGAGAGACCATGCGAGATCAGAGAGAGACCAGAGACTGGACTTTCATTTGTAGTGTGTAGAGCATAGATCATTTCAATTTGGAGAGACGAGAAACGAAAATGGTTTTGAGTATTTATTGAGGTGGTTTGGCGCCCTAGGCCCCGGTGCGGCCTTCAGATCGGAGAGGCTCCTGCGATGGAGCGCGTACAATCCCCCGGGACCTAGGCACTGGTGGCGGCAGATTGGAGGCAGATTGGAGGCAGATTGGAGGCAGATTGGAGGCAGATTGGAGGCAGATTGGAGGCAGATTGGAGGCAGATTGGAGGCAGGTTGGAGGCAGGGTGAAGAGGAGGAGGAGGGGAGGCGGTGGTTGCGAGGCTTCGAGAAGGCAGAGAGTGGGAGTTGCTCCGCTTTTAAGCGGCTGCCTGTCCGGCACGGATGATTGGAAGGGGGCGTTTGCCGAGCGATAGGCTGGGGAAGCGAACCGGCCTGGAGGGGGTAGCTTTTGGCTGACGTCTACCAAATTGAATTTTCGCGAGCTACATTTCAATTTGGAGAGACGAGAAACGAAAATGGTTTTGAGTATTTATTGAGGTGGTTTGGCGCCCTAGGCCCCGGTGCGGCCTTCAGATCGGAGAGGCTCCTGCGATGGAGCGCGTACAATCCCCAAAAAGGCTGAGTGTGTTGATGGAGTTTTGCAGCCTGGTTTGCAGGGAACAGACGTCGTGGCTACTCTATGCTGTGACCGCTATCGCTATGCTGTGACCGCTATCGCTATGCTGTGACCGCTATCGCTATGCTGTGACCGCTATCGCTATGCTGTGACCGCTATCTCTATGCTGTGACCGCTATCGCTATGCTGTGACCGCTATCGCTATGCTGTGACCGCTATCGCTATGCTGTGACCGCTATCTCTATGCTGTGAACCGTTTATGCGCTAACCATTTTTTGCTATGCTGTGACCGCTAACACTAACGCTATGACCGCTACCACTGACGCTATGACCGCTATCACTGACGCTATGACCGCTATCACTAACGCTATGACCGCTATCACTATGTGCTGTGACCGTTATATGCGGTTATCTTTGAGTGCCGGGACGTGAGCGCTCGCATCACGATCAACCGGACGCTGCGGCAGGGTTATCTTTGAGCGCTGGGACGTGAGCGCTCGCATCACAATCAACCAGACGCTGCGGCAGGGTTGTCTTTGCGCGCTGGGAACGTGAGCGCTCGCATCACGTTCCGTCAGACGCTGCGGCAGCGGAGAGTGTTTGAGAGAAGTGCGTGCCGCCACCAGAATCTTATTGGTTCACTTACTTTGCTTCGTATTGCTTTGCTGGGAGCTTACGAGGAAGCCAGTTGACGTTGTGCAGGCAGGATAGCGGACGCGTCTGGCCTGATGTAGGCGGAGAAAGCCGCAGAGGACCGGCGCCCCAGCTGTTGCAGAGAGGTGTGGGGGAGCCCCAGCGAGGCCGCGATGGTCCTGGAAATAAACCCCCCAAAACCCACGGAAGGGGCACGTCCGTGTAGAAGCCGAGACCTGGAGGGGCAGAGACATATCGGAGAGGGCCATGAAGTTGCAGGCGCCCTTACGCTTAGAATCTTGGGTTGGAGAGTAGATAATCAGGATAGTAGGATGGTCGGGAAAAGCCGTGTCTCGGACCGCACGAAGGTTGAGTGTGCAGTAGTGAAACGCTTATGCAGAGAAGCCATGGAAGGCGAGCAGGAAGATGCTGCGAGGAGGGCAGACATGTACTTGGAAGATGAGCCGGAGTTCAGTGCCGCTGCAGGATGGGCAGCATGATGGGGAGCCTGCGATCAGAGGAGTGAAGAACACGGTATGGATGCCTTTGATTAGGAGTCCAATTGACGGCTCAGCGCAGCTACTCGGCCAGCTGCATCTGATAGAATCAGAAGATTAAGTAGAGAGATGAAGCACGACCGCCGAAGTGACCCTGGGAGCATAGGTGCGAGTCCAGTGCCGCGCGGCATACTCGGCCGGGCTGCATCCATTAGAAGCAGGATAAGCTTCTGAGAGAGTGGGTTGCAGCAGTAGCAGTAGCAGTAGCAGCAGCGGCAGTAACCTCAGATAATAACGGCAACGACCTGTATCAGCCGCGGCAGCAGCAGCTGCTGCATCCGTAGATAATAACGGCAAAACCCTGTATCAAAGCCACGGCAGTAGAATATGTTGTAGCTGTTTAGTGTTTCAGTAAGAGAAGCGAAGTGAAGAGAGATGACGAAGTACATGAAGCAGCAGCAGCACGGCAGTAGTAGCAGTATGAAGCAGCAGCGGCAGCAGTAGCAGCAGTAGCGGTAACAGTATGAAGCAGCAGAAGCAGCATTAGCAGGAGCAGCAGCACCACGAAGCGATTCATACGAACAGACAGACGTGTCACGCCGGCGTGCGCCGCTTGTCTCCGTGAGCCAGGTTACGTACGTGTCTGAAAGAGCCGAGCCACAGAGACGGGTGCAGCCTGGGAGCCTGCGGAACGGCAGCGGCACATGTAGTAGTAGGAGCAGCAGGAGCAGCAGCAGGGACAGACAGCAGCAGGAGCGGCAGCAGGAACAGGCAGCAGCAGGAGCGGCAGCAGGAACAGCAGCGGCGGGATCAGGCATCAGTAGGAACGGCAGCGGGGACCGGCAGCAGCGGCGGTCAGAGAACCAACCCACGGTTGTTTAAGAGCCTGAGGGAATAAATCAACCCGAATCCGAAACACTCCCATGCGAATAACAGACGTCCCCTGGAGCCATCTTCTGCTTTGGTTATGGCAGATGCGCATGAACGATCACTGATCCATGCGTTCATAGCTCCAACACTACTTCACACCCATTGCAGATTCACGTTTGGCCCTTTTTCTTCCTGCTGCACTTTCAAAATGCAACACTGCAGTTAGTTACCTAATTTAATACCAGCGACCTAGCTATTTAATGCATGGTTTTACTGCAAGTGGCAGAACATGATCTGAATTAATGCACATAGCTCCTCGTATATCCCTCAGACGATAGAGATTGATGCCATTTAATATGCATTGCCCCTCGGTTAGCTCAGACACATGTGAAACGGAGCCTGCAGACCAAGCTCGGGGCGAAAAAAAAACTGGCGCCTGCAGTCAAGTGCGTAGGGCAAAAACCAATCGCCTGCAGCCCAGAACTCCGGGATTAATCTGTCCGCGGTCAGCACACTCACTGTACTCACATGCCAGGAGACTTGGGAAAGCAACGGGACAACGCGGCACCGCCAGACCTTCTGCGTGCGGCAGCAGACCACGAGGAACGAGCCGCACAGAAACCCGCGGAGGGCCCCGCGGAGCAGCCCGCAGAAAGAGCCCGCAGAGGAGGAGAGCAGTGGGGATATGCGAACCACAGCAGTGCAGGGACGCGAAGGAGGAGCAGACCACAAGCAGCCAGACGGAGGACGCCAGGGACGCGCCGAGTAGCGTGAGTAGACGAAAACGATTCCTCCAGACGATTCTCTGCAAGGCTTCAGGAGCTTGCGAGGCTTCGAGAAGGCAGAGAGTGGGAGTTGCTCCGCTTTTAAGCGGCTGCCTGTCCGGCACGGATGATTGGAAGGGGGCGTTTGCTGAGCGATAGGCTGGGGAAGCGAACCGGCCTGGAGGGGGTAGCTTTTGGCTGACGTCTACCAAATTGAATTTTCGCGAGCTACATTTCTCAAAACTAACTTAGGCAATACTTTTGTTTTATGGCAGGAGACATAGTGTAGATCAGGGACTGAAGGAGAAGAATGTACCGAGCAAGTGAAGCTTTTTATTGAGAAATGTATTCATCTAATCTATATTGTAACTATGGCCTGTAAGATGGATAATGGACGCAATGAAGCCCAATAGGGAAATGCTCATGGATGAAGTTTTGCTCCAACTCACTCTGGCTCCTATTGACTTACATGTAAAAGTAAACTCCAGAGGAACCTCCAGCTTGACTCAGCGACCATGCTAGCAACACATCTGCCCAAGTTACGCCGCGAAAGCTAACACCATCAGAACTAATGCCAATTCCCACACTGGGCAAGGCATAGCTATTCTTTTGGCCAGCACAGTTCATTCACAAGGCAACTCAAAGTGCTTAACAAAACAAGAAAAGAAACAGTAATAATCAGGAATCAAGAAAATTGGCTCCAGCTATCTATTCAAATCAGCCTCTCCCACAGTGGGCTTTATACAGAGACTTTATTATAGTGTGGTTTGATATGTCTCCTTTAAACTTTTATAGTGTTGTTTGAACCATGAAGGCCGGTCTTAAATACCTGTTTTGTGCGATCTCTCTCTTCTCGATCGGGATTCACTGGACTGAACAAAGTGTCTTCAGAGACTTGTTTTCGTCTCTCATGACTTCCATTAGATCGACATAACTCAATTTGCTCTGCCCTTTCAGCCACAGCTATTTCTGTTAATGCAATTTAGCCTTCTCGCATCAGGCACAAACAACTCGGGATCTTTAAAGGGAATTTATTACACTATTGTTGCTTCATAAGTACGTTCCTCACTGAAAATTATACAAAGTGCTAAAGCTTTTAAAGGTGTCAGGTTATGTCTGTCTATCTGTCTAGCTAGCTGTCTGTCTGTCTGTCTGTTCGAGAGCTCGTAACTCAAAAACTTCTGGGAGGATTTGGAAGACATTTTCAGAAAACCTTTGCTATAACTTTATAAACATGTGATATAATTTTGGAGCTGATCTGACTCAGTGTCTGTCTGTCACTCACCTCAGAGGCCACGCCCCCTGGCTCCTCAGTTGCTGTTTGCAGGGAGCAGGGCAGAAGGGTCCGACTCCTCAGGTGACTTTTTGGGGTTATTGGATGAATGTTTCACGACCGGAGCATAGACTGGAGGAGGAGAGGACAGAAAAAGCACGGCAGGTTTATTTGTATAGCTCAGTTCCTACACCAGGAAACTCAAAGTGCTCAATAAAACACTGTAGAAACAGTAAAATCACACAAGGCAGAAGAATCATTAAAAAATCATGATAAATTTAAAAGAGTGAATAATATTTGACCTGCATTATTCCTGTTCCTCAGAGACTCAGCAGGAGGAGCACAGGAAAGTCTCTTTCTGGTTTCTACCTTGTGTCTCTTGTTGCTGGTCTCTATCTCTGTGGTCTCTCTCTGGTCTCTCTCTCTCTCTTGTCTCCCTCTTGTCTCTCTGTGGTCTCTCTGTGGTCTCTCTCTCTGGTCCCCCTCTTGTCTCTCTCTGATCTCTCTCTGGTCTCGCTCTTGTCTCTCTCTGGTCTCTTTCTGGTCTCTCTCTCTGGTCTCCAGCTTGTCTCTCTGTGGTCTCTCTGTGGTCTCCTTCTGGTCTCTCTCAGGTCTCTTTCTGGTCTCTCTCTGGTCTCTGGTCTCCAGCTTGTCTCTCTGTGGTCTCTCTCTCTAGTCTCTCACTTGTCTCTCTAGCCACAGGGACTGGCCTCCTGCAGGTCCCCAGAGTCAGGACTAAACATGGGGAGAAAGCTAAAATCCAGAACAGTCTTCCTGAAAATGTCTTCTTCTCCGACAACGTTGACATCCGGGTTACAAACAGTTGTGTTTATCTGTGCAGAGAACTGAAGGATTGTATCTTCCCTCTTGTTAATGTACTGTGATTATTTATTTTTTGAATGTATATTTTTCTTGTTTTTTTAACCACTGTGAGTTGGACTGTGCTATACAAATAAGCTTTCCCTGTGGTTCCCTGTCCGTGTCGCGGGGTTCAGTCCTGACATGAGGGAGGTGACAGAAATAGGTCAAAATGGTCTTACGCATTAACCAAACAAATCCTGCTCATAGGATTACACGGCGGCTGCTTGTTCTCCCTGTTCCTCGCTGCCTTCACAATAGAAGCGTCTCGAGCGGCGGATCCGGCTCTGTGTGCGCCGACACGACCATAAACCGCAAATAATCCTTTTGTTGTCGTTTGTCAGAGTGATGTCATCAAAGTGAGACGTATTAGCGTTAATGAGAGAAGTGTGTTTTTGTCCGTGTAGTAGTTTTAGTTTATAAGACACTGTTTTCTGAATGTGCTGTTTTTTGTAGTGTCTATGGGAGATCCACTATTGTCAAAGAAATGTACCAATATTGTTATGTAATGTATCAACACATTCATTGAGGGAGAAAATAGAATATATGGAAAAAGGTGGCCTGCGAGGAACATATGATTATCAATATATTGTGATAATTATCAATCACTTTTTTAAACCACTGGTCTCTCTCTTTGGTCTCTCCCTTGTCTCTTTCTGATCTCTCTGATCTCTTTCTCGCCTCTCTGTCTGGTATTTCTCTCTTGTCTCTCTGGTCTCTCTCTTGTCTATCTGGTCTCTCTCTTGCCTCTCTAGTCTCTCTCTTGTCCATCTGGTCTCTCTCTTGTCTATCTGGTCTCTCTCTTGCCTCTCTAGTCTCTCTCTTGTCTATCTGGTCTCTCTCTTGTCTGTCTGGTCTCTCTCTTGTCTGTGTGGTCTCTCTCTCTTGTCTGTCTGGTCTCTCTCTTGTCTGTCTGGTCTCTCTCTCTTGTCGCTCTGGTCTCTCTCTTGTCTTTCATGGTCTCTCTCTTGCCTCTCTAGTCTCTCTCTTGTCTATCTGGTCTCTCTCTTGTCTATCTGGCCTCTCTCTTGCCTCTCTAGTCTCTCTCTTGTCTATCTGGTCTCTCTCTTGTCTATCTGGCCTCTCTCTTGCCTCTCTAGTCTCTCTCTTGTCTATCTGGTCTCTCTCTTGTCTATCTGGTCTCTCTCTTGTCCATCTGGTCTCTCTCTTGTCTATCTGGTCTCTCTCTTGCCTCTCTAGTCTCTCTCTTGTCTATCTGGTCTCTCTCTTGTCTGTCTGGTCTCTCTCTTGTCTGTCTGGTCTCTCTCTCTTGTCGCTCTGGTCTCTCTCTTGTCTATCTGGTCTCTCTCTTGCCTCTCTAGTCTCTCTCTTGTCTATCTGGTCTCTCTCTTGCCTCTCTAGTCTCTCTCTTGTCTATCTGGTCTCTCTCTTGCCTCTCTAGTCTCTCTCTTGTCTATCTGGTCTCTCTCTTGCAGGCCACACTGCGGGCACTCATGTACAGCTTCATTGGACGGTTGAATAGGTCTGTCAATGACATAGTTGTGTCACTGGTTGATATCCGTTGTAGTGCGGCCCGTTATAAGTCGAGGATGTGGGCGCACTGGTATAGTTGTCTTCTGTCTTTTTAACTTGTATGTCTTGTCCTTTCTTTGTATGTGTCACTGTTGGACCATGAGTCCGTAATAAAAGCTTCATTCATTTATTCATTCATTCTCTTGCCTCTCTGGTCTCTCTCTTGTCTGTCTGGTCTCTCTCTTGTCCCTCTTAGCTCTCTCTTTGGTCTCTCTGATCCTCTGACTTCAGAAAACCTATTTTGAAAGCCTAATATTCATTTCAACCATTTTAATTCGACACGTCCCTGTCTTTCCCTGTGGTGAAACGCTGACTCGGGTCCAAACAACACGCTGATCTTTGACACGACTTCTGTTTTTTCTCCTCCAGGTCTCATTTGTCACATCAGAGTAAAAACAGAGGCACCATGTCGGAACAAGAGGAGATACCCTCAGACCTGCTCAATGTGATGCTCACGCTCCGGCTTCTCATGCACGGAAAGGTTCAAACTTAACCAAAATACTAAATATGTGTCTCAGAAGGTTCTTTTAATGAGACAAAAGTGTAAAGAAGCTAGTTCAGATCCATCAGACTGGCCACGCCCCCTTGTGGTCTCTGGAGAAGTGAATCCCAAGTGTGAGACAAGGTGAAGGGCCCCTCGTCCCTGTTGATGGTCCATGCTTCTTTGTTGATAGGCAAAGCAACACAGGAATGTCTGACCACTGCAGACGAGATGGGTATGAGACCAGAGAGAGAGAGACCGGAGAGAGACCAGAGAGCGAAAGAGAGATTGAGACCAGAGAGAGACTTAAGAGAGACCAAAGAGAAAGGGAGATCATAGAACCAGAGAAAGAGGGAGACCAGAGAGACAAGAGAGCGATAGAGAGAGTCCAGAGAGAGAGGCCAGAGCAACATAGAGAGGGAGCTCAGAAATAGACTGTAGAGAGACCACAGAGAGAGGTAGAGACCTGAGAGAGAGTGACCAGAAAGAAAAGAGAGATAAGGAGATGAGAGAAGGACCAGAGAGAGAGAGAGAGAGAGAGAGAGACCAGACCGACATAGAGAGGAAGCTCAGAGAGAGAGAGAGAGAGAGAGACTGTAGCAAGACCAGAGAGAGAAGCAGAAACCAGGTTCAGAGAAACCAGAGAGAGACGAAGAGAGAGAGACCAGAGAGAAATACCAGAGACAAGAAAGATACCAGAGAGAAGAGAATGATCAGAGACACATCACTCCATCACGTGTCTACCACCGAAACATGTGGCAATCAAACAGTACTAGCTTCTTTAAAGTAGTACTAGAATTTAATATGCTGCTATCCAGAATATATAACTACAATATGTGTTTATAATATTTCGGGTGTTCATTTTGACATGTTCAGATGAATTATGTTAAAAAAACGGCTTTCAGGTGGCACTTTTTCACTTCCGCATAGAAACGCTAGGGGGCGCCAAAATGGCGGCGATGACGTAGGAGAAGGACCTCTCACAGCAGAGGACAGCAGTCTGGGCTGAATCTGTAGGAGGTTTCACTGTCATCTGAACAAGGTAAAAACATATTTTCATCCGTTTTGTGCATAATAGTGTGCAATTCTTTTAACCTTTTAGCCTTATTTGAGAGATTCAAGCAAACTAGTGTTGGGCAAGTTAGCTAACTCTACTTGATATCATAAAACATGCTAACAAGGCTAATATTCGTTTTTACATTATGCCAGTCTCACTTTGCCTTAGATTTATTTACCACAATGTACATTGTAATATCCATAAATGTTAACACCTATTAACGGTTTAATTAGCATTTTTATCAATGATTGCATCACATGTAGTCTATGTTTTCAACTTCTGCAGCTTTTTGTTCATAAAAGTAAAATATTTATTTAATTCAAGTTATTTTGATTAGCATTTATGGATATTACAATGTACATTGTGGTAAATAAATCTAAGGCAAAGTGAGACTGGCATAATGTAAAAACGAATATTAGCCTTGTTAGCATGTTTTATGATATCAAGTAGAGTTAGCTAACTTGCCCAACCCTAATTAGCTTGAATCTCACAAATAAGGCTAAAAGGTTAAAAGAGTTGCACACTATTATGTACAAAACTGATGAAAATATGTTTATACCTTGTTCAGATGACAGTGAAACCTCCTACAGATTCAGCCCAGACTGCTGTCCTCTGCTGTGAGAGGCCCTTCTCCTACGTCATCGCCGCCATTTTGGCGCCCCCTAGCGTTTCTATGCGGAAGTGAAAAGGTGCCACGTCAAAGCCGTTTTTTAACCTAATTCATCTGAACATGTCAAAATGAACACCCGAAATATTATAAACACATATTGTAGTTATATATTCTGGATAGCAGCATATTAAATTCTAGTACTACTTTAAACTTATACACGTCTTATTAGAAGAACCTTCCAAGCCTTTAAGTTGAAATAAAACTTGCTAAACTTGTCACATGTCTCTCCCAAACACTTTCCCCCATATGCACTCGGGTCTCTCTCCAGGAAGTGGGAAGCATCATCGGAAAGGTACGTCCAGACTCGGCGTGTGCTCATTCTGGCCTCTGCAGTCCATGCTTCAAAATCCCATTGAGTTTTTTACCGTTCTTTGGTTTTGTGTTGTTTGCAGAAAGGAGAAACGGTGAAGAAGATGAGAGAGGAGGTGAACTCTAAAACGAAGAGGCGAAAAGGCCAAAGAGATCGGATTGAGTTGGTTCAGTTTGGGGAAATAAACAGTGATTCTATGAGATGGACAGTTAGCAGACAGAATATTCAAGTTTTTAATTTTTAGTCCATCCTTCTATCGTACTAGTCTTCAGTAATTAAGTAAAAATAGGGATATGTGATACGCTAGCACAATGATGCCCAAAAGGGAAGTGTTCAAGGATGAAGTTTTGCTCCAACTCCCTCTGGCTCCTGTTGACTTACATGTTAAAGTAATCTCCTCATTATTATGGGCTTAAATCTGTGGTTTAGTGCTCTCTGTGGTCCTGGTGTTTGTATATTCATGTTATTTTTGTAAAGTCAAATTCTGAGTCGGTTACAGAGAATTTATCTCTCTATGCCCCCAGAAAAAGTCTCACATCTTCTTTGTCAGTACATATAAACTATGGTATCTCTGGTCTCTCACTGGTCTCTTTCTCTCCTGTTTCTGGTCTTTCCCTGATCTCTTTCTGGTCCCTCTCTGGTCTATATCTGGCCTCACTCTGATCTTTCTCTGGTCTCTCTCTGGTCCATCGTTTGTTTCTCTCTGGTCTTTCTCTGGTCTGTCTCTAGTCTCTCTATCTGGTCTCTCTCTGGTCCCTCTCTCTGATCTCTCTTTGGTCTTTCTCTGGTCTCTCTCTGGTTTCTTTCCACTCTCTCTGGTCTCTCTCTTTCCGCTCTCTCTCTCTCTGGTTTTTCTCTGGTCTCTCGCTTTCTCTCTCATTCCGCTCTCTCTCTCTCTCTCTGGTCTCTCTCAGGTCTTTCACTAGTCTCTCTCTCTCTCTGGTCTCTCTCTCTCTCTCTCCCTCTCTCTGTGATCTAAAGTGTTACCCAGTCTCTGTTCTTGTACACTTGCAGTTGTCAAAGCCTTTTCTTAAAGTTATGTTGTTGTGTTTAGAGCGGAGCCAGAATCAACATCTCAGAAGGCTCGTCCCCAGAGAGGATCGTCACCATCACGGGCCCCACGGAGGGGATCTTCAGGGCCTTCTCTATGATCGCGCTCAAGTTTGAAGAGGTGAGAGTCACACGGGTCTGCTGCAGCTCAAAGACCACATCTTACAACCATCGTCCGACCACCACATCAGACCGAGACTCAGCCACGGACACAAAACCAAACATTCCAGGTCGTTCCAATGTTCTCAAGGCTGCTACTAAAACAATTCTCACATAAATAATTCACGTAGTTTGTCTCAACAGAAAGAGTTTTGTAAAAGTAAAATGTTGTGAACAAATCAGGCCACAACAAGTTGTCTGTATCTTAATGTTTTTTTTATCCCGATTTAATCCCTGTGATCCCTGTGAGTCACTATTCGACTCTTTGAGCTGAGAGCTGATTGGCTGAGTGAGGCTGGTTCTTTTTTTGTCACTTTTTTCGGTCTGAAAAGGTTGATACTGAAATACTTGGAATCCATTGATAGTGGCGCCACCAGCAGGTGAAAGCCAAATCATGTTAGACCTCTGCAGCTAAGCAGGACAGGGCCTGGTCAGTACTGTGAGGGGAGGTAGTCTGATCTCTGAGATAACTACAGTTGTGATTTAGGGTTATTCGAAAACAAACGTAATTGAATTGAATTGAGCTGTGTGTATGACAGCTACAAAAGTCCTGTGTGATTAAAGCTCTCCTTCTTTCTAGTGTCCATCCTGGTCTCCTTCTTCCTGGTCTCCTTCTTCCTTGTCTCCCTCTCCCTGGTCTCAATCTCTCTGGTCCCCTTCTTCCTGGACTCCTTCTTCCTCTCCCTGGCCTCCTTCTTCCTGGTCTCCCTCTCCCTGGTCTCCCTCTCCCTGGTCTCAATCTCTCTGGTCTCCTTCTTCCTCTCGCTGGTCTCCTTCTTCCTGCTCTCCCTCTTTCTGGTCTACTTCTTCCTCTCCCTGGTCTCCTTCTTCCTGCTCTCCCTCTCTCTGGTCTCCTTCTTCCTCTCCCTGGTCTCCTTCTTCCTCTCCCTGGTCTCCTTCTTCCTGCTCTCCCTCTCTCTGGTCTCCTTCTTCCTCTCCCTGGTCTCCTTCTTCCTGGTCTCCTTCTCTTCCTGCACTCCCTCTTCATGGTCTTGTTCATGGAATCCTTCTCTTCATGGTCTTCTTCTCTTCCTGGTCTCCTGCAGGACATCACGTCGGCCATGTTGAACAGCAGTGTGACCAGCAAACCCCCTGTGACTCTCCGTCTGGTGTTTCCCGGGAGTCAGTGCGGCTCGCTCATCGGCAAAGGAGGCTCCAAGATCAAGGAGATCAGAGAGGTACCAGGACCCGGACGCAGTGTTTAACGCTGGTGTATCACCGCAACAAGGTCCTGGTTTGACTTTGATTCTACCTCCAGTCCTTTCTGTGTGGAGTTTGCCTGTTTGTATTTCCTCCAGGTGCTCCGGTTCCCCCATCACTAAACACATGTACAGTAGGTCTGGCAAGTGCATTTTGTATGAAGACCACTGTATCTCTAGTCTTTCTGTGGTCTCTCTCTGTTCTCTATTTCTGGTCTCTCTCTAGTCTCTCTCTTTGCTTTCTCTCTTCCTCTCTGCTCTCTATGTTCCCTCTCTCTTGTCTCTCTCTCTGGAATCTCCAGTCTCCCTGGGGTCTCTCTCTCTCAGTTTTCTCTCTGTTTCCTCGTTGGTCTCCCTCTGGTCACTCTCTATTCTCTCTGATTTTTTCTCTCTAAACTCTCTCTGGGTTATCTCTCTCTCTCTTTATGGTCTCTCTCTCTCTTTCTCTGCTTTCTCTCTGGTCTCTCACTACTCTCTGGTTTATCTCTCTGGTCTCTCTTTATGGTCTCTCTTCATGGTCTTTCTCTCTCACTGCTTTCTCTCTGGTCTCTCACTACTCTCTGGTTTATCGCTCTGGTCTCTCTTTATGGTCTCTCTCTCTCTCTCTCTCTCTCTCTCTCTGCTTTCTCTCTGGTCACTCTCTACTCTCTCTGGGTTTTCTCTCTTGTCTCTCTCTCTGGTCTCTCTCTACTCTCTCTGGACTCTTTGGTTTCTCTCACTGGTCTCACTCTGATCTTATCTGTTCAGTTCCTTCCATTTACCATAAAATCATCCGTTGGTTTAAACACGACATTCTCTTAACTATAACTGAATAATCATCTCCTGCTCTCTACTCCCCCTGGTGTCTGAGAGAGGCACTTACGTCTCATCCATGATTTCTTTGGAGTGGGCTGGTTCTGATTAAGAGGCTGCAGCTGACTATGAATGCACAATTAGAGGATTTTTATCATTTATTTTCTCGCACAATATTTACGATTGGCTCTTGAGAAGCAGAAGCGCGCAGCTGCAGCCTCATGTCAAACGTCCAAGGCCAAACTGGGAGACAGATTTTCATAAATACATGATGAAGGAAGTGAGGAGCAGAGATAAGACAGGACCTTGTTCCTAAAGCTGGGCTACCTAACTTTACAACCACAAGAATGACACTTGTTCCTGGATATAATTATTGTTATTATTGACTTTTATAACCAGGAAAGTGCCACTGAGATTGCAGAAATCCTCTTTTTAAGAGCGGTCCTGTACACATATCGTACTTGTTTTAGTGAGAGGGGAAACCGGAGCACCTGGAGGAAACCCAAACAGACACAGCGGGAACATGCAAACTTCACACAGAAAGGCCTGGAGGTGGAACCAAACCCAGGAGTGCAGGTGGAAATGAACTGTGTAGCTGTAATCTGGTCAATGTTGTTGTGCATTGTCCTTTTCAAATAGAGACTAAACTCTCTCTGGTCTCTCCCTCCAGTCTCTCTCTGGTCTCTCTCTCCAGTCTCGCTCTGGTCGCTCTCTGGTCTCCATCTCTGGTATCTCTCTGGTCTCTCTCTCTTGTCTCCATCTCTGGTCTCTCTCCAGTCTCTCCCTCCAGTCTCTCTCTGGTCTCTCTCTCCATTATCTCTCTTGTCTCTCCCTCCAGTCTCTCTCTGCTTGCTCTCTGGTCTCCATCTCTGGTATCTCTCTGGTGTCTCTCTCTTGTCTCCATATCTGGTCTCTCTCTCTTTCCAGTCTCTCTCTGGTTTACCTCTCCAGTTTCTCTCTCTGGTCTCCATCACTGGTCTGTCTCTCGCTCTGGTCTCTTTCTGGTCTCTCTCCTGTCTTTCCCTCCAGTCTCTCCCTGGTCTCCATGGTCTATCTCTCACTCTGGTCTCTCTCTTGTCTCTCTCCAGTCTCGCCTCACCTTCTTTCTGATCCCTCTCTGGTATCACTATGGTCCCTCACTCTGGTCTCAACCCGCTCTCCATCTTTCCACAATACAGTAACCATTTTTGTAATCGTTTCTTGACTCTTTGGGTTGAGTGTGTTTGGGAGCCGGCCTGGGAACACGTCAGGATTCCCCAGAATGAGCTAGAGGAAGTGTGGCTGCCTGTTTTAGATGTTGTGTTTGTGCGTTTATTAATGTTGTGTGTGTTTGTGTGTGTGTGTGTGTGTGTGTGTGTGTCTGCAGAGCACCGGGGCCCAGGTGCAGGTGGCTGGGGACATGCTTCCAGAGTCCACAGAGCGAGCGGTGACCATCTCTGGGACGCCTCAAGCCATCACCCAATGTGTGCGCCACATCTGCTCCGTCATGCTGGAGGTCAGAATGCTCTCTAGTCTCTCCCTGGTCTCACTCTCTGGTCTCTCTCTGGTCTCTCTCTCTGGTCTCTCTCTGGTCTCTCTCTCTGGTCTCTCTCTGATCTCTCTTTCTGGTCTCTCTCTGGTCTCTCTCTGATCTCTCTTTCTGGTCTCTCTCTCTGGTCTCTCTCTCTGGTCTCTCTCTCTGGTCTCTCTCTGGTCTCACTCTGGTCTCTCTCTGCTCTCTCTCTCTCTTGTCTCACTGGTCTCTTTCTTTCTCTGATGTCTCTTTCTCTCCTCTTTCTAGTTCCTCTTTCTGGTCTCTCACCCTGGTCTCTCTCCATCTCCGGTCTCTTTCTCTGCTCTCTCTCTCTCTAGTCCCTCACTCTGATCTTTTTAGTCTCTCTCTGCTCTTTCTAGTCCCTCACTCTTGTCTCTCTCTCGTCCCTCACAAGTGTCTCTGGTCTCTCTGGTGTCTCTCTTTTCTCTTTCTCTGGTGTCTCTCTGCTCTCTCTAGTCCCTCACTCTGATCTCTCTCTAGTCTCTCTCTGCTCTCTCTAGTTCCTCTTTCTGGTCTCTCACCCTGGTCTCTCTCCATCTCCGGTCTCTTTCTCTGCTCTCTCTCATTTTCCTCACTCTGATCTCTCTCTAGTCTCTCTCTGCTCTATCTAGTTCCTCACTCTGGTCTCTCACAAGTGTCTTTCTCTGGTCTCTCACCCTGGTCTCTCTCCATCTCCGGTCTCTTTCTCTACTCTCTCTCTCTCTCACTCTGGTCTCTCACGAGTGTCTATCTGGTCTCCCTTCTCTCTCACCCTATAGGTTCCTTCAATATCCGGCCTCTCTCTCTCTTGTCTCGCTGGTCTCTTTCTCTTGTCTCTTTCTTTCTCTGATCTCTCTCTCTCTGCTCTCTCTAGTCCCTCACTCTGGTCTCTCTCTAGTCTCTCTCTGCTCTCTCTAGTCCCTCACTCTGGTCTCTCTCATCTCTCACGAGTGTCTCTGGTGTCTCTCTTTTCTCTTTCTCTGATGTCCCTCTGCTCTCTCTAGTTCCTCACTCTGGTCTCTCACAAGTGTCTCTCTGGTCTCTCCCTTGATCTCTCTCCATCTCTGGTCTCTTTCTCTGCTCTCTGCTCTCTCTAGTCCCTCACTCTGGTATCTCACGAGTATCTATCTGGTCTCCCTTCTCTCTCACCCTAGTCTCTCTCTATATCTGGTCTCGCTCTCTCTGGTCTCTCTCTTTCATAAAAAAAAATATTATTTCCAATCCTGCTCTCCAGATTTACATTAATAACTCGACAATAACTTCTCGTTCTGAGCCTCTTCTTCCTCTTTATTCTGCTTATTGTCGCCAAACTCGCTCTGCGGCGGCGCCCCCTGGAGACCGTCTTCCTCCGTCTGCCTCCGTCTCAGATATAATTACTTTTGTGATAGATGCAGAGATTATACAAGTGTAAAGAGGCCATTATCGTCACGGCGACTGGTTCGGAGGGTGACGGCGAGCGAGTCTCCGGAGACTACAGCTCCTCAAAGATCTATATTTAGACTCTTCTACCGTTTCAAAAGAACCATAATTGCACCGAGTTTTGAGGCGAGAGACTGAGCGAGCTGCGGATCTGCATTCAGACGTTGATGATGTCTGGTGTGTGTGTGTGAATGGTTGGTGGTGGTGGGAGGGGCCGATGGCACAGACTGGTTGCCTCGCTTCTGTCAGTGTGCCCCAGGGCAGCTGTGGCTACAGTAGTAGTTTATCACGACCATGAAAGGAATGAAAGAATAATAAATTAATAATAATAATAAAAGAGTACAAGTAGCTCTTATGGTCCTATGTTTGACACCAGATAGAGAGACAAGAGAGAGACCAAAGAAAGAGACCAGTGAGAGACCAGAGAGAGACCAGAGAGAGAGACCAGAGAGACCAAAGAGAGAGACCAGTGAGAGGCCAAAGAGAGAGATCAGTGAGAGACCAGAGAGACCAAAGAGAGAGACCAGTGAGAGACCAGAGAGACCAAAGAGAGAGACCAGAGAGACCAAAGAGAGAGACCAGTGAGAGGCCAGAGAAAGAAACCAGAGAGAGAGACCAGTGAAAACCCAGAGAGAGAGAGACCAGAGAGAGACCAGAGAGAGACCAGTGAGAAACCAGAGAGAGACCAGAGAGAAACCAGAGAGAGAGAGAGACCAGAGAGAGAGACCAGAGAGAGACCAGTGAGAGACAAGAGAAAGACCAGAGAGAAACCAGAGAGGGACTAAAAAGTGTCCCAAAAGAAATGTATAAAACCAATGCATCATCATTATTATTCTACATCATACACAATACACACAACACACACAATACACACAACATACACAATACACACATCATACACAATACACACAACATAGACAATACACACAACACACACAATACACACATCATACACAATACACACAACACACACAATACACACGACATAGACAATACACACAACACACACATAGTACCAGTAGCTCATATGGTTCCAGTATCAGGAGCCAGACCAGACCCTGAACAAAGCGGTGAATGAGAATCACAGTTTGATCTTTTTAGTGTGGCAGTTTGAAAACACTGCACTTCACAAACCTCTGTGTCTGTTTTAAATATTCTGAACCAAAGTCTCTGTCGCCCTGAGCTCTTCATGCGGGTCTTCATTCCCAGCTTTGTGGACAGAGGGTGAGGGGCAGGGGGCTTCGCTTCGAGAACACCAGGTCTCAAAAACTTTGCAAAAATAATTGGGGGAAAGTTAAAAGTACAAAAATCTGTGGAGTAACTTTCGGCGATGGACGAATGATAAATGTTCGACAAAAATGTATGTTTGATGTTTTCTCTTGATATTAAAATACATGCTGTCTCGTGTGTGTGTACGTATGTATGTGCGTGTGTGTGTGTAAGTATATGTATGTGTGTACGTACGCATGTATCTGTGTGTGTGTGTGTGTGTGTGTGTGAGTATTTGTATGTATGTGTGTATGTGTAGGTCTATGTATGTGTGTGTGGAGTTATATGTATGTACTGTATGTATGTATGTATGTAGGTATGTGTGTATACTTATGTGTGCAGTTATGTTCATGCGTGTGTGTGTGTATGTATGTATGTGTGTGTGTGTGCATGTGTGCATACATGTTTGTGTATGTATGTTTGTATGTGTGTGTGTGTCTGTAAGTTTTTGTATGTGTATATGTGTGTGTGTGTGCTATGCTTGTGTGTATGTCTGTATGTGTGTGTCTGTGTGTATACCTAAGTGCATGTGTGTGTCGTTATGTGTATGTATGTGTGTGTATTTACAGTATGTCTGTGTGTGTGTGTAAGTATGTGTATGTGTGTGTGTGTTATGTGTATACATGTGTGTGTGTGTGTGTACCTACGTGTATGCATGTGTGTGTGAGTGTACCTATGTGTATGTATGTGTGTGTGAGTGTACCTATGTGTATGTATGTGTGTGTGAGTGTACCTATGTGTATGTGTGTGTGTGTGAGTGTACCTATGTGTATGTGTGTGTGTGTGAGTGTACCTATGTGTATGTGTGTGTGTGTGAGTGGACCTATGTGTATGTGTGTGTGTGTGAGTGGACCTATGTGTATGTATGTGTGTGTGAGTGTACCTATGTGTATGTATGTATGTGTGTGTGTACCTATGTGTATGTGTGTAAACATGTTATTTACACATCATAACACGTAAAAACTTACACAAAAGTAAAATAACAAAGACGCTGAACAAAGAAGGAAGTTGACACAGTGGCAGAGTGGTTAACACCAGAGATGGTGTTTGTGTCTGATGGTGTCTGAGTCTGATGGTGTCTGAGTCTGATGGTGTCTGAGTCTGATGGTGTCTGTGTCTGATGGTGTCTGTGTCTGATGGTGTCTGAGTCTGATGGTGTCTGTGTCTGATGGTGTCTGAGTCTGATGGTGTCTGTGTCTGATGGTGTCTGAGTCTGATGGTGTCTGTGTCTGATGGTGTCTGTGTCTGATGGTGTCTGAGTCTGATGGTGTCTGTGTCTGATGGTGTCTGTTCTGTCCTCAGTCTCCGCCCAAAGGAGCCACGATCCCGTACAGACCCAAAGGACTGGGACTGGGACCACACACTATGATGGCCAGTCCACACGCTGCTCAGGTGAGGACCAGGCGGAGACGCAGAGAGACCAGAGAGACCAGGAGGAGTCTGAGAGAGAGAGAGGGAGAGAGAGAGAGAGAGAGACAGAGAGAGAGAGAAAGAGAGACCAGTAGGAGCCTGAGAGAGAGAAAGAGAGAGAGAGAGAGAGAAAGAGAGACCAGTAGGACCCGGAGAGAGAGAAAGAGAGAGAGAGAGAAAGTGAAAGAGAGACCAGTAGGAGCCTGAGAGAGAGACCAGGAGGAATCTGCGAGAGACCAGGGGGAGAGACCAGGAGGAGTCTGAGAGAGCGAGAGAGAGAGAGAGAGAGAGAGACAGAGAGAGAGAGAGAGAGAGAGAAAGAGAGACCAGTAGGAGTCTGAGAGAGAGAGAAAGAGAGACCAGTAGGAGCCGGAGAGAGAGAAAGAGAGACCAGTAGGAGCCTGAGAGAGAGACCAGGAGGAATCTGCGAGAGACCAGGGGGAGAGACCAGGAGGAGTCTGAGAGAGCGAGAGAGAGAGAGAGAGAGAGAGAGAGAGACAGAGAGAGAGAGAAAGAGAGACCAGTAGGAGCCGGAGAGAGAGAAAGAGAGACCAGTAGGAGCCTGAGAGAGAGACCAGGAGGAATCTGCGAGAGACCAGGGGGAGAGACCAGGAGGAGTCTGAGAGAGAGAGAGAGAGAGAGAGAGAGACCAGTAGGAGCCGGAGAGAGAGAAAGAGAGAGAGAGAGAGAGAAAGAGAGCCTGAGTCTCTCTCAGGCTCCTACTGGAGGAGGAGACCAGGAGGAATCTGCGAGAGACCAGAGGGAGAGACCAGGAGGAGTCTGAGAGAAACCAGGGATCAAGAGAAGTCAGAGAGAGAGAGAGAGAGAGAGAGAGAGAGAGAGAGAGAGACCAGTAGGAGTCTGAGAGAGACCAGAGGTACCAGAGGGAGAGACCAGGAAGAGTCTGAGCGAGAAAGAGATGTATCAAGCAGAAAGACCAGAGAGAGAGAGCCTAGGTCGGAAGAGGGACCAGAGAAGGACCAGGATGAGTCTGAGAGAGACCATGGAGAAACCAAAGAGGGACCAGAGAGAGACCAAAGAGACCAGAGATACTTGTTCCAGAAATCTAATTTTCAGACATTTTCCACATTTTCAAACAATATTTTAATAATTCTTAGTCCATTCATGTTCACAAACTAAAATCATTGTTTAGTTTGTGAATGTTCAGAGATTGTTGGTCTTTCAGATTCAGATTCTTCAACGCTAACTGTGTGTGTGTGTTTGTGTGTGTGAGTGTGTGTCCTCTGTGTGTGTGTTTGTGTGTTCTGTGTGTGTGTCTTCTGTGTGTGTGTGTGTGTGTGTCTTCGGTGTGTGTGTGTGTGTCTTCTGTGTGTGTTTCCTTTGTGTGTGTGTGTGTCTTCTGTGTGTGTGTCTCCTCTGCCACAGGCCTTTGCTCTCCCTGGACAGTACGCGTTCGCACAAGACGTAAGATCCTTTTGACATTGAGCTTTTTGACCCTCCTCCCGCCCACTCCCCCCCCCCCCCCCCCCCCCTCCCCCTCTGTTCATGTCGACTAACCCTGACACGTTCAGAGGCCAAACTAATGTAGAAGAATCACAACCAAGGTAAATGTTTGTGTGCCCGTGTGAGTGTGTATCTGTGTGTGTGTCTAAGTGTGTGTGAGAGACAGAGAGAGAGAGAGAGAGTGGATATGTGTGATATAGAGAGATTGTGTTTGAGAGAGTGTGTGTGAGAGAGAGTGTGTGTATGTGTGAGAGAGAGAGAGAGTGTGTGTATGTGTGAGAGAGAGTGTGTATGTGTGAGAGAGAGAGTGTGTGTATGTGTGAGAGAGAGTGTGTATGTGTGACAGAGACAGAGGGAGAGAGAGGGTGTCTGTCTGAGTGTGTGTGAGAGAGAGCATGTGTGAGAGAGCGAGAGTGTGTGAGAGACAGAGGGAGAGAGAGAGAGTGGATATGTGTGATATAGAGAGATTGTGTTTGAGAGAGTGTGTGTGAGAGAGAGTGTGTGTATGTGTGAGAGAGAGAGAGAGTGTGTGTATGTGTGAGAGAGAGTGTGTATGTGTGAGAGAGAGAGTGTGTGTATGTGTGAGAGAGAGTGTGTATGTGTGACAGAGACAGAGGGAGAGAGAGGGTGTCTGTCTGAGTGTGTGTGAGAGAGAGCATGTGTGAGAGAGCGAGAGTGTGTGAGAGACAGAGGGAGAGAGGGTGTCTGTGTGGATGTGTGTGATGTAGAGAGAGTGTGTGAGAGAAAGACCGTGTTTGTGTGTGCGAGCGAGAGAGTGTGTGTATCTGTACATATATGAACTTGAGTGTATGTGTGTGTAAGTATGTGCACGTGTGTATGCGTATCTGTATGTCTGTGCATCTGCGTGTGTATGTATGTTAGTGTGTCTGTACAAGTATGGCCTGTGTGAATGTGTGTACGTGTTTGTGCATATGTGTGCGTCTCTCTGTTGTGCGTACGTGTGTATATGAGAGAGAAAGAGAGTGTGTATGCGAGTCTGTGACAGTATGTGTATCTGTGACTGTGTGTGTGCATCTGTGTGTGTGTGTGTGTGTGTGTGCGTCTGTCTGTTGTGCGTAGGAGTGTGTTGTGTGTCTCTCTGTGATGTCACACGTCATGTCTCTCCTCTCTCTGGAATAACCTCTGATTGGTTAGCATTAACGTCCTTCCTACCCTGCAGTTCACCAAGCTTCAGCAGCTGGCCCTGCCGCACCTCCCCTTCCCCCCCCTTGGGCAGAGTCACCCCACCTTCCCCGGTACGTACCCACGCTCCTGGGACTCCCCCCTCTTCATCACCCCCATCATCATCATCATCATCATCATCATCATCATCATCACAGCCCCACTGACACAGCCACTGTCCTCACCCAAAGGAGAAACAACACAAAAAGTGTTTATCAGGTTTTTAAAGGCATTTCACTAAAGAGTAATTATGATTATGGCTCGTGAACTTCATAATGAGACTATTTTCTTCAGTATTTCGTTTTTTTTTATCAAGTTAAATACTTTTGTTTTTCATAAATAATACGTGTTTGTCACAACCATAGTCTTAGACAGACATTGCTCTCACTGTCTCTCTCTCTGGTCCCTTGATGGTTCCTCTCCCTGGTGTTCTCTGATCTCTCTCTTCGGACTCACTCTATAGTCTCTCTTTGGTATCTTTCTGTTCTCTCTCTTATATCTTTGGTCTCTTTTTGGTCTCTCTCTGATCTTTCTCTTGTCTATATCTGGTCTCTCTTGTCTCTTTTTAGTCTTTCTCTGGTCTCTCTAGTTTCTCTAGTCTCTTTATGGTCCCTCCCTGGTCTCTCTCTGGTCTCTTTCTGGTCTCTCTCTTGTCTCTCTAGTTTCTCTGGTCTCTTTATGGTCTCTCTCTGGTCTCTCTCTCTGGTATCTAATCCCCTTTATTTTAAGTCAGAAAGCTGCCTCTTTCAGATCTTTCCATATAGATTCTCAACTGGATTTAGGTCTGGGCTTTGATTTCTAAGGCTAGCCATTTAACACGTAGAGCTTTTAGTTTTCGACCCTTTGGTTGTTGCACTGACTTCATGTTTTTGGGTCATTGAAGTTTTGAGTATTGTAGATTCTAGTCGTCTCTTCTGCTGCTGGTGCATTCACAGCCTCACAGCTCTCAGGACGCGACAAGTTCTGACCAGTTTCATCGCGCCTCTTCTCTCACTCTCACCATCTCAATGAAAAAGGACAAAATTGCAAAAGTTTGTCACTCAAACCCACACAGAACTACCAAGACTGTAGACCCAGGACTGAGGCTGTAGACCCAGGACTGAGGCTGTAGATCCAGGACTGAGGCTGTAGATCCAGGACTGAGGAGACCCAGGACTGAGGCTGTGGATCCAGGACTGAGGCTGTAGATCCAGGACTGAGGCTGTAGATCCAGGACTGAGGCTGTAGATCCAGGACTGAGGCTGTAGATCCAGGACTGAGGCTGTAGATCCAGGACTGAGTCTGTAGACCCGGGACTGAGGCTGTAGACCCAGGACTGAGGCTGTAGACCCAGGACTGAGGCTGTAGACCCAGGACTGAGGCTGTAGACCCAGGACTGAGACTGTAGATCCAGGACTGAGGAGATCCAGGACTGAGGCTGTAGATCCAGGACTGAGGCTGTAGATCCAGGACTGAGTCTGTAGACCCAGGACTGAGGCTGTAGACCCAGGACTGAGGCTGTAGACCCAGGACTGAGGCTGTAGACCCAGGACTGAGGCTGTAGACCCAGGACTGAGACTGTAGATCCAGGACTGAGGAGATCCAGGACTGAGGCTGTAGATCCAGGACTGAGACTGTAGACCCAGGACTGAGGCTGTAGATCCAGGACTGAGACTGTAGACCCAGGACTGAGGCTGTAGACCCAGGACTGAGGCTGTAGACCCAGGACTGAGACTGTAGACCCAGGACTGAGGCTGTAGATCCAGGACTGAGGCTGGATGAAATACTTATACATGTTACAATACTATTCAATAAAACAATAATATTAGTTCTTTGGGATCAGCAGACACTATTGTTGACTCCCATCGGGTCAGAAAGTGCCTCCGGGGGCTGGACTAAAATGGACTAAAATGCAGCTTGTTGCCGTGGGAAACAGACAGACATTTGACGTTCTGAGTTTATGTTTAGAAATGTCCTGAAGCCGGAGCAAAGGGGCAACAGCGAGAACACAGAGGACCCACCACCAAACATGTTGTTACAGCTCAGGCTCAAACAGACCTGCGGCTGTGTTTATCTTTTTACATGTTTCTGACACGTTGATTGTATTTCACATGAGTTTGGGCATTTCAAACTCAATTTAGGCAACAAGACCGTGAGCTAAATCTGTCCGCAACACATATTATTATTATTATTATTATTATTTACTTGCAGCATTGATGGTAAGAGGCGACCAAGGCAGGTTTTAGATCCATGTTCCCGGGAAAATCCATTTAATGTAATATTAACCTAACTAGGGGTGGGAAAAATATATCATAGACAATAATATCGTGAAAGTGAATTTAAACTAATGCTTTTTCGTTTAATCTTTTTTTTCTCTTTTCTTTTCCAAACACATATTACAACTAGATCGTCACTCGTCAGACGCCTAAAAAGCCATTCCCTGCTTTATTTGTACTTTTCAGTAAATATTGAGGCTTTTGGATGTGTTCTTCCCGTGTTCACTGACTTTGATTTTTAATGCATTTGTTTGTGCATGTTTCGTAAAGATGTGTGAAGCACTTTACAAACAGAAAGCTGCTATTTGGATCTGCACCGTCTCTATCCACAGATGCCCTGCAGCAAAACGACGCAGATCATTTTGTGTAAAAATGATTGATTTTAAAGATATTGTGACAATATTGTTATCGGGAGTTGGGGAAACAATATCTATATTTTTGTCCAAACCGCCCACCCCTAAACCCAACACATCAGTACAAATGTATGTAGGAGGATTTTCTACTTCCGGTGGATCATGAAGACTATTGGTCCTCCTAACTGTCAATCATCCTGGTGATATGTGACGTAAGCCTGTTGTACGTGTGTTTTTGTGTTTTTGGGAGATTCTTTCACACAGTATTGTGCGCTGAAATCCCAGGTTGGGTTTCCTTCTGATGCTTCAGTCGTAAAGTTTCTCGTCCACAGGCAAAGTTTGTCTATTTGCAGAAATCCAATTCAACTCACCTCCAGTAAAAGTAAATAATCTCATTATACTTTAAACAGCCAAAGAAAATGCCTTTTATTTCTTCTTCTACTTCTTTTGTGCCAAACATTAAAGCAGTGCAAAAGTATAGACACAAATACACAACTTCTACTATCCAATAACCGTACATACATTTACATATACACACTAAACTACACACATGGACACCAACGCACACACTCTCTCTCTCTTTCTGACAAACACCCACACACACATATACACTAAAACACACACTCTCTCTCTTTCTGACACACACACTAAACTACACTTACACACCAACACACACTCTCTCTCTCCCTCACACACACTAAACCACACACATATACACCAACACACAATCTCTCGCTCTTTCCGACACACACACTAAACTACACGCATACACCAACACACACTCTCTCTTCCTCACACACACTAAACTACACACACATACACCAACACACTCTTTCTCTTTCTCATAGACACACACCTACACACACTAAACTACACGTATACACCAACACACACTCTCTCTTCCTCACACACACTAAACTACACACACATACACCAACACACTCTTTCTCTTTCTCATAGACACACACCTACACACACTAAACTACACATATACACCAACACACACTCTCTCTCTCTCTCACCAACACTCTCTCCCACACACACACACACACACACACACACACACACACACACACACACACACACACACACACACACACACACACACACACACACACACACACACACACACACACACACACACACACACACACACACACACACACACACACACACACACACACACAACACCATATTCCTTCCTTACATCTCAATAATTCAAAAACTTCTCATTTCTTGTCCATTCTCTCACTTTTTCCCACAAAAGCAAATGGCCGCCACCGTTTGCCTTCTCCCCGGTCACGGCCCACTCCCCTTTAACAGTCTCTGCCCGTCGCACACTAACTCCACACTCTCAAATATGTGTTTTTCTGTTTTCAATCGTGTTTCTTTAGACTTGTACGTAGAGCTGAGAATGCCAACCCAATCTCCACGGCAACCAGAGACCAGATTATGCCAACGAGAAAAATGGACAAAGTTTTAATTGGATTTTACATAATTAGTGACTGCGGTGATTGTGTGAGGATGTGGGTTATTTGCCGTGACAAGACAGAACTTTTTAAAGATTTAATTCAGCAGGAACTGGGGTGTTTATGGTGTCTATCTATTTATCTAGTTAAAGCTGGGGTCCATAACTTCTCATAAATAACACATATAGAATGTTTTGAGAGCTTTTCTGTCTGAAAAAGATGATCTAAAGATGTGACAGAGGCCAAAAATAATGATAGAAGCAGACTTTTTTAGAGCCAGGAACTAGAGATATATTTCTATGTTACTGTGGTTTGAAAGTTACAAACCCCAGCTTTAAAATCCATGTTTTGTTTTGCCCTATTTGCAAGAAATCCATAAAAAATGTGTGTAGACCTTAAATAGACAGGAAAGAAATCTGACAAACTTACACTAGTTTTATCAGGAGGAATGGGCCAAAATTCCAGCCACACAGAAATGTGTGACCCAACCCAAGACAGTTTTAAAGCCAATTCTACTAAATAATAATATACTTCTGTTGTTGTAGAAAGTCAAACAAATATCTCAAATGTCATTTTGTCGGAATAATTTTGTTAGTTTTAATAATTGTACATTTTTGGACTTTTAATATCAACAGAAGATGGCAGATGTTTTGTACTGTTGCTTTGAAAGATTTATGTCTAAATGTGACGACGAGATAAAACAAGGACCCAGAAGCAGAACTGCAAATAATATAATTGTATCACTGCCCGAGGAAAAACAATCCAAAAGTAAAAACTGAACCAGAGACAAGACAACACGAGGACAGCTAAGCAGGGCAGGGCCTGGTTAGTGCATTGATGGGAGACGCCTGGGAACACTAAGCGCCACAGTGGGGCGGCTGCGGGTGTTGTGTCTATAGGCAAGACATTTCACCCACAATCGAATGAGTCTGGTGTGTGTGTGAATGGTTGGTGGTGGTGGGAGGGGCCGATGGCACAGACTGGTTGCCTCGCTTCCGTCAGTGTGCCCCAGGGCAGCTGTGGCTACAGTAGTAGTTTATCAGCAGTGAATGAATAATGCCGTGTGAGGATGTGAGACAGAATATCATATTGAAAAACATGTAATATAGATCTACTACATGTATTTAGTACAGATTGGGTTGGCATAATAGACATAAGAGAAATTGGGAGCATTTCCACTGGCCCAGTTTAACCAGTACCAGGTCCTTCTTTAGTCGCTCTTGGTTCTGGTTCTATCCCGGCCGAGCTGGTGCTAAACTGATTGGAAGCCATAGTTTGTTAAGAGTTCGCCCAGATACTAGTTTGTGATTAGCTTGCTAGAATACGGTACTAAAGAGACAAAAGCACAGTAGAAACGCAACCTGGTTCAGTAGATTAGATTAGAGTGAAGCCAAATTGAGTAGAGTAGAGTAGATTAGTAAATTAACAATTGTAAACCGCTTTGAGACTCAAATCTGCAGTGAAAAGGCGGTATATAAATAAAGATTACTTACTTACTTACTAGAGTAGAGTAGAGTAGAGTAGAGTAGAGTAGAGTAGAGTAGAGTAGAGTAGGGCTGGTGGAAACAGGGCTCTCATGGTATAGTGCTATAGTAGTAATATAGTTAGTGCTGCTGATGCTAGCTGCTGTCGTTCTCTGCAGGAATGGACGCCTCCACCACGTCACAGGAGCTGGCCGTCCCCAACGATGTAAGTCACAAATCACTCTCTCCCACATTTCAAGGAGAGGGACACACGTAATACCAGCTGTGTCACGACAAAAGGACCATAAACAGGCTCATAATGGATGGACGGTTTTTAAATATGATTGACTTAAAAGGAACACATCTGCCTCCTTGTCTGTCTGCTTGTACCAATACTACTCATTATAGTCTATTTAAACAGACAGATCAGAGAATCAAACTGCTCGAACCAGTGGGGGCACAAGAAATACAATAATAACAAACACAGTAGGAGTCATGGATCCAGAGGGAGCGGAATGATCACTGTCCAGACATGTTATTAAATGTTATTAAATGTTATTAAATGTCCTGGATAATCTCTGACCTTAGACTCCCCCACATCGGCACAGAACCAGTCAGAAACACAGTGAGAATTGGATTTAGAGAAGGACTGACGGCTCATATGTGTTTGTTATTGTTGCATTTCCTGTGTGTGAACCGTGTGATTCTCTGATCAGCCTCAGAGACGACTGCTGCTGGGATTCAGGGGAATACACAAAGACATGGAATTGAAGTGATTTTCCAAGTCTCTGTCTCTAAATGTCTTTGCACCTGTCTGTATGATTATCCCTCTCTCTCTCTCTACCTCTCCCTCTTTCTGTCTGATCTCTCTCTCTCTCTCTGGTCTTTCTCTGTCTGTCTCTCTCTGTCTGCTCTCTCTCTCTCTTTCTGTCTCTCTCTGTCTGTCTCTCTCTGTCTGCTCTCTCTCTCTCTTTCTGTCTCTCTCTGTCTGCTCTCTCTCTGTCTGCTCTCTCTTTCTCTTTCTGTCTCTCTCTGTCTGGTCTATCTCTCTCTTTCTGTCTCTCTCTGGTCTATCTCTCTCTTTCTGACTATTCTGTCGGGTCTATCTTTCTCTTTCTGTCTCTCTCTGTCTGCCCTCTCTCTTTCTTTTTGTCTCTCTGTCTGGTCTATCTCTCTCTGGTCTCTTTCTGTCTATCTCTCTGTTTCTGTCAATCTCTCTCTGGTCTATCTCTCTCTTTCTATCTATCTCTCTGTCAGGTCTCTCTCTGGTCTATCTCTCTTTCGGTCTATCTCTGTCTGGTTTATCATTTTCTGTCTCCATCACTGCCTTCCCTCTCACTCTTTCTCTCTGGTGTCTCTCTCTCACCTTTGTTTCTGGCCTCTCTCTCTCTCTCCCCTGCCTTTCTCTACCTCCCCCCATCTCTCCTCACCCTCTCTCCCTCATGTATGTGCTATCTCGTGTTCTGCAGCTGGTTTCATATTTGTGTTTGTTCAGTTTGTGGGCTGCATAATCGGGCGCCAGGGCAGTAAAATCAACGAGATCCGACAGGCCTCAGGAGCACACATCAAGATCGGGAGTGTGGTGGACGGGTCGGCCACGCGGCAGGTCACCATCACGGGGTCTCCGGCCAGTATCAGCGTGGCCCAGTACCTGATCTCTGCCAGGTAGAGACCCACAAACACCAACTGAGCCACAATACCACACTATACTTCTGTTTTAAAAGGCAAAATGCAGCTCACGAAAAAAATCACGGACGAAAATAGATGGATAATTCTCTCTCTCTGGTCTCTCTTGTCTCTCTCTGTGGTTTCTTTGTCTCTCGGGTTTCTCTAGTCACTCTCTCTGATCTCTTTCTAGTCTCTCTCTCTCTGGTCTCTTTCTAGTCTCAGGTTTCTCTAGTCACTCGCTCTGGTCTCTTTCTAGTCTCATGCGTATCTTTCTCTCTGGTCTCTTTCTAGTCTCTCAGGTTTCTCTAGTCACTCACTCTGGTCTCTTTCTAGTCTCATGCGTATCTTTCTCTCTGGTCTCTTTCTAGTCTCTCAGGTTTCTCTAGTCACTCACTCTGGTCTCTTTCTAGTCTCATGCGTGGTCTCTTTCTCTCTGGTTGCTTTCTCTCTCTGAGGTTTCTCTAGTCACTCGCTCTGGTCTCTTTCTAGTCTCTCAGGTTTCTCTTGTCACTCTCTCTGTTCTCTTTCTAGTCTTTCAACTTTGATATAGCTTCTCAATACCATGATAATATACTGTAGGTTCGTGAATATAGTTTCTCTCTCTCAAAACAGTTTGGTTCAATCTTCCATTTTCTGGCCTCTGTCACATCTTTAGATCTGCTTTTTCAGACGGAAAAGTGAAAAAGACAGAACCACCCTCTCTCCGACCACAGGGATTTCAGTAAAAACCGTACAAACAACACAGATAAATCCACTGAACCTCCCGTATGCAGAGCTGGGGAGTCTGTAAAGCTTTGGTATAGTTCCTCACTGGAGCAGACAGGCAGAGTCATGGTTCTGGTGGTTACACTGGATTTCTTTATTAATTCCACCAACATAAGAAATGGACCATCTCTCAATATTTGTCAGAGAGTGTGAGATCTATCCTCTCCGTACAGACAGATGCTGTAAGACGAATGAGGCAAAATCCACTTAAGCTGTTCCACTGCGGCGCCCACTGCTGCTGTGGATATTATTGGATCAGGGGGAGTGTATGCAGATGTATGGGCCGCTAATACGATTGTGAAATGTGGTTTAGGCATCAACAAAACTGCGAGGATTTTGGAACACGATTAACTTTTTCTGTGTGACTGATGGGGCCAGACTGGGGAGCTCATAACTGACTTTCCTGCATCAGAGAAGTCCAGGAATCAGGCAATAATCAAGTTTGGATTACTGAGTGTAAAAAAAACCCCCCGCTAAGTTAGGCAAGTCTTGAATTAATTCTCTGAAGTTTACGACTGTAAGAATGAAATAAGTCTAACCCAGGTCTAAACAGGAGCAGACAAAAGTTAAAAAGGGTCATAACTCAAAGAAAAGTTGTGAGGAAGTCTTGGATGTCGTGCAGTAGATGGCACCAACTGACCAATCAGGAGGCTTCTCTCGGCCGATTACGCTATAGCTAGATTGTAGCACAGATGGATCCGCACCTCTTCCGTTTTGTTTAGGCTAACACTATGGTGACGTCCACTCATACAATACAGTCTATGGGCAACACAAAGTATGTATACTTTGACATTGGTAAGTATCTCAGGCTAAAATTGCAACTGTTCTGGTCCCTCTCCCTATCTAGTCTCTCTCTCTTGTCTGCCTCTGGTCCCTCTCTCTGGTCTCTCTCTCTGGTCCCTCTCTCTCTCTCTTGTCTCTCTCTCTGGTCTCTCTCTCTGGTCTCTCTCTCTGGTCCCTCTCTCGTCTCTCTCTCTGATTTCTCTCTCTTATACGCTCAGTAACAAACCTTCCTCTTTTCACTTGTGTTCTCAGTCTGGAGATGGCCAAATACACCATGGCGGCGGCGGCGGCGGCCTCTGGTTCCCCCGCGGACCTCAGCCTGGCCTTCCCCTCTGCTTCTTCTCCTGGAGCCTCAGGAGTTCCTGGTTCCTCCGCTGCTATGCTAACCAGTGCCCAGCCTGGAGCCACTCTCTCAGGGATCAACCCCCACTACGCCGCCCTGCCCATGTCGTCTCTGCTGGGCATGAAGACTCTCCCCTTCCTGGCCATGCACCCGTCCGCTCTGACCCAGGGGCTAGCGGCGGCGGGGCTAACCGGGCTAGCTCCCTACGCGGCTAAAATGTCCACCGGAGCCGGCAAGAAGTCAGAGAGACAGAAGTTTGCACCATATTAATGAGGATAAAGACAGAATGTGGTAGTTAGAAAAGGTACAATTTTGGAAAGTAAAAACTGGAACAGAGCTGAGGTCTGAGATTTGGGTAAAATATGGAATAGGTTGTGTTCACGTGACATCAGCACGTTCCAAAGAAACTTTTGTTTCACATTGTGGCGAAGGGAAGCTGGAAAACATGTCCTGGTAACTATGGCAACTGTCAAAAGTCGGTGGCTGGTCTTAGTTTAAAGATACTTTCTAATAATAATAATAATAATAATAAAAAAAGTTATCTTCTGCAAATATCTATTATTGCTTTGTCTCTGATCTCTCAGGACTCTCTCTGGTCCATCTTTCAGGTCTCTCTCTCTCTCTGGTCCCCTGCTCAGGTCCCTTTCTCTGGTCTCTTTGCTCTCACTCTGGTCCCTCTTCAGCCTCTCTCTGGTCTCTCTCTCATGACTCCCCCTGCTCTCTCCCAGGTCTCTCTCTCTGGTCTCTCTCTGTTCTCTCTTAGCTCTCTCGCTCTTTCAGACATAAGCATAATGAGGAGCCTTGTGAATCTAATCACTATCAAATAAAGATCTGACATAATAACAGGATAATCAACCTTTGATTCAAAAATGACTAAATACAAATTACACAACATGAACGCAACCTATTAAGATTTATCATAAACACTAAAGTTTTGTGTTAAACTTCAGACAGATTTATTTCTGCCACAAAAATGGATCCACTGCACCTTAAACTTGTAGCATAAAATCCTACGTAACATTTCCACTTTCCGGAAGCAAATTTGCCAATGGAGCCAGCAGACTCTGCCTTTTTATACTTTTCTCACTATTTCTCATTTAAAAATATGTATTAAGTTAAGTTGCACTGTTTATGAAAATCCTCATTTACAAGCAAGACAATCAAAGCCCCACTTAACCTGGCTCGGCTCAGCTCTGTTCCATGTTTCCATTACGCTTTAGTGTCTGGTACCGTATCAGATGCTGTTCAAAAAGGTTAATTTTGTCTTGAGTAAAAATCGTATTGAAAGCGTGCTGTTTATTCAGATTTTTCTGAATGACTCAAATATTTTTTATTACTTTATTACTACCTTCCCTGGGTTCGAATCCCAGGCGGAACAAGGCCTGTAACTGCCTGGAGTTTGTATGTTCTCCCTGTGTCTCCGGGTTCTCTCTCTAGGTTTACTCTAGGCGTTCCGGTTTCCCCTACCTCTAAAAGCAAGTCCAACATGTAAAACATGTGACATCACCCAGCTCAGGTCCTGACCAAAGGAAAGCTGACAGAGTCCCTGTGAAAGACCCAGTGAAGGACGGGTCAAATGCAGAGGACACATGCACAGAGACTATAAATACACCTTAATCTTTAACAATGACTTCTGGACACTTTGGATGAACGAAAGCAAAACCTCGAGTATCTTAGTTCAACAACTACTGCTCACGTTTGGAGCAGCAACTTTCCAGAGACACAAGGACAGTGTTTTTCATTATTATTCTTTAGTTTTGTACCAATCCGTATCAATCAGGACCAAGTAAAACACACTTATTATTGATATTTTGATCAAAGTTACATACCATAAATACCAGCTATGTTTTAAAATAAAGTTATGCAGGTTCATGTTGTAACTTTCCCGCAGCTCAAAGACAGATAGAACAAAACAACATTGTGCAAGCCCATACTTGGTCCATGCTCACTATTTAGCAACAAAAAGCGACAGGTACTACTTCCTACACAGCTCACTATTTAGCAAGAGAAGCAGAAGACACTAATTCCTATTCAGCTCACTATTTAACAGGTCTTCATAAACACACGGGGTATTCGCAACAGTAGTAAAATGTCTGAATAACATGAGAAACCCTGGGGAGGCTAACATTAGCTCACGTTAGCATGCTCACCTTAGCTGTTAGCTTCCATGTCAGGTCTCTGGTCAAACCAAATTAGTATATCCCCGTCGTGCCCATATGCGTCCCATCGAGACTAAAGGAGTCCGAAAAAGTCCATAAACCTTTGAATGCCTCTGTTTTCTTCCACATGTGACAAAAACCTTGTGAGGAGTTTAGCATTAGCGCTGTTAGCATTAGCCACATCGCTACATAAGACCGGGGTTCAAAGCCCTCCATAAAACTGTGTCCTTTAGATAAATAATTACAGTATTTAGAGAGTTTCAACTGATTTAATGTTTTGTTGATGTGACTTTTTCAAACTCAGGTGTTAGCATTGTTCGCCAATGTTTTCTCCCGGAGCCAGAGCTTTGGAATATTGGAGAACTATATGAACTAGTTTTGACTGTATTTTTGTAGAAGACAATTTGTTTTTGTAGTAAATTCCGCGCTTCATGAAATAACGTGTGTGTATTAGACCCATGTTGGTGGTTAGTATTTAAGACGTAGCACTGGAAACTTTTGTGGCGATTTTGTATAAAAATGTGAGGAATTTGAATAAACTATTGGATAGACTTGTTTCTCCTGCTTTTGTCCATGGATTTTTACACACGTATAAAACAGCTTTCAACAATTATTCTGTTCTGCAGCATGTGTAAAAAAGTTCAGTGGATCAATATGAACAAAAAAGATACTTAGAAGCAATGGAAATGTGTAATATTCAGAGAGAGATCCTTTAGAGCATGGGTGTCAAAGTCAAGGCCCGGGGGCCAGATCCGGCCCGCGATACCATTTCCAGTGGCCCCTGAGATGATTTTGAATTATTATATTAATTAGCATTGATGGTATAGGCAACAATGGCATGTTATCCAATACTAATTTTCTCAAGAAAACAACCATAACATTTAATTCCATGAGAATTTGTAATGTAATAAGAAGTTAGTATTGTTATGTTTTGTTTTGATGTTCCATTTCTAATTAAAGATATGAAGGAGGATTTCCAATTGTTTTTAGGAAAGAACCGCCCTCTCCACTTTTTGAACAAAACTCTCTGGTCTTATTTGACGAGCACGAATCACCAGAATGATTGACAGTTGGAGGACCAATACTCTTGGTCCTCCCAACTGTAGAAGTAGAAAATCTTACTATATACAGTACCTTCAATATTTGGTCCAGTTTTGGTCCACAGGAACTGAACTAAGTCTAATCAGAAACGAATATCCAATCCAATTAACATGAAATCATTTATATAGATACCTTCATAGTATAAAAAGTATAATAAATGAAACCCACTTATTCATTCGGCCCCTGACCAGCCCTTTCGTTTTTTTATTCGGCTTTATTAGCTTTAGCATAATAAAGAAGCCAGTAAAACAATTGCTTTGTGACTCTGGTCTATGAAAGATGAAAGATGCTGTACGAATAAAGAGGACTTACTTACCTACAACAGTTGTTACAGACTTTTTCTCTTTTTTAACCATGTCACAACAAACAGAGCTGGACTTGTTAGATCCATCCAAAAGCAGTTTTATACTTTTCACCAATTTGTGTCATTTCTATTGTTTATAATCGAATTCTCCTCCTCTGTGCATTTGAACATTTTCCGATCCGTGCTGCGATTACAGGGAGCGTCATAATTACACCATCCAACTGAAATCATATAATACAAAGAGTGAGTTTGTTTTATTACTGCGTTGTTAATAAACTCGTCACGTCCGGTCGATTTTCTGAGAAACAGAACAGAAAGAAATGGGAGGAGGCGACGCTCGACAATTATCTCTGCGTTATTCAAACGACTGCGCTAATGTCTAATGTTGTCGACTTTGAATATTCTCAGTAAAGAAGGTTCAGATTGTTTACATGTGATGAATGTGTTTAGAAGCAAACAGGAGAGAGCGGACGAGGCAAAAAGCACCGGGTCCAACTGCGCATTGGGTGACCTTGGTTTGTGAAAAAATGCTATATAATTAATGATTACTACTTCATACCAGTGGGGGCGGGTGCCGGCTCAAAAGTGGCCAAAATGACCTGCGCTGACATGCTGCAATACCATCCCGGGCCGATGGTCACCTCCATCATGGACAACACGTCCCCACCCACTGTCACATTTGTCCCATTCGACACATTTCGCCTAATTTGAGCAATTTTATACTTATTTTCCGTTACGTTTTGCTGTGTACGGAGTCTGCACCAACAGAAAGAGGGGCTTGTCTCCTGGAGTGGGCCGTCCCAGATCTTTATGATTATCTGTGCTTCTTTTCTTTGCTGCCAGTGGACCACAGCGTTCCCATCATCAGCGTTCCCGTCATCAGCGTTCCCGTCATCAGCGTTCCCGTCATCAGCGTTCCCGTCATCAGCGTTCCCGACATCAGCGTTCCCGTCATCAGCGTTCCCGTCATCAGCGTTCCCGTCATCAGCGTTCCCGACATCAGCGTTCCCGTCATCAGCGTTCCCGTCATCAGCGTTCCCGTCATCAGCGTTCCCGTCATCAGCGTTCCCAACATCAGCGTTCCCGTCATCAACGTTCCCGACATCAGCGTTCCCGTCATCAGCGTTCCCGTCATCAGCGTTCCCGTCATTGGCAGGCAGTAGCTCAGTTGGTAGAGCGTTGGCCTTTGAGCCAGAAGGTCGTGGGTTCAAGCCCCGCTCAAGACTTTCACCATCGACTCCCACTGACTACTGTCGTTGTGTCCTTGGCAAGACACTTAACCTCTGGGAACACCAGCCACAGTGGGGCGGCTGCGGCTGTAAAGTGCCAAACTGCCGTTGTGTCCTTAGGCAAGACACTTCACCCCCATTGCCTAGAATGAGTCTGGTGTGTGTGTGAATGGTTGGTGGTGGTCGGAGGGTCCGATGGCACATACTGGTTGCCTCGCTTCTGTCAGTGTGCCCCAGGGCAGCTGTGGCTACATTGGTAGTTTATCACCACCGTGTATGGAGTGAATGAATAATGACACATGTGAAGCGTCTTTGAGTGTTCAAAAAAGCGCTATATAAAACCGATGCATTATTATTATTATTATTATTATCAACGTTCCCGTCATCAGCGTTCCCGTCCTCAGCGTTCCCCTCATCAGCGTTCCCGTCATCAGTGTTCCCGTCATCAGTGTTCCCGTCATCAGCGTTCCCATCATCAGCGTTCCTGTCATCAGTCTTCCCGTCATCAGCGTTCTCGTCATCAGCGTTCCCGTCATCAGCGTTCCCGTCATCAGCGTTCCTGTCATCAGCGTTCTCGTCATCAGCGTTCCCGTCATCAGCGTTCCCATCATCAGCGTTCGCATCATCAGCGTTCCCATCATCAGCGTGTTCCCATCATCAGCGTGTTCCCATCATCAGCGTTCCCGTCATCAGCGTTCCCATCATCAGTGTTCCCGTCATCAGTGTTCCCGTCATCAGTGTTCCCATCATCAGCGCTCCCGTCATCAGTGTTCCCGTCATCAGTGTTCCCATCATCAGCGTTCCTGTCATCAGTCTTCCCGTCATCAGCGTTCTCGTCATCAGCGTTCTCGTCATCAGCGTTCCCGTCATCAGCGTTCCTGTCATCAGCGTTCTCGTCATCAGCGTTCCCGTCATCAGCGTTCCCATCATCAGCGTTCCCATCATCAGCGTGTTCCCATCATCAGCGTGTTCCCATCATCAGTGTTCCCGTCATCAGTGTTCCCATCATCAGCGCTCCCGTCATCAGTGTTCCCGTCATCAGTGTTCCCATCATCAGCGTTCCTGTCATCAGTCTTCCCGTCATCAGCGTTCTCGTCATCAGCGTTCTCGTCATCAGCGTTCCCGTCATCAGCGTTCCTGTCATCAGCGTTCTCGTCATCAGCGTTCCCGTCATCAGCGTTCCCATCATCAGCGTTCCCATCATCAGCGTGTTCCCATCATCAGCGTGTTCCCATCATCAGCGTTCCCGTCATCAGCGTTCTCGTCATCAGCGTTCCCGTCATCGGCGTTCCCGTCATCGGCGTTCCCATCATCAACGTTCCCGTCATCAGCGTTCCCATCATCAGCGTTCCCGTCATCAGTGTTCCCGTCATCAGCGTTCCCATCATCAGCGTTCCCATCATCAGCGTCCCCATCATCAGCGTTCCCATCATCAGCGTTCCCATCATCAGCGTTTCTGTCATCAGTCTTCCCGTCATCAGCGTTCTCGTCATCAGCGTTCCCGTCATCAGCGTTCCCGTCATCAGCGTTCCTGTCATCAGCGTTCCCGTCATCAGCGTTCCCGTCATCAGCGTTCCCGTCATCAGCGTTCCCGACATCAGCGTTCCCGTCATCAGCGTTCCCGTCATCAGCGTTCCCGTCATCAGCGTTCCCGTCATCAGCGTTCCCAACATCAGCGTTCCCGTCATCAACGTTCCCGACATCAGCGTTCCCGTCATCAGCGTTCCCGTCATCAGCGTTCCCGTCATTGGCAGGCAGTAGCTCAGTTGGTAGAGCGTTGGCCTTTGAGCCAGAAGGTCGTGGGTTCAAGCCCCGCTCAAGACTTTCACCATCGACTCCCACTGACTACTGTCGTTGTGTCCTTGGCAAGACACTTAACCTCTGGGAACACCAGCCACAGTGGGGCGGCTGCGGCTGTAAAGTGCCAAACTGCCGTTGTGTCCTTAGGCAAGACACTTCACCCCCATTGCCTAGAATGAGTCTGGTGTGTGTGTGAATGGTTGGTGGTGGTCGGAGGGTCCGATGGCACATACTGGTTGCCTCGCTTCTGTCAGTGTGCCCCAGGGCAGCTGTGGCTACATTGGTAGTTTATCACCACCGTGTATGGAGTGAATGAATAATGACACATGTGAAGCGTCTTTGAGTGTTCAAAAAAGCGCTATATAAAACCGATGCATTATTATTATTATTATTATTATCAACGTTCCCGTCATCAGCGTTCCCGTCCTCAGCGTTCCCGTCATCAGCGTTCCCGTCATCAGTGTTCCCGTCATCAGTGTTCCCGTCATCAGCGTTCCCATCATCAGCGTTCCTGTCATCAGTCTTCCCGTCATCAGCGTTCTCGTCATCAGCGTTCCCGTCATCAGCGTTCCCGTCATCAGCGTTCCTGTCATCAGCGTTCTCGTCATCAGCGTTCCCGTCATCAGCGTTCCCATCATCAGCGTTCGCATCATCAGCGTTCCCATCATCAGCGTTCCCATCATCAGCGTGTTCCCATCATCAGCGTGTTCCCATCATCAGCGTTCCCGTCATCAGCGTTCCCATCATCAGTGTTCCCGTCATCAGTGTTCCCGTCATCAGTGTTCCCATCATCAGCGCTCCCGTCATCAGTGTTCCCGTCATCAGTGTTCCCATCATCAGCGTTCCTGTCATCAGTCTTCCCGTCATCAGCGTTCTCGTCATCAGCGTTCTCGTCATCAGCGTTCCCGTCATCAGCGTTCCTGTCATCAGCGTTCTCGTCATCAGCGTTCCCGTCATCAGCGTTCCCATCATCAGCGTTCCCATCATCAGCGTGTTCCCATCATCAGCGTGTTCCCATCATCAGCGTTCCCGTCATCAGCGTTCTCGTCATCAGCGTTCCCGTCATCGGCGTTCCCGTCATCGGCGTTCCCATCATCAACGTTCCCGTCATCAGCGTTCCCATCATCAGCGTTCCCGTCATCAGTGTTCCCGTCATCAGCGTTCCCATCATCAGCGTTCCCATCATCAGCGTCCCCATCATCAGCGTTCCCATCATCAGCGTTCCCATCATCAGCGTTTCTGTCATCAGTCTTCCCGTCATCAGCGTTCTCGTCATCAGCGTTCCCGTCATCAGCGTTCCCGTCATCAGCGTTCCTGTCATCAGCGTTCTCGTCATCAGCGTTCCCATCATCAGCGTTCCCATCATCAGCGTTCCCATCGTCAGCGTTCCCATCATCAGCGTGTTCCCATCATCAGCATGTTCCCATCATCTGCGTTCCCATCATCAGCGTTCCCATCATCAGCGTTCCCATCATCAGCGTGTTCCCATCATCAGCGTTCCCGCCATCAGCGTTCTCGTCATCAGCGTTCCCGTCATCAGCGTTTCCGTCATCAGCGTTCCCGTCATCAGCGTTCCCGTCATCGGCGTTCCCTTTATCAGCGTTTCCGTCATCAGCGTTCCCGTCATCAGCATTCCCGTCATCAGCGTTCCCTTTATCAGCGTTCCCTTTATCAGCGTTCCCGTCATCAGCGTTCCCGTCATCAGCGTTCCCGTCATCAGCGTTCCCATCATCAGCGTTCCCATCATCAGCGTTCCCATCATCAGCGTTCCCATCATCAGCGTTTCTGTCATCAGTCTTCCCGTCATCAGCGTTCCCACCATGATATCATTTCTGCCAAGCTATTGTCCTCGTACTTCACAGGGGCAAATACTATGTCCTTGGAAGAGGTTGCATTTCTGCTCATTATTGTTCAACAAATATATCTAATGTATAAGAACAGAAAATCAAACGTGTGTCACTGTGAGTGTCTGGAATGGTCAAAGTTTAAAGGAAAATCAAAACAATGTACTCAATGTTGAGGTCCAGTCTCTCAGCAGGAGGTCTAGTCTCTCAGCAGGAGGTCTAGTCTCTCAGCAGGAGGTCCAGTCTCTCAGCAGGAGGTCTAGACTCTCAGCAGGAGGTCTAGTCTCTCAGCAGGAGGTCCAGTCTCTCAGCAGGAGGTCTTGTCCCTCAGCAGGAGGTCCAGTTTCTCAGCAGGAGGTCCAGTCTCTCAGTCTCTCAGCAGGAGGTCTAGTCTCTCAGCAGGAGGTCCAGTCTCTCAGTCTCTCAGCAGGAGGTCCAGTCTCTCAGCAGGAGGTCTAGTCCCTCAGCAAGAGGTCTAGTCTGTCAGCAGGAGGTCTAGTCTCTCAGCAGGAGGTCTAGTCCCTCAGCAGGAGGTCTAGTCTCTCAGCAGGAGGTCTAGTCTCTCAGCAGGAGGTCTAGTCTCTCAGCACCGTGCATCCTCTCTGCTCTGGCCTGGATCAGTGTAAGACCATTTACAGATTCAAAATGCATTAAAAATAGCGATTGTAAAACACAAAACAACTGTGATACTGAGGTGCTTGGACTTTCTGCCGTTTCCAGCACATTCAAAAGATGCAGTCCTGACGAGTTTCCCCTGCAGAGCTTGTGAGGATCAACGCTAACAAAGACATAGGAAGTAAGTAAAGCCTAGTGTATACTTGCGCGGCGTGGCTTACGTTAGCGGTTGCGGTGGACCTACGTAAGCACAATTGATGTTATACTGGCGCGTTCCCCTTACGGAGTTTTGAGGAGAATGTTGTAATCCCACAACAAACCACATGAGGGCGATCACACAGGAGCGGTCCCATTTACGCTGCTACTTTGTCCTCTTCAGAACAACAATAACAAACAAAGCTGTTTGAGCTCATTACACGTGTTTCTACTATAGGTTTATGTGATAGTTTTATGGATTCATTATTTTATAAGTCATTTCAACTGTGATGCTGTGAATAAAGAGACAGTTCTTGTTGGAAACATAGTTATTATTAAATAGTTTTCAGCACAAACAGCAAAACAATAATAGTGGTAAATATCTGAGACAAACATGAACGATTTACGAGTGCAGGAGGAAAGCAACAAACGCAGCTACGATTCAAACAAGACAGGAACAGTGCAAAACAAACGACTACACAGTTTATAAGTTATATATGTTAGATATAAGTTATATATATGTTATATATAAGTTATATATATGTTAGATAGTCCACTGTCTCCTGTATATCAGGCTCTGAGCCCAAACTGCTTTTCCTTCGAAGCTCAAAGTTCTCTGCTCCATAGTGCCTCGTCCATGCTCCTGCTGCAGCCGCTCCGTGCTTCCTTCCAATACACACACACGGACCAATCACAGCGGAGATTCCTTGCGGCGACCTTTACGTAGTTAGAAAATTTCGATGCTGCGCGGCAGGCGACGTAAGGGCCTTGCGGTGACCAACGCGTTGCGCAAGTGACGTCACGTCACCTCCGTAAGCTCCGCGCCGCGCGAGTATAAACTAGGCTTAAGTCATGTTTTTTATATAGCACATTTTTACAGACCAAGGTCACCCAAAGCGCTCCACACGGTGATGACGGAGACGCTGAACACACTGGACCATCAACGCCTCCAACCAACACCACCCATTCACTCACTCAGTACGTTCAGACCTACATGTTTTTAGTGGTAGGGGGAAACCGCAGCACCTGGCGGAAACCCACACAGACATGGGGAGAACAAATGAACTCCACTCAGAGAAGCCCTGTTCTGACACGAATTCAAACCCAGACCCCTATTGCTGAGAAGTGAGAGGGCTAACCACTCAGCCAATGTGTCGGCCATAAGAACACACACATTACACACACATTACACACATGTGAAATGGTATAAACATTACATTAACAACTCACAAACAGGACATTTTCAGCCGATACAGAGCATTTCCTGTGGTCTCAATCATGATCTTGAGGCTGTGAAGTGTTTCGAGCCGGAGCCATACGGAGAGACTTCAGCAAACACTCGAGAGACAGAAATAATCCTGTCCTCCTCGTCCAATCCTAAAGCACTTCTGCCGAGCTCCAGCCCAGAACTATCATTTACTGTCGCTTCTCCGCTCGTCTCTTCAGTCTCATGAACGACTAAACGCTTTGTAGAAAAATCCTCGTACAAACAGATGTCCTTTGGTTCTCACTCGACGGATCTGAATCTGCAGAATTAACTCAAGACGTCAAAATTAAAGGCAAGTTTCCTGCTTTGTTTGAGACACTCGGAAGTGTGATGCTGCAGTTTCGGACTAGTTTTGTCTCATTTACTTAAAAAACAGGCATTTTTCAATAGATTCGAAGGTGTTTCTGACAATATCCGACACATCGTTTCCCAGACGCTCTCCTTTCTGATGCTGGGAAAGGGTTTTGTTACATCTGTGTGGGTCAGGCTTGGTCTGTGCTGTTGTATCAGGAGGGAGAAAAGAGCAGAAGGGAGGATTTCAATAACCAGGATTTCAGTCGTTTTAAACACTGAGTGAGACAAAGAGAGAGACAGAGACAGGAGAAAGACAGAGAGAGAGAGAGAGACGGAGAGAGGGGAGAGATAGACATAGAGACAGGAGAGAGACAGAAAGGAGGGAGACAGAGAGAGAGAGGAGAAAGATACAATGAGAGAGATGAGTGATAGAGAGAGAGGAGAAAGGGGAGAGATAGACCGAGAGAGATGAGTGAGCGAGAGAGAGCGAGACAAAGAAGAGAGAGACAGAGAGAGGGGAGATATAGACTGAGAGAGATGAGTCTGAGAGAGTGAGACAAGGAAGAGAGAGACAGACTGATAGAGAGAGACAGAGAGGGGAGAGATACACAGAGAGAGATGAGTGAGTGAGAGAGAGCGAGACAAAGAAGAGAGAGACAGAGAGAGGGGAGAGATAGACTGAGAGAGATGAGTGAGTGAGAGAGTGAGACAAGAGAAGAGAGGCAGACTGAGAGAGAGAGAGAGAGAGAGGAGAGAGATAGACTGAGAGAGATGAGTGTGAGAGAGAGAGAGAGACAGTCTGAGAGAGAGACAGAGAGAGGGGAGAGATAGACTGAGAGAGATGAGTGAGTGAGAGAGAGCGAGACAAAGAAGAGAGGCAGACTGAGAGAGCGAGAGAGAGAGAGGAGAGAGATAGACTGAGAGAGATGAGTGAGAGAGAGAGAGAGAGACAGTCTGAGAGAGAGACAGAGAGGGGAGAGAGAGATGAGAGAGAGACAGAGAGAGAGGAGAGAGATATGAGATAGAGACAGAGAGAGAGACAGAGAGAGGAGAGAGAGATGAGAGAGAGACAGAGAGAGAGGAGAGAGATAAGAGAGAGACAGAGAGAGACAGAGAGAGAGAGAGAGAGAGAGAGAGACAGAGAGAGAGGAGAGAGAGATGAGAGAGAGACAGAGAGAGACAGAGAGAGGAGAGAGAGATGAGAGAGAGACAGAGAGAGACAGAGAGAGGAGAGAGAGATGAGAGAGAGACAGAGAGAGACAGAGAGAGAGAGAGAGATGAGAGAGAGACAGAGAGAGACAGAGAGAGGAGAGAGAGATGAGAGAGAGACAGAGAGAGACAGAGAGAGGAGAGAGAGATGAGAGAGAGACAGAGAGAGAGGAGAGAGAGATGAGAGAGAGACAGAGAGAGGAGAGAGAGATGAGAGAGAGACAGAGAGAGACAGAGAGAGGAGAGAGAGATGAGAGAGAGACAGAGAGAGAGGAGAGAGAGATGAGAGAGAGACAGAGAGAGACAGAGAGAGGAGAGAGAGATGAGAGAGAGACAGAGAGAGACAGAGAGAGGAGAGAGAGATGAGAGAGAGACAGAGAGAGGGGAGAGAGATGAGAGAGAGACAGAGAGAGAGGAGAGAGACATTTCATTATGTTTTTTAAGCAACTTTCTCAAGAGTGATCGTCACCGTGTGTGGCGTTCGTAGAAATGACTGGTTCCTCAATATTGTGGGACCTTGGTCTGTGAAATGCGCTTAAAAAAGCATATTTACTCACTACTTACTACTTTGATTTTAGAACATACAATTGTGTTGACCTGGAAAAGTTAGTGTTGTCGAGAAGTTGAGCCGACTTCTGGTGTTGTTGGGCGTTAACGGTTACATTACAAAAACACATATTCCACAGCCGTCGTCTTTCCACTCCTCCCTGTGCTGCCGTGTTGTTGTGGCGTCTGGGCCAGTGTTGCCCGCAGCAGTCTGCCCCAGGGCGGGTCACAGACAGTTCAGTCTGAATATTCCCATAACTAATAAGCAGAGGTAACGCTGTGGTCACTGCTGGAGCCCAGAGGCACGGCGGGGGCTGGCCTGTGGGTTCCACGGAGAGCGGAGAGGAAAAGAACTCCTCCATAGACTGGACACAAATGGACAATGCTAATCTGCTAGCTTAATGAAGGACAATGTGGAAGTGCTCATGGTCCGGCTCCAACTCGCTCTGGCTCCGATTGACTGTAAAAGTAAACTCCTCCAGCTCAGAAACAGATATTGTCACACTCACCATTTTTGGCTTAGATAATCTGTTGTTTAGTGCACGGAATCAGACTGACAGCCTCAGTCCTGGGTCTACAACCTCAGTCCTGGGTCTACAGCCTCAGTCCTGGGTCTACAGCCTCAGTCCTGGATCTACAGCCTCAGTCCTGGATCTACAGCCTCAGTCCTGGGTCTACAGCCTCAGTCCTGGATCTACAGCCTCAGTCCTGGGTCTACAGCCTCAGTCCTGGATCTACAGCCTCAGTCCTGGGTCTACAGCCTCAGTCCTGGATCTACAGCCTCAGTCCTGGGTCTACAGCCTCAGTCCTGGATCTACAGCCTCAGTCCTGGATCTACAGCCTCAGTCCTGGGTCTACAGCCTCAGTCCTGGGTCTACAGCCTCAGTCCTGGATCTACAGCCTCAGTCCTGGGTCTACAGCCTCAGTTCTGGATCTACAGCCTCAGTCCTGGGTCTACAGCCTCAGTCCTGGATCTACAGCCTCAGTCCTGGATCTACAGCCTCAGTCCTGGATCTACAGCCTTAGTCCTGGGTCTACAGCCTCAGTCCTGGGTCTACAGCCTCAGTCCTGGATCTACAGCCTCAGTCCTGGATCTACAGCCTTAGTCCTGGGTCTACAGCCTCAGTCCTGGGTCTACAGCCTCAGTCCTGAATCTACAGCCTCAGTCCTGGTTTTGCAGCCTCAGTCCTGGGTCTACAGCTTCAGTCCTAGATCTACAGCCTCAGTCCTGGGTCTACAGCCTCAGTCCTGGGTCTACAGCCTCAGTCCTGGGTCTACAGCCTCAGTCCTGGGTCTGTCTTCGGGAGCGGATCATTCTCTCAATATGTGCCTCCCAAAAGTTTACCCAATTTATTCCATCCATGTTTTTGATTGGTTCCTCGTCGATGCAGGACAGTGATGATCCAGGACATGATTTGATTCTCTGACATGTTGTTTTGTGAATCAACAAGTCCCAGAGACGATGATGTGATTTCGGGGTACACACAAATACAGGTAATTGAATTGAGCTGTTGGAATACATAAAAAGTTAGCTCCAGCTACTTTATATTCAAATAGTCTTTTTCTGTATTAAAGCTAACACGCCGGTGATGTCACACTCGGCCAGTCTTCTCCAAATGTACAGTGTGTGGTTTTCCTGCTGCTGTCATAATGTTTTGGTTGATCGGTTTGGCTCTGCTTGTTGCCGTGTGAAGCTGCGATCGCTGTAGACACTTGTTTCTCCGGCGGCAGAAGTGAACCGACAGCAGAATCAATATGGCCGACACCGCAGTGACACCTGAAGCTGATCCACGAGACGAGAGGAGAGGAGAGAGTCCAGAGGTCTGCTGAGGTAACACTGACTAAACCACAGCACACAGAGAGCCGCAGAGGAGAGAGATGGAGAGAGACCAGAGAGAGAGCAGAGGGAGACCAGAGGGAGACCAGAGGGAGAGCAGAGAGACGGGAGAGAGACCAGAGAGGGACCAGAGAGAGACCAGAGGGAGACCAGAGGGAGAGCAGAGAGAGACCAGAGAGACGGGAGAGAGACCAGAGAGGGACCAGAGAGACGGAGAGAGACCAGAGAGAGACCAGAAAGAGACCAGAGAGAGAGCAGAGGGAGACCAGAGAGGGACCAGAGAGACGGAGAGAGACCAGAGAGAGACCAGAAAGAGACCAGAGAGAGAGCAGAGGGAGACCAGAGGGAGACCAGAGAGAGACCAGAGAGAGACCAGAGAGAGAGCAGAGGGAGACCAGAGGGAGTCCAGAGGGAGAGCAGAGAGAGACCAGAGAGACGGGAGAGAGACCAGAGAGGGACCAGAGAGACGGAGAGAGACCAGAGAGGGACCAGAGAGACGGAGAGAGACCAGAGAGAGACCAGAAAGAGACCAGAGAGAGAGCAGAGGGAGACCAGAGGGAGACCAGAGAGAGACCAGAAAGAGACCAGAGAAAGAAAGAGAGACAGAGAGAGACCGGAGAGAGACCAGAGAGACGGAGAGAGACCAGAGAAAGACCAGAAAGAGACCAGAGAGAGACGGAGAGAGACAAGAGAGAGACTCATTTTTACCCTCTAACACATTTCATTTATTTTCTACTGAAGATATTATTTATGATTCTTAAACATGAAATGACTAAGTAAATAGTCTCATCATCATGTTTCGATGAACTTATCTCATCATGTTATTTAACGCTTCCAACTGGAGTCGAGTCGAGTCTCCCCGAGTCCACACAGAGGAATGATAGTGCTCTGTTCTGCATGGACTCAGACACTGCCACAATCTCAGCCGGACACAGAAGCAGCACAAGTTTGTTCAGCTGAGAGACATATACACCTCCTCCAGAGAGAGAGGCTGGAAAGAGTGACGAGAGAGACCAGAGAGAGAGAGAGAGAGAGGGAGAGAGAGAGGGACTAGAGAGATACCAGAGAGAGACAGAGAGAGTCAGAGAGATTCAGAGAGAGCTCAGAGAGAGACCAGAGAGAGACAGAGAGAGTCAGAGAGATTCAGAGAGAGCTCAGAGAGAGTCAGAGAGACAGAGAGAGATCGGAAAGAGAGACAGAAACCATAAATACATTTATGTGAAAAGTAGAAGCAGATGGTTTTGAGAGGAGCTACGCCAATGGATTTGTTTTACATTTTCCCTTTTATTGTGGTTTGAAAGTTACATACCTCAGCTTTAATCACCCCACAGACAGGTTTCCTACAGCTCTGAGCAGAATGCTGATGAGCTCCATCCAAGAGCCTGCTCTGAGGAGACTGTTGACAGTGAGACGCCGCCACCTTTTGCCTTTTGCTCAGGAAAACTTTTCCACCTCTGCAGCAGAAGCAGCAGCAGCAGAAGCAGCAGCAGAAGCAGCAGCAGCAGCAGCAGCAGCAGCAGCAGAAGCAGAAGTAGCAGCAGCAGCAGCAGCAGCAGCAGAAGCAGCAGAAGCAGCAGCAGCAGCAGAAGCAGAAGTAGCAGCAGCAGCAGCAGCAGCAGCAGCAGCAGCAGAAGCAGCAGAAGCAGCAGCAGCAGCAGAAGCAGCAGAAGCAGCAGCAGCAGCAGAAGCAGAAGTAGCAGCAGCAGCAGCAGCAGCAGCAGCAGCAGAAGAAGCAGCAGCAGCAGAAGCAGCAGCAGCAGCAGCAGCAGGCAGAGTTTAACCTTCTGAGGTCTGCAGCAACTGGGGCTTGGAGAGAGTGTGAAGGAGAGACTAGAGAAAAACCTGAGAGACCATAGAGAGACTAGAGAGAGACCAGAAAGAGGCCAGAGAGAGACGCACACAGAGACACATACGGACACTCATACATACACACACACATACACATACTCACACACGTACACACCTAATCCCAAACAAATGCACACACACAGACACTCAAATGCACGGACGCACTTACAATTTACACAAGATATGTGTGACCCGCATTTCATTACCATGATTAACATGCTTAACTGAAACGGCTTTAGTGTCTTAAAGACTTTTATTTTGTAAGCCAACTTCCCCCAAAAGCGCCCGTCTCTTTAACTATCAGCTGCGCGCATCTCCTCCCCCCTCCCGTCTCCGTTGTGGCTGCAGCATTGACAGACGGCATGTGAGAGTAGACTTGCTGAAACTCTCCAATCGCGCATTATTGACACTTCATAATTAGGTGAGTCTTTTGCCATGGCCGAAGACGCCTAATCCTAAATGCATTTGTTTATAAGAGATCGCTAAGTACTGTTTTTGAGACGTTTTAGCATAGTCGCTAATGTGATGCCATTCTCCCATAGAGCCGCCATGTTCTTTTAAGTAGCGGGCCATGCATGGTGTGTCGTGTTTGCCCCAAGTTACTCAGGTAAACCCGCTCTTTTCCTTTTTATCAATAAGCCGTATTGTTAGGCAACTCTTTAGTTTAGGACATGTTTAACTGGATCTGTGGTCCCAATATGCTGTCTTACTTTTGCAGGCTCTTAAGGGCAGTCAGCATATTATTAATGGAGTTACTGTGCGCTCCAATGAGACGCGTCTGTGTGTTTATTGTTTGTTGCGCAACACTTTTATTTATCAACTCTGCTTGAGTATTATGACGTAAAACAGGATTACTGATCATTCATATTTTTAATGTCAATTATTGATGATTAGTGAAAGATATTTTAGTGCACTTCTACAACCTTGTTTAATGAGTTATTTTCGGTAGATCTGATGAACTAGTGTTCATACATTTAATTTTTCTGAGAAATCATGATTATTATTTATACTATTAATACTATGTGTATTAGTATTACAAATAGAATAACCTGTATAACAAAAAATGTTATACCAATCTTCTCCTTGTATAGCCTTAATGCAATGTTACTTATTTATGTTTTTGGCCTCAGGTCAGGTTTTTGTAATGGGATGGACTAACCCAATGAACTGAGCCTTTCTACACCACGACTCAACAAATGGCGAGCTAGACAACGACGCGGTAGGACAAACTGTCTATTGCTTCCTACACGCTTTTTGTGGATTACTTTTCTTTTCATCCTCCTCGAGCGGAACTTTAATAGCCTTGCAAGTAGCAAGCATTTTTTTGTTGGACTTTTACCTAAAGACTTTGTGGTGGAACCTGTTTTTTTCCATACACCTGCAATCTGGTGTATGGGTTTTTTTTGTGTGCAATAATATTTCATCTGTTGGACTATTATAATACAATTCTTTATCACGTAGATATCAGCTGTCTTTATGTGCACCTCAGGCTCCTTGCCGATCCACCCTCTTCTGCTCACTACACTGCTATTCCGTTAATAGCCAAAGTCAGATCTTGCGTAGCCACTAGCTAGCGTTACAAATGGCGAGCTAGCCAGGAGTCTGATAGTGTATGTAATATTTGTACAGCTGTTAGATTGTGTGTGTGTGTATTCCCTTGGATTTTTTTGTTGAGTTGAGAAATGGATTACTTTGAAAAAATTGGTATGAATGTTGCTCATACAGTTGCTGTCAGTGGTGTAACAAATACTCAAGTAGAGGAAGACATTGTTGATACTCTGAAAGGGTACGGTGACATCAAAAGGTACGTTACTGTAGCTGACAGGCAGAGTCCCTTCTACAAAAACCTGGCCGTCGAGTTTGTTGACAGTGTAAGCGTAGACAAACTAAAACCGTTATTGCCTTATACTACGCGTGCTGCAACCATAGAAGTCACTGTCAGACAGATTTCAGATGCGGGTGCTGCAGCCACAACGGAAAACCCAGAGCCCCAGTCCCAATCCGTGGACTACCTTCAGGTTCTGAGACGCCTTTCCCGGGAGAGCGGCCGACCATTCGAGCTTGTTTTAAAAGGAGCTATGGACCAGATTAGCTCTCATCTCGGAGCCGCTGGCGGAGAGAACGAAGACGAAGAGGAGGAGGAGGAAGATGATGATGAGGAGGATGACGATGATGATGAGGAGGAAGGAGTCGGGACCGGAGATGGTGAGAGTGCAGGCTTGCTATATACGGTCAGGGGTCGTCGTAACCCAACTATGAACCCAAGGATCTCACTGTCTGGCCATGACTTGAACCCCCCTGACGTGCAAAGAGTCGTAGTGGAACATATTGTACGCAGGGATGATGTAAACCCCCAGTCGCTATCCCCATTACGACTGCGCACCTTTTCAGGGAAAGTCCCAAAACCCCCTCATGAGGCAGACTATGAGTCTTGGAAAACGCAAATAGACCTTTTAAGTGCTGATCCAAGTCTCGCTCCTTTACACATTACGAGACGCATAATAGAGAGTCTGTTTTCCCCTGCGGCAGATCTAATCAGACATTTGGAACCAAATTCCCTCCCTGCCGCGTTCTTGCACATTCTGGATTCAGCATACGCCACAGTCGAGGATGGAGAGGAGTTGTTCGCAAAGTTCCTCAACACTTTCCAAGACCCGGGAGAAAGACCATCATCATATTTGCAAAGACTTCAATTGAACATAAGCGCTGTAATAAAGAGAGGTGGCATCCTTGCAGCTGATAAAGACAAACACCTGCTTAAACAATTTTGCAGAGGCTGCTGGGACAACGCTGTTATCAACAAGTTGCAACTGGAACAAAAAAAAGACCGACCACCCTCCTTTGCTGATTTGCTGTTGATGCTTCGAACAGAGGAAGATCGGCAGTACGCAAAAGAGACTCTCATGAAGAAACACCTTCCTTCAGTCAAGCATCGAGCTGCCAATCTCCAAACTCATAGCACTACAGCCTGTTCATGTGGTCACTCCCTGGACACAAGCGCTATCGAGGATTTGAGGAAGCAAATGGAGAAACTGCAAAGCCAGATGGCCGCTCTGCTGTCAAAGAAGTCACAGAACTCTGCAACAACAGATCATACCCAGAAACCAAGGCAGAGCAGCAAACCCAAACCCTGGTTCTGTTTCAAATGCGGCCAGGATGGTCATATTTCTCCAAATTGTACGTATGGTCCAAAATCCTGCTCTTGTGGAAACTAAACAAAAGCAACTCGAAGACAAGCAGCAGTGTTGGGAGAGGCGCAAGCCGTTAAACTGAATGCAGCTTCCTCGCAGGGACAAGTGGAAGCTGCCAACAACCATTGTCCCCACACGAAGCAGTCTTCTCCTCAGGCTTCGTTACCAAAAGGCCTTGTGGGAACCAGAAGCACTGGAGAGGTCACAATAAAAGGAACAAAGTTTAACTGCACACTTACACAGACACACACACACACACAGACACACACACACACACACACACACACGCACACACACACACACACACACACACACACACACACACACACACACACACACACACACACACACACACACACACACACACACACACACACACACACACACACTGATCCTGCTGGTTGTGATGCAGGACACACAGCTGTCCGTCAGAGATCCTTCACTGAAGCAGAGCGCTCACTCTGGACCAATTAGACCGAATTGAGAGAGTCTGACCCTGGAGCAGAGAGCTGTCAGTCTGCACAAGGAGGACGTGTGTGTGTGTTTTGATTTCAGAGTATCTCACACACATTCAGCTTCTGTTTGAACATTTTGACCCTTAACTCTTTGATCACTGAGTGTCACCTGGTTTTACACTCTTTTGTGTTATTAATGTCCTACATCTTAAAAAATACAAAAAAGAAAAAATACCAAACTTTCTTCGATGAGAAACGTTAAAGGGTTAAAGGAGACATCACCATAAGACTTGTTTTAACAGCTACAGCGGCGTTTAGACCTACTAACAACAAGTTTCACATCTCTTTCTGGTCTCTCTCTGGTCTCTCTCTGGTCTCTCTGGTCTCTCTCTGGTCTCTCTCTGGTCTCTCTCTGGTCTCTCACTCTTTGGTCTCTCTCTGGTCTCACTCTCTCGCTCTGGTCCCTCTCTCTGGTCTCTCTCTCTCCCTCTGGTCTCTCTATCTAGCTCAGACCAGAGAGAGACCAGAGTGAGTTGGAGCTAGCGTATTAGCATTGTCCATCTATATACAGTCGATACTCATGCCTCATAAACACTAGTTTTCACATAGACGTATTTTTTCCTCTATCACAAATGTCAGACTGAAGGAACGGCAGAAAAAGCAGTAATTTTGCTCAGTGTGAATGAGGCTCTGGATTCTGACCGTAGAAAACAGGCTGCAATATTCACACATCAACAGTTTGTGAGGTTCAGGCTTTAGACTCTGCTCTAGTGGATATTGTAGGAAACACTGCCCCCTGGTGGCTCTCAACACGTCACACAGTCTAAGGACGTGATCGTTTTACAGTGTATGTATACAGCTGGGGATTTTATACGTATAGTTTGTGTTCATGTGACATCATAGTTTCACATTGTGGTGCAGGACCGCTGTGGAATCTATGGGACCTGTCAAAAGTCAGTTTCTGAGTTTGGAGCTAATTTTTATTTAATTCCAGGAACGGAACATTTCACAGAAACCACAAACTTCCCTAAAGTTCTACATCATCTTTTCTAACAGCTATTTTCTTTCAACTTTGGTCTTTCTCTCTATAAAGTCTGTTTCTCTCTGGTCTCTCTTTCGTCTCTCTTGCTCTCTCTCTGGTCTCTTGCTCTGGTCTCTCTAGTCTCGGGTCTTTCTCTGGTCTCTCTTTGATTTCTCTCTCTCCCCGGTCTCTCTCTCTCTCTCTCTCGTCTCTCCCTTGTTTCTCTCTGGTCTCTATCTCTGGTCTTTCTCGCTCTCTTCACTCTCTCTGGTCTCTCTCTCCGGCCTCTCTCTCTCTCTCTGGTCTTTCTCCGGTCTCTCTCTTTCTGGTCTTGGGTCTTTCTCTGGTCTCTCTCTCTGGTCTCTCTGTGATCTCTCTCTGGTCTCTCTCTCTCTCTGGTCTCGCTATCAACTCATTACAAAGCACACATGATGTTGTGGATCTGGGGAAAATAAAAGGATATTTTTTAATTCGCTTTTTGAGTAGTAATTGCGCTTCAAACAGCCTTCCTCCCTCTAGTAGAGACAGATAAAACATGATTATTTTCGTTCCTGCATCAGTACCTGTTGTCCTACGTCACTCCTCTCTCATAGACACTATCTGTGGCAGTTCTGAGCCGTGTCCAGCAGGGGGCACTGCTGCACTGGCGCTGTTCCGTCTCTGTCTCTTTTATAAAAACGGTAACTTGGAGTTTCTCCCTGGGGCGTCTGAACCAGAGCAGTTTTGTCACATGAAAAATCCGCTCCACAAAGTCATTCCTCAGTGAGACTGGAGGGAGTTGGACAGAAACATAAGACTGGGAAGGAAGCACATAATACTCACATATACAGAGACGTTAAAGCTGAGGTACCTGGCTTTCAAAACACAAGAGAATTATGAAAATCCATGTCACTAGTTCCTGGCTCTAAAACAGTATTTTTCTATCACGAGTTTTAACATGGATGTTTTTTCTCTCTGATCTCTTTCTCTGGTCTCTTTTTCCCTTTCTAGTTTCTCTCTGGTCTCTTCCTTTCTGGACTCTCTCTGGTCTTTGGTCAGTCTCTGGACCAGACGTAAATGAAATTGGCCTACATGTATTTGCCTCCAAAGGTCTAAAGTCACTGTTTGACTCTTTGGGCTGAAAGCTGATTGGCCGATGAGGCTGAAAGATGAGACCAAGCATACACGGATGAGAAAACTAGTCATACCTGTACACATTGTAATTAGTTCTATAAAACACATGCGTTGTGTGTCCGGTGTGTGTCCCTGTGTGTAAGTGTTGTGCGACTTTGTTTAATGAAGACTTTTCTGTCACATTGTTTCTGAGCTGCTGCAAAAACTGTCCACGTTCTGGATAATCACACAGACACACGGAGGGCACGACGCATTATACACTTGTTACATTACCTCTGAGTTGCTTGGCAGAAAGGGATCTATCTGGTCCAGAAAGAGAGACCAGAGAGAGAGAGGCCAGAGTGAGAGACCAGAGATAGAGAGGCCAGAGAGACCAGAGATAGAGAGGCCAGAGAGAGAGGCCAGAGATAGAGAGGCCAGAGATAGAGAGGCCAGAGATAGAGAGGCCAGAGAGAGAGACCAGAGATAGAGAGGCCAGAGAGAGAGAGACCAGAGATAGAGAGGCCAGAGAGACCAGAGATAGAGAGACCAGAGATAGAGAGGCCAGAGAGAGAGAGACCAGAGATAGAGAGGCCAGAGATAGAGAGGCCAGAGATAGAGAGGCCAGAGAGAGAGAGAGAGGCCAGAGAGACCAGAGATAGAGAGGCCAGAGAGAGAGAGGCCAGAGTGAGAGACCAGAGATAGAGAGGCCAGAGAGACCAGAGATAGAGAGGCCAGAGAGAGAGACCAGAGATAGAGAGGCCAGAGATAGAGAGGCCAGAGAGAGAGAGACCAGAGATAGAGAGGCCAGAGAGACCAGAGATAGAGAGGCCAGAGAGAGAGAGGCCAGAGATAGAGAGGCCAGAGATAGAGAGGCCAGAGAGACCAGAGATAGAGAGGCCAGAGAGAGAGACCAGAGATAGAGAGGCCAGAGAGAGAGACCAGAGATAGAGAGGCCAGAGATAGAGAGGCCAGAGAGAGAGAGAGACCAGAGATAGAGAGGCCAGAGAGAGAGAGACCAGAGATAGAGAGACCAGAGATAGAGAGGCCAGAGATAGAGAGGCCAGAGAGAGAGAGAGACCAGAGATAGAGAGGCCAGAGAGAGAGAGAGACCAGAGATAGAGAGGCCAGAGATAGAGGCCAGAGAGAGAGACCAGAGATAGAGAGGCCAGAGAGAGAGACCAAAGAGAGAGCGAGAGTAGGGAGTAGAGAGAGACCAGAGAGAGAGAGAGACCAGAGATAGAGAGGCCAGAGAGAGAGAGACCAGCGATAGAGAGGCCAGAGATAGAGAGGCCAGAGAGAGAGAGACCAGAGATAGAGAGGCCAGAGAGACCAGAGATAGAGAGGCCAGAGATAGAGAGGCCAGAGAGAGAGACCAGAGATAGAGAGGCCAGAGATAGAGAGGCCAGAGAGAGAGAGAGACCAGAGATAGAGAGGCCAGAGATAGAGAGACCAGAGATAGAGAGACCAGAGATAGAGAGGCCAGAGATAGAGAGGCCAGAGAGAGAGAGAGACCAGAGATAGAGAGGCCAGAGAGAGAGAGAGACCAGAGATAGAGAGGCCAGAGATAGAGGCCAGAGAGAGAGACCAGAGATAGAGAGGCCAGAGAGAGAGACCAAAGAGAGAGAGAGAGTAGAGAGTAGAGAGAGACCAGAGAGAGAGAGAGACCAGAGAGAGAGAGGCCAGAGAGAGAGAGACCAGAGATAGAGAGGCCAGAGAGACCAGAGAGAGAGAGGCCAGAGAGAGAGAGACCAGAGATAGAGAGGCCAGAGATGGAGAGGCCAGAGAGAGAGAGGCCAGAGAGAGAGAGACCAGAGATAGAGAGACCAGAGAGCAGGGCTGGACTGGGACAAAAAAACGGCCCGGGCATTTTTGCCTTCTTGGCGGCCCAGGCATATTTTTTCACGTTTTTTACAGTTTGTTTATACCAGGCGTCTGCAACTCAAAAGGTTCAAAGAGCCAAAAACAATATCTGTCTGGAGCCGCAAAAAAAAACAGCCTTGTATAAGGCTTATATGAAGGTAACACAGGCTGCAGCTGTATTAGCTACATTAGCTTAATATCTAAATGACAAAGTAAAGGCTACAAATGCATAATAAGCATTCATGATTATCAAATGTGTATTTTCACTGCAGCGTGTCCTGGAGAGAATGACGCACCACGTGACGACTCTGGTTTAACTTTAACTTCCATTTTTTGTCTTCATGCAATTGTAGAAATACAGTAAATAAATCTGCTTTTTGGCTCAGAGTTCACATCACAGGCTGAAGTTTGCTGGAGCTGAAAATCCTTAATGGCCTTTTCTTTCACCGTTTTTGCGAAGGTATTTGAAGTCTGAAAATAGGTGCTCTGAATTTGCGATGAATGAATCCTTCACGTGATCACCGTGAACGGTGTTTAGCGCATCATTGTTCCTCGTGTTGTAACAAAACTTCTCAATACAAACATGAAGCAGTCCTTCCTCATTGACTGAAAGCAAATGTTCATACTTATTCTTAGTACAGACTTATTATCGACTCTTTCTCTTTTTAGCTTTGGGATCCATGGCACACGCCGGTTTGTTTACAGCAGCAGCCGCCTAACGCGGGCCGCTTCACAGGATATGACGCACTACGTTGACAGAAATGTCGAAATTGAATATTACTTACGCACATTTTTGCAGCATTTAAAAACGTTAAGAATGTTTTTCATCCTACAGAAACCACATTCAAACTAGAAATAAAATATAGCCCTCCCACTTCATTTCAGACATTTTTTAAAAGACTCCAGCCGCAGGTTGCCGACCCCTGGTTTATACAGCATGGAAGAAAATACTAGAGGATCAGGATATGTGCAGTTTCAACAATTGAAATACAGTGCAATAGTCTACATTACAAGAGAGTAATAAACATGTCTCAGAGTGAGGGAGGTGGACACAGACAACACTATTGTTTGTTACAGGGATGAGAATTGGTCAAAAAAGTCTGAAATTCATAATGCCAGCCATTGTCTGTCACTAAATCTGTTTGATTTGTTCACAACATTTTACTACATGGGCTCAAATATTAACTTTTAATGCAATGGAAAATGTAGGTACCTGAGCTTTAATTTAGTCGCACTTCGAGAGGAGAGGGGAGACGCGGACTGTTTTCTGCAGCGGTGTATTTATTGGGTGCACAGATTACGCAAAGACACGCATGGTCCTGTGCGCGTTTATGGTCTTGGGTATATGGTCACGTTGAGGCTGCGCGCTCACCGTGTTGTGTTGTGAGCGGATCTCGTGGTTCCCGCGTCCAGCTCAGAGCCGCTGGATGCTTGAACCGCTCATTACAAAGCGGCCGCAGCTTTCTCGGAACACTGCGGCCGCTGAGGTGGCGCAATCCCGTTCGAGTACATACAGCAGTTGGCCGCGGACATGCGCGCCCCCCCTCAAACATTTTTCACAAACATGTTTTTTGTATGAAGCAGACAGACCGGCCCAAATATGGGCATCGGCCCTTCGGGCATTGCCCGGTACGCCCGATGGCCAGTCCAGCCCTGCCAGAGAGAGAGAGGCCAGAGAGAGAGAGACCAGAGATAGAGAGGCCAGAGATAGAGAGGCCAGAGATAGAGAGGCCAGAGAGAGAGAGACCAGAGATAGAGAGGCCAGAGATAGAGGCCAGAGAGAGAGACCAGAGATAGAGAGGCCAGAGAGAGAGACCAAAGAGTGACCAGCGAGAGGCCAGAGAGAGACCAGAGAGAGAGAGAGTAGAGAGAGACCAGAGAGAGAGAGACCAGGGAGAGACTAGAGATAGAGAGACTAGAGAGAGGCCAGAGAGAAACCAGAGAGAGATAAACCAGAGTAACCAGAGAGAGACTGAAGAAAGAGACTCCTCTATGTCAATTTATGTTTTAATGACAGAGATGAGGAAGCCCTGCAATAAACAAACATAGTAGCATAAGCTAACACTATCGCTTATAAATACATGTACAAAATGCAGTGGCTTGAAACAAATGTAAATATAGAAAACATAACTTACATAAAAACAAGAACAGCACGCTAGGGTTAGCATCAGGAGGGTAAAAATTTCAATCCTGCGGACCCTCGACTCACTCGCTGATCTCAACCAAACCGCTAGCGGCCTCTAGTGGTAAACTCTTCATCCCCCCCAGTCCGTAAAGCTATTAAAATATAATAGATAAACTGACTCAATCTTGTATCCAACGGCCCGACTCAGGCTCATAACGCTTGGGAGGCCTACGGGGGCGGCCCGGAGGCGAGGGCGGCAACACGTGGGACGGCGACATGGGGGGCAACATAGCGGGGGCAACAACCGCAGGATCGGGGCCATCATCCACTGGCGAAGCATCCGGAACAGAGACACAAGGTCCAGCCACCTCTGGAGCGACCGCCTGTGAGACCGCAGGGTCTGGGAGGATCGGGCGGGGCCGCTGATCCAAAACCACGGGTGGCGGCGAGCACACAGCAGTCTCCAACCGGGAACAAGGGGTAACCGGGGTGAAGGCGCGAAGGAACCGTCGGTTGCGCAGAGTCAGGCGACCAGACCCATCGACCTTGACGCGATACTGATCGCACCCCAACGACTCCACAACAACACCAGACTTGTCCCACTTGTTGGGGCTCGAACCCTGCTGATTCTGGAGGAAAACTGTCTCACCAAGCGCTAGTGGGCGGAGCGGCCTCGAGTGGGCCCGGAGGGACTCAGTAGTTCGGGACATCCTAGCACGGAGGGCATCCTCCCTCGCCACCCACGCCTGGCGCCAGAGTGGCCGGATATTTGGGTTAGAGTACTTCTCCAGTCTGTTCACGAACAAGAGCGAATCTCGAAGGGGGCGGCCGAAGATGATCTGAGCCGGTGAGATATCGCAGTCCGGGTCCGGAGTGTTGCGCAGCTGCAACATGGCACGTAGAAAGCGGTCGTGGTCAAGGCTGCCAGTCGGGCCAGTGTTAGAAGCCAGGAGGCGCTTGGCCATCTTCACCGCCACCTCCGCTCTCCCATTGGACTGGGGGAATGCGACGGAGGACACACGATGCCTCACATGCCACAAGCGGAGGAAGTTCTCGGTGTGGCTCGCCATAAACTCCGGGCCACCATCGCTCGAGAGTTCCTCTGGCACACCAAAGGTTGCAAAAAATTCGCGGAGGTGGCGGACCAGGCCCCTTGAGCCCCCCAGATCGGACCCTGCTGTGGAGCTCAGGACCTCCACCCAGCCCGAGAGACGGTCCCCAACCACCAGGTAGTGTCGGCCACCATAATCAAAAAAATCAGCGAAAACCGCCTCAAAAGGTGTGGACGGAGGAGGGGACCACAGGGGTGGTGTGGCAGCTTGCGAAGGGGCATTCCGATTGCAGTCCGCACACCCATTCCTGGTGGCCCGAATATCCTTCGTCATGCCCGGCCAATATACTATGGCGCGTGCACGCCGCTCCATCGCTGAAGTACCTTGGTGGGCGGCATGGAGGTGTCGAAGCACATTATCGCGAAGGGATGGGGGGACCACGACGCGATCATAATGTCACGGGGCAACTTGACAGCGTGCGTGTGCGTGCGTGTGTGTGAGTGGTTGCGTGTTTGTGAATGACTGTGACCCGGCCCACTGGAGTTGGGATATCAGGGACAGGTGTGCGTGAATGTGCGTGCGTGTGTGTGAGTGGTTGCGTGTTTGTGAATGACTGTGACCCGGCCCACTGGAATTGGGATATCAGGGACAGGTGTGCGTGATTGAGAGGAAGCAGGTGTGGAGAGCGGAGCAGCAGAGCAGGGTGCGGAGAACTGGACAAGCGGGAGGCAGCACTTGGGCACGACGGAGCAGCGCTGTGAGACGGACATCGAGTGGCCAGTGGCAGGACGCACCATGGGAATCGCGGAGGGGGAGAGTGTAACGAACCCCCTCCTCCCAGCTAAGTACCCGTTTTGTTTCGCTGTGCAGGCAGGGCTACGTGTGGTTTTTTTTGTGCTGTGGGTGTCTGTGTGCCAAAGCCTGTCTGCGCAGTACTGGGGTATATTATTCCTGTCACTGACCTGGGAGATTGACGGCCGGTCTGCCCTCTGTCCCAGGCACTGCGACCAGCGTGGGAGAAGCTGAGAGGACACGCTGTGGAGAAGCGGAGGGGGAGAGTTCGCCATCCCCCTCCTCTCAGCTAAGTGTTGCACATTTTCACTGAGAGCGTCTTGTGGAGAGCCAAGCAACGCTCAGGCTCCTGTAACCCGGTGTATTGACTGCCGCCCTGTTTGACCCTCCATAGGCCTCCGGGACGTGCCCTGGGACCGGACCACCACCCCAAGCGCCAACTTGGATCTATATTGGACTATTCAGTTTTTAGAGGGATTCATCTTTGGATTTTTAGTGTAGCCTTTTAGTGACATTTTAAACATTATATATTGTAATAAATTGTTCATTTTTCAACCCCGGTGTATTGTTTTGATAGAGCCACTCCCCTTGGACCATTGGTTTTAAAGATCTAGTTGGGGCATTGCGCCCCCTGGTGACAGAATTTGGCGTTGCTGACAGGATTTGGTCCTTTGGGTTGAGCCTCTATTAAATCAATATGCCAACAGAGGAAAATCGGTCAGGTGCACAGCCTGTTATGATGATGCCCTTCTTTATGGGGGGACCTTGGGCGTCTAAATTTAGTGGGGCTGAATCGTCTATTAAGTTTGGAGAATGGAGGAGCCAAGTAGAGACTATGCTCACATTCCAACCGATGGGGGACTCTCAAAAAGCAGACTTTATTTTTGGACTTTTGGACGGAGAGGCCAAACGAGAAGTTCTCACCCTAGACCGCACTGAAAGAAATACACCCGCTAAGATCTTTGGTATATTGTCTGCCCTGTATGGGGACAACACACATGTTTCCACATTGAGGACTCAGTTCTTCAATTGCAGACAAGAGCCCAACCAGACCTTGAGAGCTTTTTCATTACGATTGCGTGAACTCTTTTCCAGGTTGAAGCAGAAGGATGCCATGGGCTTTGAACAAGGGGACTTAATGTTGAGAGACCAGTTCGTTATGGGCCTCAAGGATGGCCCCATCCGCCAGGAACTGAGATGGCAGGTGCGAAAAAGGCCTGCACTCACCTTCGACGAGGTGAAAACAGAGGCTCTGGCCATAGAGGAGGAGCAGGCAGAACAATGGCCTCCACATGACTGCTTAGTGGTGAGTAGAACACCATCCACGAGTTCGCATGTGACCGACTGGAAACAACAATTGCGAGCTGAAATTATGAAGGACGTGAAAGAGCAAATGTCTGCAGTAGCTGCGACTCTTATCGAAGAGTTAAAGGGAGCAGCCCCTCCATTTATTGCTCCCAGGCAGAGAAATAGCCCGAGACAAAGATCCCCCAATGCTAGATTCAAGTGGGACCCCCAAGGCCGCCCTATATGTAACTTGTGTGAACAAACCGGTCATATTGGTCGTAGGTGTCCGTTAAAGGCATCTGGTCAGGATTTTTAAGTTCCCCGGCCACTGCGGGTCAAGTGTCCGGACCCCCTTTTTGCGACCCGAGTGAAGAGAACCCTAAGGCTAAACTTACGGGAAATTGCCCCCTGGTGGAGGTAGAAGTAGACGGAGTAAATGTTACGTGTTTGGTAGACACCGGTTCGCAGGTAACTTTGTTTAGCGAGAGTGTCTGCAGGAACCTCCTCGGGGGTGAAAAGCTTAGAGGTAGTAAGGAACTACCCTGGTTGACGCTGAGGGCTGCTAATGGGCTAAACATTCCGTGGGTGGGTTACCTAGTGGCAGACTTTGTGGTGCAGGGGGTCCGGGTGCCAGCGCGCGGCATTGTAGTTGCTAAGGACAGTTGTGTGGGAGCCGATAAAGCAATCCTTGGAATGAATGTAATTGCGGACTGTTGGGAAGAGCTTTTTAACAAATGCCAGGTGTCCTCCAAACAGTCAAAACCGCTGCTGGGTCGAGAGTGGCACTCTGTGTTTGCGGACTGCCAACGCATACGCACGGTCTCTTCTGCCGACCCATGGAAAGCAACGGCAAGGTTAGCCAGCCGCACCCCTGTTACCATCCCTGCACAGAGCGAAATGACTCTTTGGGCCAAAATTCCTCTATCGTCCCAACATTGGCAATGTGAGGCACTAGTAGAACCCCTTGGGGAAAACGGAGGGGTCGAGGTGGCAAGAGCCCTGGTGACTGTGGGAAAGGGCCGTATTCCTGTGCGGCTCAGGAATATTCATCCTTACGCGGTTCAGCTGAGCAGGTTCCAGAGGCTGGCGACAGTTACAGCTATCGACCCCCGACAGCATTAGGGACGGTAAGGAGCTGTCCTTGGTGGAGGTGGATCCCGGAGTCGTGGAAGTCCGCCTGGTCGATGCTGCTCCCAAACCAGAATCAACCAACGTAAGCCCTGCTGTTCCTGTCCCTGGGGGAGATGGACTGACGGAGGAGGAACAGGGGAAGTTGGACGAGCTGCTAAATCGATGGCGGCATGTCTTCTCTACCCACGAAGAGGACTATGGGCGGACGAGTGCTGTGAAACACACCATAACAACAGGTGATGCAAATCCTATTCGCGAGAGGTATAGGTCAGTACCCCCAACCATTTACAAAGAAATGCGTAGCCTCTTGAAAGACATGTTAGCCGGGGGGGTAATTCGGGAAAGCTGCAGCCCCTGGGCCGCCCCCATTGTCCTAGTTCAAAAGAAGAATGGAGCGTGGCGGTTTTGTGTAGATTATCGTAGGCTGAATAGTGTAACACACAAAGATGCACACCCACTCCCTAGGATTGAGGACTCTTTAACCAGCCTGACTAGAGCAGAGTGGTATTCCACACTAGATCTAGCCAGTGGTTATTGGCAAGTGGAGGTAGCAGAGGGAGACAGAGAGAAAACTGCCTTCACTACCCCGTTTGGCTTATTTGAATTTGAAAGGATGCCCTTTGGGCTATGTAATGCACCTGCAACCTTTCAAAGACTGATGCAGCGGTGCTTGGGTGATCAGTTAGCAGAGTCGGCAATGGTATACCTTGATGATGTGATTGTCTATTCTAGAAGCTTCACAGAACACCTTCAGCATTTGGAGTCAGTGTTTCGGTCTCTGGGCTATTATGGCCTTAAACTCCGTCCCGAGAAGTGCCAGCTGTTCCAGAAACAGGTAAAGTTTCTGGGACATGTAGTCAGTGGCCAAGGGGTTTCACCTGACCCAGAGAAAGTCGCAGCCGTAGCAGATTGGCAGCCGCCTGCTACTGTTAGGCAGGTCCGTTCATTTCTTGGTTTCTTGGGTTATTATAGGCGCTTTATAAAAGACTTTTCAAAGATTGCTAAGCCCCTTAACGGACTTTTGATTGGCACCAGTCGCCCCAGAGGGCGGCATTCCCCTCCTATTGAGTGGAATGAACAATGCGAGGTGGCCTTTCAACAGCTAAAGAGGGAACTGGTGCAGGCCCCTATTCTGGCTTATGCTGATTATACACTGCCATTCACTCTATATACCGACGCGAGCAACACAGGGCTTGGGGCTGTACTGGCTCAAGAACAGGGTGGGGTTGAACGTGTAATTGCATATGCTAGTAGAAGCCTACATCCAGCAGAACGAAATGACTCCAATTATAGTTCGTTCAAACTGGAGCTCCTCGCTATGAAATGGGCAGTGGTAGAAAAGTTCAAGGACTACCTTTGGGGTGCAAAGTTTTCCGTAGTAACTGATAACAACCCACTGGTACACCTACAAACTGCAAAGCTGGGGGCTGTAGAGCAGAGGTGGGTTGCCCAGTTGGCTAACTTTGACTATTCTATTAGATACCGCCCAGGAAAAGAAAATACTAATGCTGACGTTCTATCTAGATTCCCCACTGACACTCCAAACCAGGCCCTAGGTGACCCGGACCAGCTTGTGGGAGTGGTAGAGACCGCCATTACCCCAACCATAGGTGGCAGTTTGGGATGGGACGTGGCGCGATGGAGAAGCCTTCAAGCTGAAATCCGGATCTGCGTAAAATCAAGCCTCACATCGAGAGAGGTATGCTTCCAAGTGCCTTAGAAAGACGAGCCTTAGGGCAACCAGCCAAGACCCTGCTAAGACACTGGGAAAAACTAAGACTGAAGGATGGGGTCATATGTAGGATTGTCCAAGACTCAAAAACTTTAGAGACTCTTCACCAGATTGTTGTTCCAGCATCGCAAGCACAGACCTTGTGGGCCTTGTATCATGAGCAGATGGGACACCCAGGGCTAGAGAGATCCCTGAGTCTGCTGCGAAGGAGTTTTTACTGGCCCCGAATGGAGGACACAATCGACACCTGGCTACAAGCTTGCCCGCGTTGTGTATTACACAAGCCCGGACCCCCAGGTAGAGCGCCTTTAGTGAATCTTGTTGCAGGGGCCCCGATGCAGATTGTGGCCTTAGATTTTCTCACATTGAGCCGTCCAGTTGATAGGTATCAAAACATTCTTGTTATGACCGATTTGTTCACCAAGTTTGCATGGGCAGTACCCACACTTGATCAAACGGCCCTCACCACCGCACGTGTCCTCTGGAAGTATGTAATCCAGCCGTTCGGTTGCCCAGAAGTACTGCACTCCGACCAAGGGGCCAACTTTGAGTCTAGGCTGGTACATGAACTCTGTCAGGTGTATGGGTGCCGCAAGAGTCGAACCACTCCATATCACCCAATGGGGAACGGGGCCTGCGAACGGCTCAACCAGACAGTGTTAAATCTCCTGGGTACCCTAGAGGTAGAAAAACATCAAAGGTGGGCAGAGTATCTGCCTGGATTAATCCAGGCCTATAATAACACTGTCCATGCATCGACAGGCTATGCACCCGCCTTTTTGATGTTCGGTCGGCATATGAGGACTCCAGTAGATTTGTTGTCTGGAGGTATGAGAGTACAGGTTCCCATGGACACTACAGACTGGGTAGCAAAGCATCAGGAGCAGCTGGCTTATGCCTATAAGAGAACATTTGATTGTCTCAAACAGGCTGGACAGAAAAGTAAGAGGCTTTATGATCGTTCTGCCAAAGAAGTCCCGCTCTTGCCTGGAGAGCGAGTTCTGGTGCGTGACCACCGCAGGCGCCAGGCAGGGAAACTAAGTGATTGCTGGGAGAAAAGACCCTTTGTTATAGTTTGTAGGCTCCACCCAGAGCGCCCAGTCTACAAAATTCGCCCGGAGGGTAAGGATGGCCCTGAACGGGTGATTCATCGCAACAATCTCCGGCCATGCCTCTACTACACCGCCCCGGAGGCTACAACAGCGCCCTCAAGTGAGCCTCCGGCATCAATGTGGGGGCTTTTGCTACCTGTGGGGGAAGTCGTCGAGGAGGGACCTGTACCACCGCCAGAGCCGAGGAGGTCCCAGAGAGCCAATTTGGGGGCTCGGCCCCAAAGATACCTGAACTGACCCTTGTATGTGTGTTCTAGGGACTAGAACAGTTTGGAGGGGGAGGGTGTCACGGGGCAACTTGACAGCGTGCGTGTGCGTGCGTGTGTGTGAGTGGTTGCGTGTTTGTGAATGACTGTGACCCGGCCCACTGGAGTTGGGATATCAGGGACAGGTGTGCGTGAATGTGCGTGCGTGTGTGTGAGTGGTTGCGTGTTTGTGAATGACTGTGACCCGGCCCACTGGAATTGGGATATCAGGGACAGGTGTGCGTGATTGAGAGGAAGCAGGTGTGGAGAGCGGAGCAGCAGAGCAGGGTGCGGAGAACTGGACAAGCGGGAGGCAGCACTTGGGCACGACGGAGCAGCGCTGTGAGACGGACATCGAGTGGCCAGTGGCAGGACGCACCGTGGGAATCGCGGAGGGGGAGAGTGTAACGAACCCCCTCCTCCCAGCTAAGTACCCGTTTTGTTTCGCTGTGCAGGCAGGGCTACGTGTGGTTTTTTTTGTGCTGTGGGTGTCTGTGTGCCAAAGCCTGTCTGCGCAGTACTGGGGTATATTATTCCTGTCACTGACCTGGGAGATTGACGGCCGGTCTGCCCTCTGTCCCAGGCACTGCGACCAGCGTGGGAGAAGCTGAGAGGACACGCTGTGGAGAAGCGGAGGGGGAGAGTTCGCCATCCCCCTCCTCTCAGCTAAGTGTTGCACATTTTCACTGAGAGCGTCTTGTGGAGAGCCAAGCAACGCTCAGGCTCCTGTAACCCGGTGTATTGACTGCCGCCCTGTTTGACCCTCCATAGGCCTCCGGGACGTGCCCTGGGACCGGACCACCACCCCAAGCGCCAACTTGGATCTATATTGGACTATTCAGTTTTTAGAGGGATTCATCTTTGGATTTTTAGTGTAGCCTTTTAGTGACATTTTAAACATTATATATTGTAATAAATTGTTCATTTTTCAACCCCGGTGTATTGTTTTGATAGAGCCACTCCCCTTGGACCATTGGTTTTAAAGATCTAGTTGGGGCATTGCGCCCCCTGGTGACAATAATACAACAGAACACCATCTTGTGCGTAAAAGGACTCACATGCCGGTGACAGACTTTTCAGCACCGGGTCATTCTTATCAATCATGCCTCCATGTTCAATGAGGCGCAGGAGGTGGGCAAAGCATGCGTCAGCAGCAGTCTCTTCCGCGAGGAGGGGCCACGAGACGGCGCCAAGCACCTTAGCATCTTCACGAATAGAGGCTGTTCTTGTTTTTATGGCTTCCTCATGAAGAAAGAGACTCCTCTATGTCAATTTATGTTTTAATGACAGAGATGAGGAAGCCCTGCAATAAACAAACATAGTAGCATAAGCTAACACTATCGCTTATAAATACATGTACAAAATGCAGTGGCTTGAAACAAATGTAAATATAGAAAACATAACTTACATAAAAACAAGAACAGCACGCTAGGGTTAGCATCAGGAGGGTAAAAATTTCAATCCTGCGGACCCTCGACTCCCTCGCTGATCTCAACCAAACCGCTAGCGGCCTCTAGTGGTAAACTCTTCAGAGACCACAAAGAGAGCAAGGACAGAGCAGAGAGAGAACAGAGGAACATTGATGGATCTATAATAATAACTGGAAAGAGTATTTCTATCTTATAGCTGTCCCACCCATGGGCACAGGGGGCGCCAGTGGTACTACAAACTAAATTCACATGGGCTCACCAGAAAAAAGTCCCATAGAGCTCAATGTAAATTAAAACAACTCGACCTCAGCTGACAGAGAACCTGACAGAGAACCTACAGCTTTCATAAAGGTCAGACTTTGTGGAGATTTTATTGTCCCTTGTCATCCTGAACTTTTGGCTCGCTCCGCTCTGATCAGCAGCTGTGATTGGTCAAAGCGCGGCCCCTCTGTGCAGTTTTTTTCACATTTTCCATCCCCCGCGGCCATCTTGAAACTGCCCATAGACGACATTAGTTTGAACGGCGGAGATAGGTGTGAATACGTCCTTTAATACTTACAGTCTATGGTCGTGAACCTTTCTGTATACTTCCTGTTTCAGTGCCCAGTAAACAGGTAAACAAGTAGAGAGAGCAATATTCAGCCTTAAACCCAATTGATTCTTCATCTTTCACCTTGTGTTCTTCATCAAATCGGCGCTAATACAACGCTTACCGGGGTTTCGATCCCTCATCACCGCAGGCGGAGCTCCTTCTGCCGGGTTTCAGAGCACGTTCAAGAGTGAAGGTTATTTCTGTGTCCAAACACGCAGCGTTTTGGATTCTGACAGCGCTGTGTGCTTTTGGAATCAGGAGCCAAACAAGTCTCTGTGGGAATATTAAATCCGAGGCCGTCTCCGAAAGCGCTGAAGATTATTGCTCTGAGAATGACAAGTGCGAGCACAGGCGTCAGCGAGGCTCAGAGCATGTTGTAACTTTCAAAACAACGACTGTGTGTAACATTAATGCTAATAATTGGTTAGTTATACGTTATTGTTCCCACAGGGCGTGGTCAGGACTCTGGTCTCTCTCTAGTCTCTCTCTGGTCTCTCTCTGGTCTCTCTCTGGTCTCTCTCCGGTCTCTCTCTAGTCCCTCTCTGGTCTCTCTCTGGTCTCTCTTTGGTCTCTCTCTGGTGTCTCTCTAGTTGGTCTCTCTCTGGTCTCTCTCTGGTGTCTCTCTGGTCTCTCTCTAGTCCCTCTCTGGTCTCTCTCTGGTCTCTCTTTGGTCTCTCTCTGGTGTCTCTCTAGTTGGTCTCTCTCTGGTGTCTCTCTAGTCTCTCTCTGGTCTCTCTCCGGTCTCTCTCTAGTCCCTCTCTGGTCTCTCTCTGGTCTCTCTTTGGTCTCTCTCTGGTGTCTCTCTAGTTGGTCTCTCTCTGGTGTCTCTCTAGTCTCTCTCTGGTCTCTCTCCGGTCTCTCTCTAGTCCCTCTCTGGTCTCTCTCTGGTCTCTCTTTGGTCTCTCTCTGGTGTCTCTCTAGTTGGTCTCTCTCTGGTGTCTCTCTAGTCTCTCTCTGGTCTCTCTCTTAGTCTCTCTCTGGTGTCTCTCTGGTGTCTCTCTGGTCTCTCTCTGGTGTCTCTCTAGTCTCTCTCTGGTCTCTCTCTGGTGTCTCTCTGGTCTCTCTTTGGTCTCTCTCTGGTCTCTCTCTGGTGTCTCTCTGGTCTCTCTCTGGTCTCTCTCTGGTGTCTCTCTGGTCTCCCTTTCTGGTTAATAAAATAAAATAATTGAAGAGACGCAGGAGTGGGAATGGACTCAAATGAAAAAAGAGCATATGGTTTATTCCACAGGAGAAACACGATGAAGCAGACAATCAACAAAACATGAAGAAAAACTCAAATGTTTCATAATTACGAAACAAAACAAAGTAATAAAATAATGTTTACAAAATCCAGGTCATTCAACACAGACGATTTGGAACAAAAAGCAAAACAGTATCTCGCTCTCTTTAGTTCTTCTCTCTGGTCTCTCTCGCTCTCTCTCTCTCTCTCTCTTCTTTGGAATAAAAATATTTTTAGCAGAAAATACAGACTTAAAAAGACGTCTCACAATCTTAGGTCTTCACAGTTTTGGTATTGCATAGTTTAAGGCTCGCATAAATAAACCCAGCTGTTTATAAATAACAGTATTAAAAGTCTAAACAGGGTCTGGGCCAGGACTGGAGATGGTCTGAGGCTGGACACGGGAGCCCACTCTGAGGACTGTGGTCCGGCTGGAGTCCTGAGGGAGCTGGTGGGAGAGGTACACCCCAAACGTCACCTACAAAAACACACACTTTAGTGTTCGATGTGTTGGATCCACGCAGAAAACTCAGACCTTTGAAAGTAGTTTTTCAGTAAAAATCTTCATTGTTTTGGCTCAAGATTCATTGAAACATCAGCATTTCAACAAATATCTTACAGAGAGACCAGAGAGAGACCAGAGAGAGACCAGAGAGAGACCAGAGAGAGACCAGAGAGAGAGACCAGAGAGAGACCAGAGAGAGACCAGAGAGAGACCAGAGAGAGAGACCAGAGAGAGACCAGAGAGAGACCAGAGAGAGACCAGAGAGAGACCAGAGAGAGACCAGAGAGAGACCAGAGAGAGACCAGAGAGAGACCAGAGAGAGAGACCAGAGAGAGACCAGAGAGAGACCAGAGAGAGACCAGAGAGAGAGACCAGAGAGAGACCAGAGAGAGACCAGAGAGAGACCAGAGAGAGAGACCAGAGAGAGAGACCAGAGAGAGAGACCAGAGAGAGAGACCAGAGAGAGAGACCAGAGAGAGACCAGAGAGAGAGACCAGAGAGAGACCAGAGACAGAGACGAGAGAGACCAGAGAGAGAGACCAGAGAGAAGCAGAGAGAGACCAGAGAGAGAGACCGGCGGGAGACCAGAGAGAGACCAGAGAGAGACCAGAGAGAGAGACCAGAGAGAGAGACCAGAGAGAGAGACCAGAGAGAGACCAGAGAGAGAGACCAGAGAGAGAGACCAGAGAGAGACCAGAGAGAGAGACCAGAGAGAGAGACCAGACAGAGAGACCAAAGAGAGAGACCAGAGAGAGACCAGCGAGAGAGACCAGAGAGAGAGACCAGAGAGAGACCAGAGAGAGAGACCAGAGAGAGACCAGAGAGAGACCAGAGAGAGACCAGAGAGAGAGACCAGAGAGAGACCAGAGAGAGACCAGAGAGAGAGACCAGAGAGAGACCAGAGAGAGACCAGAGAGAGAGACCAGAGAGAGAGACCAGAGAGAGACCAGACAGAGAGACCAGAGAGAGACCAGAGAGAGAGACCAGAGAGAGACCAGAGAGAGACCAGAGAGAGACCAGAGAGACAGACCAGAGAGAGACCAGAGACAGAGACCAGAGAGAGACCAGAGAGAGAGACCAGAGAGAGAGACCAGACAGACAGACCAGAGAGAGACCAGAGAGAGAGACCAGAGAGAGACCAGAGAGAGAGACTAGAGAGAGACCAGACAGACAGACCAGAGAGAGAGACCAGAGAGAGACCAGACAGAGAGACCAGAGAGAGAGACCAGACAGACAGACCAGAGAGAGAGACTAGAGAGAGAGACCAGAGAGAGAGACCAGAGAGAGACCAGACAGAGAGACCAGAGAGAGAGACCAGACAGAGAGACCAGAGAGAGAGACCAGAGAGAGAGACCAGAGAGAGACCCGAGAGAGACCAGAGAGAGAGACCACAGAGAGAGACCAGAGAAAGACCAGAGAAAGACCAGAGAGAGAGAGACCAGACAGAGAGACCAGAGAGCAGCAGCAGCAGTAGCAGCAGCAGTAGCATCAGTAGCAGTAGCAGCAATGGCAGAAGCAGCAGCAGTAGCATCAGTAGCAGTAGCAGCAATGGCAGAAGCAGTAGCAGCAGCAGCAGTAGCAGTAGCAGTAGCAGCAGCAGAAGCAGTAGCAGCAGCAGCAGCAGCAGTAGCATCAGTAGCAGTAGCAGCAATGGCAGAAGCAGTAGCAGCAGCAGCAGTAGCAGTAGCAGCAGCAGTAGCAGTAGCAGCAGTAGCAGTAGCATCAGCAGCAGTAGCAGTAGCAGCAGTGGCAGTAGCAGCAGCAGTAGCATCAGTAGCAGTAGCAGCAATGGCAGAAGCAGTAGCATCAGCAGCAGTAGCAGTAGCAGCAGTGGCAGTAGCAGCAGCAGTAGCATCAGTAGCAGTAGCAGCAATGGCAGAAGCAGTAGCAGTAGCAGTAGTCTCACCTTCCCCTGGTCCCTGTACACAGACAGAGTCCTCAGAGGCTCCATGGTTCTGTCTCCAGTTTCCTGGTTTATTCCGACCATGTGACAGCGGCTGCACTTCCCCGTCACCTGAACGACAGTCAACACCATCAACTCTGGACATAATAAAGCTGGGGTACCTCACTTTTTATGTCACGACAGAAAGTCATGTGATCGGACCACAAGATGTCTCTATCTCTCTCGCTTTGGTGTTTCTGGTCTCTCTCACTCCCCCTCTCTCTTGATGATCTTTCTGTAGTTCTGTAGTCTCACTCTCTTGGCCCTCCCTCTGGTCTCTCTCACTCCCCCTCCCTCTCTCACTCTGGTCTCTCTTTCTCTCCCCCTCCCTCTTTATGATCTCTCTGTGGTTTCACTCTCTGAATTCTCTCTTTGCCCCTCCCTCTCTCTAGATTCTCTCTCTTCCCCCTCTCTGGTCTCTCTCTCTCACCGTGAAGACAGTGTTGGTGATCGTCAGCTGAGACCACTCGTCCTCCTTGAACGCCGTCGCCGCAGACACCACCAGATTTGCTCGGAAACGGGAAACAACATTATCCACGTCGAGAAACAGGTTCTGGTCTGAGGTCAGGTCGTCTCTGTGAAGAAAGACTGAGGCTGAGGCTGAGACTGAGACTGAGACTGAGACTGAGGCAGAGGCAGAGGCAGAGGCAGAGGCAGAGGCAGAGGCAGAGGCAGAGGCTGAGGCTGTGGCAGAGGCAGAGGCAGAGGCTGTGGCTGTGGCTGTGGCAGAGGCAGAGGCAGAGGCTGAGGCTGTGGCTGTGGCAGAGGCAGAGGTAGAGGCTGAGGCTGAGGCTGTGGCTGTGGCTGAGGCAGAGGCAGAGGCAGAGGCAGAGGCAGAGGCAGAGGCAGAGGCTGAGGCAGAGGCAGAGGCAGAGGCAGAGGCAGAGGCAGAGGCAGAGGCAGAGGCAGAGGCAGAGGCAGAGGCTGTGGCTGTGGCTGTGGCAGAGGCAGAGGTAGAGGCTGAGGCTGAGGCTGTGGCTGTGGCTGAGGCAGAGGCAGAGGCAGAGGCAGAGGCAGAGGCTGAGGCTGTGGCTGTGGCTGTGGCAGAGGCAGAGGCAGAGGCTGAGGCTGAGGCTGTGGCTGTGGCTGAGGCAGAGGCAGAGGCAGAGGCAGAGGCAGAGGCAGAGGCAGAGGCAGAGGCAGTGGCTGTGGCTGTGGCTGTGGCTGAGGCAGAGGCAGAGGCAGAGGCAGAGGCAGAGGCAGAGAGGCTGTGGCTGTGGCTGAGGCAGAGGCAGAGGCAGAGGCTGAGGCTGAGGCAGAGGCAGAGGCAGAGGCAGAGGCAGAGGCAGAGGCAGAGGCAGAGGCAGAGGCAGAGGCAGAGGCAGAGACAGAGGCGCCTCTGCCTCTGCCTTTCTAAGTGAGAATACAAAAAGCAGCTGTGAGCGTGTGGACGACAGTCAGAGTGTGTGAAAAGACCAGTTAATCACACTTCATTCATTCATTCAAACCAAGGCTGTGTTTACCAGAGACGATCCACACAGAGAGAGAAGCGCAGAAAAGATGTGAAATTACATGTTATTCGCTACGCACATAAAGGCAGTGTGTGCTTAAGCAGGATCTGTGTGTGCGTGTGTTTGTGTGTGTGTTTGTGTGTTTGGAGAAGTTTTCTTTTCAAACCTTAGTGAATGACGCAGTGAATGTGTCTGAGCTGGTTCTGTTTCAAGAACTGACTCTCTTCCTCCATCTCTCTCTCTATGTCTACTGTATCTGTGTGTATCTGTGTATATGTGTGTGTGTGTATCTGTGTATATGTGTGTATCTGTGTATATGTGTGTGTGTATATCTGTGTGTGTCTGTGTGTGTGTCTGTGTGCATATTTTTGTTTGTTTGTGTCTGTGTGTGTGTGTCTGTGTGCATCTTTTTGTGTGTTTGTGTTTGTGTGTCTGGGTGTGTTTCTGCGTTTGGTGAGATTTTTCTTTTCAAACCTGTTGTGAATGATGCGGTGAATATGTTCTGCGCTGGTTCTGTTTATCATCAAGTACTGGGCTTCGTTCACCAGCGAGAGAGGAGAGGAGGCGGCTGCAAACACACACACACACACACGCCCACACACACACACACACACACACACACACAGGATAAGTGAGCGGGTATTCAAATCGAAGGCTGATCCTGGAGCATCAGCAGAGCTACCGTAGCAGGTGTGCCTGTTGTGGCGGTAATGGTGTGAAAGAGTCAGTTTTGGGTTTCTTCCCGCTGAGCACAAACACACACACGGCAACTCAAAGTGGGTTTTGTGGAGGATGCAGTTGGGCCCAGAGTGGATCATTGTTGAAGTAGTAGCCATTTGAAAGTGGCAAATTATGCACACTAGAGTAGAGTAGAGTAGAGTAGAGTAGAGTAGAGTAGAGTAGAGTAGAGTAGAGTAGAGTAGAGTAGAGTAGAGTAGAGTAGAGTAGAGTAGAGTACAGTATAGAGTATCTCCGTAAAAACCCAGAGAAGAGAGGTTTTCTACCACAGTAAGTGAATGGAACAATGACATAGCAACATTAGCGTTACTTTTAGTTTCATAAAATCTCTGTGTCTGAGAGGACTGACAAAGACGGGCTGCAAAGTGCTACGTCCTCGCTGAGTGAATGGAAACACGTCACATGGTATTATGTGAGAGAAAAATCAAAATTACAGTCGTCAAAGTAGAATGCGTCATTCAAGCGCATTTTAGGCGAAAGAGCACGTCTCTGCAAAAGAACAAACGTGAGAAAGTGCAGTTATTTACAACGTTTATGACAGAGACCACAAGTTTGAAAAATTAGGTGTGAAAAAGAAATTTGAGCATAAGCTAGATCTAATTATGGAGCCCGTTATTCCTTTTGTGGGCATTTGTTTTGATGGCATGAAGAGGAGAGAATGGAGAGGGGAGAGAGAGAGACCAGAGAGACCAGAGAGAGGAAGATGAGAGGAGTAGAGAGGAGAGAGAACGAGGAGAGGAGAGAGGAGCGAGGAAAGAGAGAGGAGAGACCAGAGAGATAAAAGGGAAAGAGAGTAGAGAGAAAAGAGAGGGAGAGGGACCAGAAAGAGAGAGTCCAGAGAGACTAGAGAGTGAAACTGGTGAGAAAGAAAGACCAGAAAGAGATAGAGTCTAGAGAGAGAGAGACTGAGAGACCAGTAAAAGAGAGTCAAGATAGAAAGAGAGAGATAGCGATACACACACACAAGGAAGAGAGACAGAGACCAGAGAGAGAGAGAAAAAGTCCAAAATGAGAGCGATACAGAGACAAAAGAGAAAGAGACCAGAGAGATTGTCAAGAGAGAGAGAGCACAAACAAAAGAGACACCAGAGAGAGAGAAACCAGAGAACGAGAGCAAGGGATAGAGACCAGGGAGAAGGAGAGACACACACAAAAGAGAGAGAGACCAGAGAAAGACAGTTACAATGATTTACTGTGTGGTTTGAAAGTCAGGTACCCCAGCTTTAAGGCCTGCTTTTTGGCCTTGAACATTGCATCACAATAAGAAGCTGCAGTACAAAGGTCTGTGAGTCACTGCACATTCAATCTATGGTAGAGTCCAGCCTCAAGGTCTCTCTCTTCACCTTCTTTTACTGCATCTGGAATCTAAATCTGTGTGTTCTGTAAAAGTAGATTACTAATTTAACTTGAATGTTTTTGTCTCTTTACAGATGTAGACCCAGGACTGAGGCTGTAGACCCAGGACTGAGGCTGTAGACCCAGGACTGAGGCTGTAGACCCAGGACTGAGGCTGTGGACCCAGGACTGAGGCTGTAGACCCAGGACTGAGGCTGTAGACCCAGGACTGAGGCTGTGGACCCAGGACTGAGGCTGTGGACCCAGGACTGAGGCTGTAGACCCAGGACTGAGGCTGTAGACCCAGGACTGAGGCTGTAGACCTAGGACTGAGGCTGTAGACCTAGGACTGAGGCTGTAGACCCAGGACTGAGGCTGTAGACCCAGGACTGAGGCTGTAGACCTAGGACTGAGGCTGTAGACCTAGGACTGAGGCTGTAGACCCAGGACTGAGGCTGTAGACCTAGGACTGAGGCTGTAGACCTAGGACTGAGGCTGTAGACCCAGGACTGAGGCTGTAGACCATAGTAGACTGCATATATTAACGAACGTAGTCAAAAATGTATTCCAATGTGTTTTTTTTTTTACTGCAAATGGCAAATAAACTGAATCTGAAAAATTGGGCTCTCATGGAGTGATTCAAAATGGCCTTGGGGGCTGGAAAATGTGAAAAAACGCATCTGCGCATGCGTCAGCTGCACGAGCCCATTCATTTACCGAGTGCCTTCAAAAATTCAGAGCGAGTAAACTAGAGTGGACCAAAAAAATTCACCCCCCTCAGCATTGACACACATGTGGAACGGAGCTTTGGGTCAAGGGCCAACTTTTGGACCATCCTGTGAAGACGGTTTCGAGAGGTCAGCTAATGCTACATGTTAGCATTGGCTAATTCTTATTCCGGGTCCACCCCCATCGGCCCGGGGTGGTATTGCAGCATGTCAGCGCACCTCATTTTGGCCACTTTTGAGCCGGGACCCACCCCCACTGCTGTAGATCCAAGACTTTTCACTGCATACAGCTGAGAATAAAATTGAGTAGGCAGAAATGGTCTCGCTCGACACAACCGGACTCGTTTGTGAGAGATGGCGGCGGCGGCGGCGGCGGCGGCGGTTCAAGGACGTGTCGTGAGCAGAGGTCTTTATTGTCTGCACCCAGAGCAGGTTTTCAGCTTTATTAAAAATGATGCACAGAAGTGGATTGATTTGAGACGAGAGCAGAGGATGGATGACAGATGTGTACGGGGGAGAGTGAGGAAACTGTAGATAGGGGAGACAGGGGAGAAAGGGGGAGAGAGGGGGAGAGAGGGGAGACTGGGACAGAATAATGCTAAAGGTTTTGGATTCAACTGGAACGGCTTCAAGAATTCATTCATAATCTACACTTGTAATGTCATAAAAGCTACTGTAGGTATAGAAGAGAGGCGAGAGGGGAGAGAGGGAGAGAGGAGAGAGAGAGAGGGGAGAGAGGGGGGAGAGAGGGAGAGAGAGAGGGGAGAGAGAGGGGGGGAGAGAGAGAGGAGAGAGGAAGGGGAGAGAGAGGTGAGGGGGGGGGGGGGGGGGAAAGGAGAGAGAGAGAGGGGGAAGAGAGAGGGGAGAGAATGGATGAATAGGAGAAAGGAGAGAGAGTATAGAGAGAGGGGAGAGAAAGGGGATGGAGAGGGGAGAGAGGATACCAGATAGAGACCAGAGAGGGAGAGACCAGTGGCAGAGACTTCAGAGACCAGAGAGAGACCAGAGAGAGACCAGAGAGAGACTAGAGAGAGACCAGAGAGGGACCAGAGAGAGACAAGAGAGAGAGACCAGAGAGAGACTAGAGAGAGACCAGAGAGAGGGACCAGAGAGAGACCAGAGAGAGAGACCATAGAGAGACCAGACAGAGACTAGAGAAAGAGACCAGAGAGAGACTAGAGAGAGACCAGACAGAGACCAGAGAGATAGACCAGAGAGAGACCAGAGAGATAGACCAGAGACCAGAGAGAGACCAGAGAGAGACCAGAGAGTGAGACCAGAGAGAGACCAGAGAGAGACCAGAGAGAGACCAGAGAGAGACCAGAGAGAGACCAGAGAGAGACCAGAGAGAGACCAGAGAGAGACCAGAGAGAGGGAGAGAGAGGGGAGAGAGGGAGAGAGAGGGGAGAGAGAGAGGAGGGGGGGAGGGAGAAAGGAGAGAGAGAGGGGGAAGAGAGAGGGGAGAGAGGGGAGAGAGGATACCAGATAGAGACCAGAGAGGGAGAGACCAGTGGCAGAGACTTCAGAGACCAGAGAGAGACCAGAGAGAGACTAGAGAGAGAGAGCAGAGAGAGAGACCAGAGAGAGACCAGAGAGAGATCAGAGAGAGGGACCAGAGAGAGACCAGAGAGAGACCACTGAAACCAGAAAGCGTCCGAACCTGTTTTGAGAGTGAGGGACCATGTGACACGGATCCATTAAATAGTTTTTAGTGGGTTTAAAGTGACTTAATTCTAACGTATACATTTTGTCGGCGGTTTCTTCTGGTCTCGGCGCGGAGGAGATTGTTATAAATTCATAATGTGGAGCTGAGCCGTGGGGGTCTTTCTCAAACCTGGTCTAAGCACAATTGACCTTTAATTTGAAAAAGCCAGAGATCGAGGCCTCGGGTCAAAACAGCACAAATGTTTAATGAGCTGGAGTCTGATTCTGAGAGAGGTCTGTGAGTCTGAAATATTCACAATGGATCAGACCAGAGGAGGCAGTCATACCATGTGTCTGATGGAGGGGATGAAACCGCTGCAGAAAAGGCAACAAGAACATGCACCAGTCTGCTCTTCTTCAAACCCACCTCTTTACAGCAGCTGGAGTTTGTGTTTTTACTTTATTGTTGTCTGTCTGCTTTATTTCTTTTTGATCTGACTGTTTTATTGACTGGTTTTGACTGGTTTTGACTGTTTGTACTGCTTTATGCTAAAAGTGCAATCTGGGGAAAGGTAAGTGCAGTAAAGACTCCATTTTAAATAGAGACCAGAGAGAGAGAAAAAGATGAGAGAGAGACCAGAGAGAGACCAGAGAGAGACCAGAGAGAGACCAGAGAGACTAGTGAGAGAGACCAGAGAGAGACCAGAGAGAGAGACCAGTGAGAGACCAGAGAGAGACCAGAGAGAGTCCAGAGAGAGACCAGAGAGAGACCAGAGAGAGACCAGAGAGAGACCAGAGAGAGACCAGAGAGAGAGACCAGAGAGAGACCAGAGAGAGACCAGAGAGAGACCAGAGAGAGAGACCAGAGAGAGACCAGAGAGAGACCAGAGAGAGACCAGAGAGAGAGACCAGAGAGAGACCAGAGAGAGACCGGAGAGAGACCGGAGAAAGACCAGAGAGAGTCCAGAGAGAGACTGGAGAAAGACCAGAGAGAGACCAGAGAGAGACCAGTGAGAGACCAGAGAGAGACCAGAGAGAGTCCAGAGAGAGACCAGAGAGTCTAGAGAGAGACCAGAGAGAGACCAGAGAGAGACCAGAGAGAGACCAGAGAGAGACCAGAGAGAGACCAGAGAGAGACCAGAGAGAGACCAGAAAGAGACCAGAGAGAGACCAGAGAGAGACCAGAGAGAGACCAGAGAGAGACCAGAGAGAGACCAGAGAGAGACCAGAGAGAGACCAGAGAGAGACCAGAGAGAGACCAGAGAGAGACCAGAGAGAGTCCAGAGAGAGACCAGAGAGTCTAGAGAGAGACCAGAGAGACCAGAGAGAGACCAGAGAGAGACCAGAGAGAGACCAGAGAGAGACCAGAGAGAGACCAGAGAGAGAGACCAGAGAGAGACCAGAGAGAGACCAGAGAGAGACCAGAGAGAGAGACCAGAGAGAGACCAGAGAGAGACCGGAGAGAGACCGGAGAAAGACCAGAGAGAGTCCAGAGAGAGACTGGAGAAAGACCAGAGAGAGACCAGAGAGAGACCAGTGAGAGACCAGAGAGAGACCAGAGAGAGTCCAGAGAGAGACCAGAGAGAGACCAGAGAGAGATCAGAGAGAGTCCAGAGAGAGACCAGAGAGAGACCAGAGAGAGACCAGAGAGAGACCAGAGAGAGACCAGAGAGAGACCAGAGAGAGACCAGAGAGAGACCAGAGAGAGACCAGAGAGAGTCCAGAGAGAGACCAGAGAGAGACCAGAGAGAGACCAGAGAGAGACCAGAGAGAGACCAGAGAGAGACCAGAGAGAGAGACCAGAGAGAGACCAGAGAGAGACCAGAGAGAGACCAGAGAGAGAGACCAGAGAGAGACCAGAGAGAGACCGGAGAGAGACCGGAGAAAGACCAGAGAGAGTCCAGAGAGAGACTGGAGAAAGACCAGAGAGAGACCAGAGAGAGACCAGTGAGAGACCAGAGAGAGACCAGAGAGAGTCCAGAGAGAGACCAGAGAGTCTAGAGAGAGACCAGAGAGAGACCAGAGAGAGACCAGAGAGAGACCAGAGAGAGACCAGAGAAAGACCAGAGAGAGTCCAGAGAGAGACCAGAGAGAGACCAGAGAGATACCAGAGAGAGACCAGAGAGAGACCAGAGAGAGACCAGAGAGAGACCAGAGAGAGACCAGATTAACCAGTAAGCAGCAAAACAAAAACAATGATATCTGGGACAGAAAGATGTGAAAAATGTTCTAAAAAACACAAATATTAAAGTGGCCACATCAGAACCAGTTTCGCTGTCACTGGTTTAAAGGATGGACTCAAACCACTTGTCACTATTTGCATGTTCTCCCCATCGTTCCTGGTGCACACAAGGACAACCAGAGCTCTCGTCACTAAATGCTTTTCCCTCCGGGGCCTCGCTGCCGCAGAGACATTATTCTGTTCTTAAAAGCAATGTTGGAAGAGGATTCGCTCTCTGACAACTGTAGACGGCACAATGCGAAATGAAAATATGGGAAATCTGTTAAATCTGTGACTTGGTTATGATGTCATTTATCAAAAACAGCTTTTATTCTTTTGGATTGGGGACAAAAATGACGACGTTTTGATAAATATTGTAAGAAAGAAACGGCCACGGCAGAGTTCTCTCGTGATGGATGCGGCCTCTGCTCCAGTTACAACAATTGGATTTGATTTCTCCACAACTTCTCGGTCCAGGATTCAATTAGAAAAAAACATTCATAAATATTTTTGAAAAAATGTGTCAAGATGAGTCACGATTAAAATGTAAAATCACAGTTAGTATTTGTACATTTGTTAATTTTTCCCTCAACTGATTGTGCCAGATTAGAGCGGTTTAAGTCAGGCACAGTCCATAAGGCAGCTGTGGATCCCTCTCTCAGTATGTGCCTCGCTTAAGCCTGGTTCACACGGCAGGATAATTAGGCCGATTAAAGACCCGATTTACCCCAAATGACCATCTTAAGAACGCTCCAATTTTTATTTTAAATAATCTGATGGATTTTCCATGTGGTATGTTAAGACTGCGTCTCTCAGAAGGACTTCAGGACTGCTCCGGTCTCAAATCGGGGATATCCAATTTTGGATTGTTTTGGCCCGATTTCTCTTTGTGTGCAGTGTCCTCCAGGGACAGACGAGCGCGTTGCCATGACTGCGGTGTGTAGCTAATCAGAAGACGAGGTGACGAGGCGGCGAAGAAACACCGGAAAAAAATCATAACAGTCAGCGGCATAAATATATAAAGTCCATACTCGCGTGTTCTCCACTTCTCTGACCACCTTTTCCTTTGATAACTGCAAACTATCACCTCTGCATCCTCTTCGTCCTTCATGATTGTTTACTCTGAAGTCACGCTTGATCTCGAGAGATTTTGTGAGATTTCCGTCTGACCTGGGAATGCTCGGGGAGAAATCGGTTTGTGTGTGGTTTGCGTGACTTTGTCGTGTGGCATCGACCAAAGTCGTTAGACCCTTAATGTTTTATCTCCGTGCGTGGGTCTTTCAGGTTAGGAAAATCGGCCGACAATTTTAAAATCGTCTCGTGTGAACCAGGCTTTAGGTTTCTCACTTTTTCAGACCTTTTCTTGCCAACAGTCGGTCTCTCTTTTGGCAATAACTCAAACGGATTGAGATCAAAAATCCTACTGCTCTTGAAAAATGTGTAAAAATGTACACATCATGGTTCAAGACGAAAACAAGAAGTTAGTATCTCATTTATGACATAGACTTCATACAGATTGACAACCCGGGGTCATTGAGCCTCTCAATGTCAGACCTCTGAAGCTAAGCAGAGTAGAGCCTGGTTAGCACCGTGATGGGAGACCTCTGGGAACACCAGGTGCCACAGAAAGATGATAGAAGTTTATCCCCACTGTTCATAGAGAAGATAGAGAGATCGATAGATACTTTATTGATCCCCGTAAGAGAAATTTAGGTGTCCAGTAGCAGCAAAAATAAAAATAATATAGATCAGAGTGAATAATGACATGTGAAGGTTTGAATGAGGTTTGAATGAGTTTTTTTGAGCATGACGAAGAGACTACAGATGGAAATATTACAGTACTCACATTTACTGCTGTATAAAAACTGCTGTCTCATCTAAATAAACAAATACATTAAGTTTAAGACAGATCAGTGAATCAGTGGGTCAGTCTTTGTCATTTTTAACGAGGGTCAGCGATGAGAAAACACTGGCAACATGTGAGAAAAAAGGAAAATCTGAGGCACTCTTGACAGTAAATACATTTGTTTATGATGGGCCAGGGACTAGGGCTTTCTTCAGGACAATCATATAAAACACGGCAGCGTTTGTTTGTGCTTTAAAGGATCCTAAGCATTCAGAGAGACACCACTCTCTCTCCTCACTCACCGTCCTCTCGGCTGGACTCCTGCTGCTTCGTCCTCTTCTTCTTCTTTGCGTCTCGTGTGAAGCCGGAGTTGAGTCTGATCAAGCGACACGTCTGCCCCAGGAAGTCAGAGAGCCAGTCCGCCGCCGCCTCCCCACAGTCCTGCGTCTCCACCCTGAACACAGAGGACCAGACTCAGGCTCAGACTCAGGCTCAGAACACAGGGGAAATCTGGGCTCTACAGGTCTGTGCAGAGCGACCGGCCACAGAGCACAGTAGTAATAAAACAATGTATGTGGCTGCTCTCTCCTCTCTCTGGTCTCTCTCTGCCTCCCTCTGATCTCCATCTGGTCTCTCTCTATTCCCCCTCTCTGGTATGTCTCACTGGTATTTCTCTCTGGTTTCTCTCTCTGGTCTCTCTCTCTGGTTTCTCTCTGGTCTCTCTCTGGTCTCTCTCTGGTCTCTCCATGTGGTCTCTCTCTCTGGTCTCTCTCTCTGGTCTCTCTCTGGTCTCTCTCTCTGGTCTCTCTCTCTGGTTTCTCTCTGGTCTCTCTCTGGTCTCTCTCTGGTCTCTCTCTGGTCTCTCTCTCTGGTCTCTCTCTCTGGTCTCTCTCTGGTCTCTCTCTGTGGTCTCCATCTGGTCTCTCCCTGGTCTCTCTCTAGTCCCCCTCTCTGGTTTCTCTCTGGTCTCTCTCTGGTCTCTCTCTCTGGTCTCTCTCTCTGGTCTCTCTCTGGTCTCTCTCTGTGGTCTCCATCTGGTCTCTCCCTGGTCTCTCTCTAGTCCCCCTCTCTGGTATCTCTCTGGTCTCTCTCGCTGGTATCTCTCTGGTCTATATCGTGTGTTTGAACTGTAACTTTATTGATATGACGACCAAAATAAAACCAATCTATCAAATTACAGGCGCAGCTAATATTCCAGAAAGTACAGGATAGAGTTAGATTGCAGAGGGGTGAAATGCCGAGATTTTAGAAAGTCCCTTAGTTTTACAGCCGTGATTGAAACGCCATGAACCCTGCATGATTACTACAGTACATGCTGATTCATGTTTCTCACATCGGTCTCTTTCAAATCACCAATACACACATAAACAACAGGAGTGATGTCGTCTGTGTGTGTTCTCTGCTCACCTGTCTCCACACACTCTGCTCTGACACACCTGACTCTGGGCATTCGCTTCCAGTGGCACTGAGAGACTCTCCATCCCTGTGGGCATAACACACACACACACACACACACACACACACACACACACACACACACACACACACACACACACACACACACACACACACACACACACACACACACACACACACACACACACACACACACACACACACACACACACACACACACACACACACACACACACACACACACACACACACACACACACACACACACAATGAATAAGTTTGGTATTTAAAATGAGAGGAGACAGGAGCGGTAAGGATACAGTTATTTGAAAGAGAAGACACTTTGAAATCTCCTGTTAATAATCCATTTAAAGTCCTATTCACGGTTTAGATATTCAGCCATGATATTAAACAGCACTGATCCAGAGAGAGCTGTGAGTCTGTGGAAACATGAAGCCTCCAGACCATCTCCACAAACAGAGAAATGCAACAGTTCAATGGAAAGACAGACTCAGAGAGAGCTGCTTTTGGCTGAAAAAGCAAAAGGCAACGACAAAACAGACACAATTGTGGATTTATTATTATGCAGACAGAACCAGGACTTACTAGGACTTACACATGATTTAACAAGGACTACACAACCACTAAACCAGGACCAGACCAGAACTGAACCAGGACGGAAAGCAGGACCTAAACGAGGACTAAACTAGGACTAAACCAGAACTAAACTAGGACTAAACCAGAACTTAAACTAGGACTAAACCAGAACTTAAACAGGACTGAACCAAGACTAAGAAGGGGACAAAAAATTGGCTCATTGCCTTTAAGCTCGTGCACCAAAGTCAGAGTCTGTGTACACCTGACCTGGCGCCCACAGCAGTGTGACCTCTGACCTGGCGCCCACAGAAGTGTGACTTTTGACCTAGCGCCCACAGCAGTGTGACCCCCTGACTTGACGCTCGCAGAAAAGTGACCTCTGACCTGGCGCTTACAACAGTGTGATCCCTGACCTGGCGCCCGCAGCAGTGTGACCTCTGACCTGGCGCCCACAACAGTGTGACCTCTGTGTGGTGACCTGTGTGTGACCTGGCGCCCACAGAAGTGTGACTTTTGACCTGGCGCCCGCAGCAGTGTGACCTCTGACCTGGCGCCCACAGAAGTGTGACTTTTGACCTAGCGCCCGCAGCAGTGTGACCCCCTGACTTGACGCTCGCAGAAAAGTGACCTCTGACCTGGCGCTTACAACAGTGTGACCTCTGACCTGGCGCCCGCAGCAGTGTGACCTCTGACTTAGCGCCCGCAGCAGTGTGATCCCCTAACCTTGCGCCCGCAGCAGTGTGACCTCTGACCCCCCCTGACCTGGCGCCCGCAGCAGTGTGACCTCTGACCTGGCGCCCGCAGCAGTGTGACCACTGACCTGGCGCCCGCAGCAGTGTGATCCCCTGACCTTGCGCCCGCAGCAGTGTGACCTCTGACCCCCCCTGACCTGGCGCCCGCAGCAGTGTGACCTCTGACCTGGCGCCCGCAGCAGCAGCGTGTCTCTCTGCAGCTGCACCTCTGGGCGGATGAGGCAGAGTCGAGGTTCTCTCTTTTGGCTCAAACAGACTCCGTTCACATTCACCACCATCCACCCACGATCATACAGCAGGCCGTGGGCTCCCAGGGGCCACTGCCTCACCTGCAACAAACACAGAGACACACACACACACACACACACACACACACACACACACACACACACACACACACACAGACAGAAACACACACACACACACACACAAACACACAACATTTTGAATATTTTGGAAGAATGGCAACAAATATCCTATGGCAATAAAAGCCTCTTTTCTCCACAGTGCTGGTCCTAGTCTGGTCCAATCTTGGTCCCGGTTCCGAGCCAAGTCCCTTTGGTTTTCCACCAGAGAAGAGCCAGTGCTAGTTACCATAGCAACACACAATTTACTAGCAGTTGTTAGCCTTTCGTTTTGAGCAATAGACTTTTAATAAACTGTCTTTGTTGTGTTAAAAGTACTTTATTCACCGGTGAGTGTGAGAGTAGAACCTTCTAAATGACTCTTGATAAAACAGCCTGAAGCGACACTAATCAAAGCCTGTAAACAGAAATGCTAACGAGGGCCAAAACTGTCCAGAAATAATGAAGTAAACTGTTTGAACCTGCTCCTGTCCGAGCGTCAGACAGCAGTGGACAGCTTTGATCGTGCCATGTCAGGACTCACACATTCAGTCTGTTTTTAATTAAACACGGCCCAGACTGTAACGAGATCCCCCGAGATCTCACACTTTAAATATGCACCTGATGTGGCGCTCTGGTCCAACAGATGGACACTCCGGGGTCAAAAACTAACATTTTAGAGAAGTACTGTGTCAGCTGTGATAGTTAGAGAATAATATAAGGTCTAACATTTCTAAGATAGAAACAGTATGTGTGTGTTCACAGTAACGTGTCACAGTATATGGACTTTAAAAGGTTATCACTCAGAAACTAAATTTACTATCACAGATGAGAAAGGATTTCAAACACAGACATATCAAAGAGAGAGTGTGGATGAAATCAAAAGAAATGATTGACAAATACAATTTTTGGCGAAATGTTAAAAATCCAGCCTCTGATTGGATCCTTCTTCTGTGACAAAGATGAACTCCCACAGACATGAACACGAACACAACATCAGGAAACCACTTCATTTAAAAAATAAAACACATTTAAATGACCCAAGAGACATTTGTAACGGATGTGATGATTTCTGTCAATTTGTTTCTAAAAATCAAACTTGAGAAAAAGTGTTTTTTCCGGTTTAATTTTTAACTGGCTTACTGCATCAATCCAAAGTTGATCTGAGAATCTGTAACAAACTTCTGCAGCTCATTCCATCAAAGGATCAGGTCTGTGCTATTTTCTATAAACTACTTATGGACAGAGAAGGCATTTGGATCAATGAAAAACATTATACATCTTCTGATTATCAGAATAAAATGTCTGGCTTCTGTCAGACTTTTGTATTTCACACTTTTGTGTGAACAAGCCCTTTATGGAAATGTGAAAGAGCTCAATATTAATCCTAAAAGTGAGATAAACCTGTAAAATGACTTCTATTTGTGAAAATGGACCAGAGAGAGAGACCAGAGAGAGAGACCAGAGAGAGAGACCAGAGAGAGAGACCAGAGAGAGAGACCAGAGAGAGAGACCATGAGAGAGAGACCAGAGAGAGAGACCAGAGAGAGAGACCAGAGAGAGAGACCAGAGAGAGAGACCAGAGACCAGAGAGAGACCAGAGAGAGACCAGAGAGACCAGAAAGAGACCAGAGAGAGACCAGAGAGAGACCAGATAGAGACCAAAAGAGACCAGAGAGACAAGAGGACCAGAGAGGGAGAAGAGAGACCAGAAGAGAGAGTGCGCCTGTCTTTCTGAAATACTAATAGTTTGTGTCCATGGTCTCTCTCTCTCTATAGTTCAACTCTCCAGTCTCTCTGGTCTCTCTCTCTCTCGCCCTGCGGCGTCTCGCTCTGGTCTCTCTCCCTGGTCTCTCTCCCTGGTCTCTCTCTCTGGTTTCTCTCTCTGGTCTCTCTCCTGGTCTCTCACTCTCTCTGGTCTCTCTCTCTGGTCTCTCCCTGGTCTCTCTCTGGTTTCTCTCTCTGGTCTCTCCCTCTAGTCTCTCTCTGGTTTCTCTCTCTGGTCTCTCCCTGGTCTCTCTCTCTAGTCTCTCTTTGGTTTCTCTCCGTGGTCTCTCTCTCTGGTAAATCACACAGGCTGTCCACAGGCTGCTGTTCCCTGCTCTGTCAGTAGGAGGCGCCCACACTCTCCAGACCGCAGCGTTTGGAGACTTCAGGGGGAAAAAAAGCAATTTCCTTTTTATTATTTAAACGATAAAAGAAAACGATTATATTTCTTCAATTACTATTTTCAATGTATCGTTCTGAAAAGCAGCAGTTTGGAGGGAACAGATTTAGAGTCAAAAATACATTGGTTCAATTTATTTATGTATCACAAAGAAGCAGTCGTCTCGGAGGACTTTACTGAGTTGTTGATTCACCAACGGCAGATCAGAGAATCAAACTGTTCGAACACAGAAAATGCTAAAATAACAAACACATAGAAGACAGTGGTCCATAGGAGCGGGACTGAGGCTGAAGACCCAGGACCGAGGCTGTAGACCCAGGACTGAGGCTGTAGACCCAGGACTGAGGCTGTAGACCCAGGACTGAGGCTGTAGACCCACGACTGAGGCTGTAGACCCAGGACTGAGGCTGTAGACCCAGGACTGAGGCTGTAGACCCACGACTGAGGCTGTGACCCAGGACTGAGGCCGTAGATCCAGGACTGAGGCTGTAGACCCAGGACTGAGGCTGTAGATCCAGGACTGAGGCTGTAGACCCAGGACTGAGGCTGTAGACCCAGGACCCAGAGCTGATTGGCTGATGGAGGGCGGTCCTCTCTGTGTGAGACAGAAGCTGCGTTTCCATTAGACATTTTATGATGCGCAAATTCAAATTTCGAAATTTGATGCTCAATGGAAACGCAGCTAGAGACAGTGTTAAACTGTATGGATGTAATGACAGGGTTATGTTTGCGTGGTGTGAAAATTACAGACCCCAGCTTTAAATGTCACTGTGGCCTGTTAGATTCACACATGTTTCATCTGATGCAAAATCCCTGAGACTCAACGAGACGCTTTCAATGATTCGATTTTTCCAACTGAGAAGCTTCTCTGAGGATCTCTCTCCTCTGTTCTTTCTCCTTTTTCCCCTCTCTTTCCGATCCTATCTCTTCTCCCTCCTCCTCTCTCTCCCTCTCACCCCCTTCTCTCTCACCCCCCTCCATTTTTCTCTCTCCCTGCTCTCACTTTCTCTCCCTCTCAACCCCTCCTGTCTCTCTCTGTCTCTCACCCCCTGCTCTCTCTCTCTCTCCCTGCTCTCTCTCTCCCTCCTGTCTCTCCCTCTCCCTCTCATCCCCTCTCTCTCCCTCTCATCCCCCTTCTCTCTCTCTCCTACCTTCTCTCTACCCCCTCCACTGTTTCTCTCTCTCCCCCTGCTCTCTCTCCCTAATCCTCCCTCTACCCCTGCTCTCTCTCTCTCTTTCTCTCTCCCTCTCAGCCCCCTCCTTTCTCTCTCTCTCTCTCTCTCTCCCTCCTACTCTCTCCCACCCTCCTCTCTCTCTCTCTCTCCTCTCCCTCTCACCCCCCTCCTTTTCTCTCTCTCTCTCTCCCTCCTTCTCTCTCCCCCCGTCTCTCTCCCTCTCATCTCCTCTCTCTCTCTCCCTGTTCTCCCTCTCTCAGCCCCCTCCTCTCTCTCTCCCCCCCTCCCCTCTCTCTCCATCCTCCTCTCTCCCTCACCCTCTCCTCTCCCTCCCTCTCTCTCTCTCTCCTCACCCCCTCCTCTCTCTCTCCATCCTCCTCTCTCCCTCACCCTCTCCTCTCCCTCCTCCCTCCCGTCTCTCTCTCCCTCACCCTCTCCTCTCCCTCCTCCCTCCCGTCTCTCTCTCCCTCACCCCCTCCTCTCTCTCTCCATCCTCCTCTCTCCCTCACCCTCTCCTCTCCCTCCTCCCTCCCGTCTCTCTCTCCCTCACCCTCCTCCTCTTCATATCACCAGTCACCGTGAGCAGAGCGCAGAGCCGGTGATGCTCCCGTCTCCTCCACGTCCCTCTCTTCGCTCCGCTCCATCTCTGTCTCTTCACTGCTGTCTCGTCTCTCCTGTGTCCTCACCCCCAACCCCCTCTGTCCTCCCCCCTGTCCTCCCCCTCAGCTCCAGGCAAAGGACCAGACGTGAAAATAAAGCTCTCCTCATTTGTGTGTGGATAATTCCTCCGCCTGTCCCACCACAAACACCGACTTGGATATTTTTACGCGTTCGGGACCTATTTCCTGCAACATTTTCTTTGGATAATTCCGTGCGTTTGGATCGTACCGAGACCAGTGCGCGCTCAAGTCACCCCCAAAAGCTGAGACTTGGCTCGGGGCAAGCGGAGAGGACCGACACAGAGTTGGCTCCACAAAAAACGAACCGGGAATGTGCCGTCGCCTTGGATTTAATATTGATTTTGTCGGAGCGCGTTGTGATGGATGAGAGTTTGCAGACTGAGAAGCGGCGCTTATGGGGAGTTTTTTGGGCCATAAACTACGCGCAGTGACAGCGGAAAGTGCTGCTGCGCGGGGACTGTCAATGCACACGGCGTGGTTTATGCTCCAGCCGTAATTTTAAAGTCGTTCCCCAGAGCTGGACAGAGAGACGCAGCCGTTTCTCAACCACAATTAACACAATTCCAACGCTTTGGGCTCGGACACATGAGAGTAAAAGAGGTGAATAGAAACATACTTGCCAAATAGAAATAATAAGCGTGTGAAACTTTTAAAGTGGATTTACAATTGATTTTTGATCCAGATGTCTTTCGTATATGGACCAAACGCAAACAGTCAAACCTTCACATTACGCAGACATGAAGACAGAAGCTTAGGAATGTTTCACTTGGGCTTGTAATATAGCAGGACTACACGTAACTTCTGTCCGTGAAAAAAAATGTAAAAATCAACATTAGTTATTAGACTGGGACATAAAGAGAGATGCCGGCGCGTCCTTGCCTGGTCTAGTGCAGGGATCGGAGAGGGGATGAAGTTATGTCCGCGGCTGAGGCTGAGGTCTGCGTTGTTGGTTTTCTCCGTGGACATTAGGTTGGAAGGGTCACCTCATTTTTCCCTGAGGAATGGATAAAAGCCCAGAGACAGCTTTCCCGGATGGAAGGGTGCCATGCTGGGGTTTCAGAGGCTTAAAACTGGAAGCGTAAAGTCTTCGATAGCCGCAGTAATTTTCCGGGTTTTGCGTGTTTTCTCAAAATCTGGCTATAAGGTTAGATTTTATACATGGAGGGATTCGAACATAAAGAAATCCATCCACTCACTTTTGGAATTTGCGTCACGTGACAAAACAGGAAGCGTTTGTGATGGATTCGTTGTTGAAATTGGAGTTTTTGGATCAGAGCTGAAGGGAAAAACCCCAGGATTGCCCGGTCTTGGATCTTCGCAACTCGTTTAAATTCATTTTTCCGCAGTCCTAAATCGCAGCAGCGGTCGTCCGGGTGGACTTTACAAAGTTGTCGATTCTGCAACAACAGATCAGAGAATCAGACTGTTCAAAGCGACCGGTGCCAAGACCCAACACGGCGGCGAGAATGACCTCATTGTGGGATTTAAGTGTTGAAAAACCAGGAGCAGGAGAACAAACATGGATTAACCAAACTATCAATGGTTCAAACAATCGCAGAGATGTTTTCGATTTCGAGGAACGATGCGTAGTTTAGTTTGTGGCACGTTTTTTTTGTATAGCACAGTTCATACAAGGAAACTCAAAACACCCACCGCATCAAATAATCACGGTGCTTTGAAAACAAGATAAAGTCCTTCAGTTGTTGGAGAAACAGAAGTGTTTTTAACCTGGATTTGGACATTTATCAGAGAAGATGCCTGTCTCACATTCTCAGGAAGACTGTTCCAGGTTTTGTCTAGGTTTAGTCCCGTCTCTGGGCACCAGCAGGAGGCCAGTCCCTGTGCTCCTCAGAGTCCCAGCAGGAGGCCAGTCCCTGTGATCTTCAGAGTCCCAGCAGGAGGCCAGTCCCTGTGATCCTCAGAGTCCCAGCAGGAGGCCAGTCCCTGTGATCCTCAGAGTCCCAGCAGGAGGCCAGTCCCTGTGCTCCTCAGAGTCCCAGCAGGAGGCCAGTCCCTGTGCTCCTCAGAGTCCCAGCAGGAGGCCAGTCCCTGTGATCCTCAGAGTCCCAGCAGGAGGCCAGTCCCTGTGATCCTCAGAGTCCCAGCAGGAGGCCAGTCCCTGTGCTCCTCTGAGTCCCAGCAGGAGGCCAGTCCCTGTGCTCCTCAGAGTCCCAGCAGGAGGCCAGTCCCTGTGCTCCTCAGATGGCACTAACATGTCGCAGATGTACTTTGGTTCGAGGCCATGGAGAGACCGAGCACCTTTAAAGTCTATTCTCTGAGCCACAGGAAGCAGAGACCTGAGACCAGGACTAACGAGATCATACTTCCTGGTTCTCGTCCGGACTCGTGCTGCTACGTTTGGAACACACCGGTCTCTCTCGCTCTCTCGCCATGAAGTCGGTCATCTTCAGCCGCTTCTTCATCCTCCTGCCGTGGGTCCTCATCGTCATCATCATGATCGACATCGACACCAAACGGACTTTCCGCTCTCCAGTCTCTGCACGCCAAAGATCCCAGCGCACGACCGCCGCCAACCTCTCGGCGCTCCCCGTCATCTACGCCATCACGCCCACGTACAACCGGCCGGTGCAGAAGGCCGAGCTGACGCGGCTGGGGCAGGTTTTCAGGCAGGTGCCGCGGTTGCACTGGATCCTGGTGGAGGACTCTTCCACGCGCTCGGACTTGGTGAGCAGGTTCTTGGCGCGGTGCGGGGTGGCGGCCTACACGCACCTGAACATCTTCACGCCGCGCAGGTTCAAACGGGCGGGAATGCCGAGGGCCACGGAGCAGAGGAACGTGGCGCTAACGTGGCTACGGCAGCACCGGGGTCGGAAGGACGCGGGGGTCGTGTTCTTCGCCGACGACGACAACACGTACAGTCTGGAGCTGTTCGACGAGGTAATTGTTCGTAGCCCATACTTGCATGTCAAAGACCTCTGGAGCTAAGCCGGGCAGGGCCTAGTTAGTGCTGCGATGGGAGACCTCAGGGAATACCAGGTGCCACAATGAGGCTGTAAAGTGTCAAACTGGGGCGGCACGGTGGCTGAGTGGATAGCACTCTCGCCTCTCAGCAAGAAGGTCCTGGGTTCGAATCCCGGTCGGACCAGGGCCTTTCTGAGTGGAGTTTGCATGTTCTCCCCGTGTCTGCGTAGGTTTCCTCCGGGTACTGCGGTTTCCCCTACCACTAAAAATATGTCCAATAGGCATGTCTGGCATGCGCCTCCTGTACTGGCGACCCCCGATCCCATCTCTGTGTGGAGTGAGAGATAAATGCCCAAAAATTAACAATTGTAAACCACTTTGAGACTCAGATCTGCAGTGAAAAGGTGGTATATAAATAAAGATTACTTACTAAAGATTACTTACTTACGTTTGTGTAAGCTCTCAGTCGTACAGGGATTAGTTAAAGCAAAGGAAGATTTCTCACCCATCATCTGTACTTCTTAGCAAGTTTTCCCGACGTTTCGTCCTCAATCCAAAGGACTTCTTCAGGGAATGAATTCTCAGACCGCGCATTGGAGATTTATAACCTATGGGTGTGGTTAGCCACACCCTAATCCTGATACTAACTCATAAACAATCTACGGTCTGCTTGATGTAGAAGGGAGCAGGTCTAACGACCCTGCTGAGGCTAACGACCCTAACTCCTTAGCATGTCACAGACCTATTGTCTGCTGGGATGCTCAAGTGGAGTGCAGGTCTCACCCCTCCTAACTCATTAGCATGTCACTGACCTTGTCCCAAGTTAGGGCGTTGTTTTTAGGATGTCGTCATAGATGCGAGGCAAAACAAATCTTAACCCTCCTCCTCTGTTAAGAGAAGGTTTTTGTTTCCTCACAAAAATGGCTTCTTTCACCCCTCTCTCAAACCAATTCTTCTCCCGAGCCAGAATTTTAACCTCTGTGTCATCCACCGTGTGGTTGGAGGCCTTGAGGTGGAGATGAACAGCCGACTGTGGCCCACTAGAGTTTTCTCTACTTTACCAACATCGTAGAGAAAACTCTAGTGGGCTCTCTTAACAGAGGAGGAGGGTTAAGATTTGTTTTGCCTCGCATCTATGACGACATCCTAAAAACAACGCCCTAACTTGGGACAAGGTCAGTGACATGCTAATGAGTTAGGAGGGGTGAGACCTGCACTCCACTTGAGCATCCCAGCAGACAATAGGTCTGTGACATGCTAAGGAGTTAGGGTCGTTAGCCTCAGCAGGGTCGTTAGACCTGCTCCCTTCTACATCAAGCAGACCTGAGATTGTTTATGAGTTAGTATCAGGATTAGGGTGTGGCTAACCACACCCATAGGTTATAAATGTGGCGGGAGCCGTGGTAGAACAATGAAAATTCAGCAGCGCCACCCAGGGTAATGGCCCTGGGACCGCACGGTTTTGATTTAATCTTTTTGCTTTCAGAAGGCCGCACTAGGTTAGGACAATAAAGGAGGTGAATTTTTATTACAAAGATGAGTTTATTTAATAAATACAGAAGTTGAAATAGGCCTAATATCATTTTAAAATGGTCAACAACCATCATACAGTACACCTTTAACAATAAACAATGTACCCAGTGCTACTTGAGTAGTGGGGGACAGCACCTTTAAATAAACATAAATCAAATAGCTTGTGAAAATAGGCAAACATCACAACAGAAGCAAAAATAAAATAAGACACAGCAAATCATGCACAATAAGGTAAATACACACAGAAAACAGGCAAAGGAAAATAACATGCAAGCGACAAAAACAAACAAGCATGCAGGAGCAGACATGCGGATAAACTACCCTGATTCCTTGTAGTCTTTGCCTACAAAAAAAAACCAATGTTAAATTGTTCGGTGCGAGTCCACCCCCACCTATGCACGCACTAAGCACGCGCTGAAACAGCCCAGGGGTGCGGAATGGGACTGGAGCGCTTCTTTTACGCACGAGAGAATGTGGACAACACAGAGGGACAAAACAACGGCCTCCTTTAACAGGAGGTGGCGGCTCCAACGTGGGCCACGCACGCTGTGCGCCTCGTGCCTAGAAAGAAAACACGAGCGTAAACTACCAACTAAGGATTAGCCCTGCAGTGGTAAAGCTTTGGACCTCTTACCTGCCGGTGACAGTGCGCGCACCCGCAGGCAACAAGAGGAGGGCGAGAGACGTGGGGGAATCACGGCAAAGTCCCACAACAGGCCCAGACCTAAGGAAAATTTGATGTCAGCCCGGGCCAAGCCCAAAATTCAGCGAGACAATGGACGCACTTACCCAGAGAAGGGCCTGGAGCGCACGACGCGTGCACCACGCACGCACTCCCAAGGAGAAGGAGGAAGACCACGCGAGCCAGGCCAGACCGTAGTCCTGGACCTAAGACAACCAACATTAAGAAAGGCTGGCACACAGCGTGCACCAGAAGAGGCTTGTTAAAACCAACCTGGATGATAATGCGTAGAAGCGCAGGGCTCGGAAAGTTAAGGCCCGAACCAGGTGTTGCGGGAGACCACAGCACGCCGCCACCACAATGCCCACTCAAGCTGGTGTGTGTATGAGCGCGCGCCGTGCGCGTAACCGGCTTTCAACGCTACGTCGGTGCCCCCCACAATCCATCTTAAAAGGCAGCCTACACCAACCTGCCACATAAATCTCCAACGCGCGGTCCGAGAATTCATTCCCTGAAGAAGTCCGCTAGTTTGAGGACGAAACGTCGGGAAAACTTGCTAAGGAGTACAGATGATGGGTGAGAAACCTTCCTTTGCTATTACTTACTTACTTACTTACTTACTGTGGTTGTGTCCTAAGGCAAGACACTTCAGGTTGCTTGGCTTCTGCTGGGTAGCTGAGTGAATGGTCCTCTCGTTTCTCAGCAAGAAGGTGCTGGGTTTGAATCCCAGTCGGAACAGGGCCTTTCTGAGTGGAGTTTGCATGTTCTCCCCGTGTATGCGTAGGTTTCTTTCCCCTACCATTAAAAACATGTACAATAGATATGAATGTAATGGGTGAGTGGATGGAGGGTGTTGGATGAGGCTTTGATGCGCCATTACTGACTTACTTATCACCACTGTATATGAAGGGATTAACCAAAGAGTAGAGTACAGGCCTGATTAGAGAGAGAGAGACCAGAAAGATACCAGAGAGAGACCAAAGAGAGTAAGGCCCCTTTCATAGCGTTTTACCATTGCAGCGCCTATAAACGAGGCCTAAGATCAGAGAGAGAGAGACCAGAAAGATACCCGAGGGAGACCAAAGAGAGATCAGAGAGAGAGACCATTAACCATAGATTTAGATGGATTTTGAGCCTTTATTCTGGTTCGAAAGTCACGATCCCTGGCTTTAAAGATCACAAGCCAAAAACATTTACCTGTATAAAAGTGTCTGAGCAGCAGTTTACATGTTCATTGATTTCTCTCCAAACACACGTCTGAAGGCGGTAATGCTCTGGCTGTCGGCCCACATCACTCTCACTTTGTATTTGTGACTTTTTTCTGTTGATGGTCCTTAAAGACCAGAGACGCGTCATTTCAAAGCACAAAATTTTCACTACTTCCTGGCTATAAAACACTCTGCTTCTATCAATACTCAGATGGTCTCTCTGATGTCTCTCTTTGGTGTGTCTCTGGTGTCTCTGGTGTCTCTCTCTCTGGTGGTTTTATGGTCTCTCTCTGGTCTCTTTCTGGTTTCTCTCTAGTTTCTCTCTTTGGTCTATAGTCTCTCTATTTTGCACCTCTCTCTGGTCTCTCTCGGGCATCTCACTCTTGTCTCTCTCTGGTCTTGCTCTGACCTCTCTCTGGTTTCTCTCTGGTCTCTCTTTGGCCTTTCTCGCTCTGGTCTCACTTTGGTCCCGCTCTAGTCTCTCTCTGGCCTCTCTGGCTTTGGTCTCACTTTGGTCTCTCTCTGCTCTCGCTTTTTGCCTCTCTCTAGTCTCTCTCTAGTCTCTCTCTGGTCTCTCTCTGGTCTCTCTCTGGTCTCTCTCTGGTCTTGCCCTGGTCTCTCTCTGGTCTCTCTCTGGTCACTCTCCTGTCTCTCTCTGGTCTCACATCAGAATAACACGGCTCCTCTGGTCTCGCTCTGGTCTCGCTCTGGTCTCGCTCTGATGCCGCTGCTGCAGAAGAAGACGGATTGTTTTGGTTCAAATCCTATTTAGTTGAAAAGATTGAGTTTTTTCACGGAGGTAAAACCGGAGCGGACTCGAATGAAAGCAGAAGTTTGGAGGTCGCTCATGAGATTAGAGCCGTGTTCAAAGACAGAGCAGAGTAATCCAGGATTTAAAGGCGAATCTAACACGTTCCTATCAGCGGCTCTGCAGATCTCTGAGCGAGTCTGAGCCTGGGAGGACTCTGAACAAGAAATAATCTACAAAATACTCTTTTTTTGAGTTTTTAACCAAATAACATTATTGTTCCCTCATCAACACTGACCACCTGACATCACATGTTTATTATGCTAAAGCTAGAGATTTTATACCTGTTTCTTTCGACTCAGACAAACTTTATTGATCCACAGGGAAATTGCGTTGTCACAGTAGCTCGCACAGTATTTCACAATAAAAATAGCAATAAAGTAACAATTTAAAAATAAGAAAAATAATAATGTAATATTGTGAGACTAGAATTATCTGGATATAAGTACTCAGGAATATACATATCTGTGAATTTGACACATTTACAGTATAAAATACAGTGTAAAATATTATGCTAAAGTAAAAGATGTAATAGTTGTTTCTTTATTTTCTCATCATTTTGCTCTTTGTCCCATCGACAAATCTTGTTTTTTGTCAGAATCTGATCAAATTAAGAAACATTTTGCCAAATGTTTCTTCCCCTATTGCAGTGTATGTGTTGAAACTGTTTGATTCTCTGATCTGTTGTTGGCACATCCACAACTTTGTAAAGTCCTCCCAAGTAAACCAGAAATGTACTATTAGG